TAACTTAACTCATCATCGCTACCAAACACACACACTCACCGCTCTACTCACTCACTCATTCACTCACACATACACATACACACTCTGACAACCACCACTTGAGCAGTAGTCAATGCTTGTCGCACAGACAACAAAAAACTGACTGCCTCTCAGTCGACAAGTTCACTGAATCACACAATGTAACAGCGTCAACACCAGTTCCAGTCTGTGATCAGTTGAAATGCACACATTGAATAAGGCGATCATTAAAATCTCACGAACAAATGCAAAAATAATTAGAATGCAGTGATGTGTGGTGTTTGTGTTGATGTTGCAGTATATTTGTGTGTAACGCTCTTGTACTGACATGTTGCATGCTGATTCTGTGACTGTTATGTATGAAAGTGTATCCGCTCACAATCACCTAGTCGAGCACTCAGTCAGTCAGTTAGTCAGCCAGTCAGTCAGTCAATCAATCAATCAATCAATCAATCAATCAATCAGTCAGTCAGTCAGTCAGTTAGTCGTCCAATTATATGCACGTCTCGAGTGAGATGGAAGTTTAGTGGGTCTATATCTGACTCCACTTAGATCGTTTCTAACTTTTATTGAAATATACATGTCGCCAATCCTCGTATATAATCATCGACTTAGATCACGTTGGTGAATAACGCGATTAAACAAGTCAAATTGGATAATGGATTTTTGAATAGGTATATTTCGTACAATCGCTGATCGGAAAGCGAAGCAAAACAAAATACGTGCAATGGAGAAGACGAATGAGCCAACTCAATTTAGCCAAGCGTGAATCCATATTTGTAGTCGAACAAAAATCAGTTACAGACATGTGATGGTGCACACACAGACGCTCGTATAAAAACATCAGTCTAGTGTGATAAGCGAATAATTAACAAGGTTAAAATGTGACTCAAGGAGGATGAATAGACTGGTGGGTCCGAAACCTAGAATGAGCGATCGAGAGGGCGAGCGAGCGAGCGAGCGAGCGAGTGACTGAGTGAGTGAGTGTGTGAGTGATTGAGTGATTGAGTGATATAGTGGGATGAGTGAGTCATGAGGAATGTGTTTTGATGTTCCCCATTGGATTGTTCGAGTGAGGTGGAGAGTGGTTTGCAGCCGAATGTTCCGGTTTCCCGTTATCATGGTTGTGGTCAGCCAGTGATTCGAGTTCGGTGTTGGCAGTGTCGGTTCGCTGATCACCAGAGTTGATGTGTAATTGTATGATATGTGTGATAGTTGTGTTACTGTGGTATATGTTTGTGAGATGGTAGAGTAGGTGACGATTGTGCGTTATGTGTATGTGTTTATGTTTGTCGGAGTTGGGCGTTGTGTGCGACGAGGTGTATGTGAGCGCGTGTACATGCGCCCGCGTGGCCTAATGGATAAGGCGTCTGCCTCCTAAGTAGAAGATTGCGGGTTCGAGTCCCGCCGTGGGTGTGGATTTTGTGGATATAGGAAATTCCGAATCTCACCGAACCACTCCACATCTACTGCACGTCACTATCAATCGTCAGATAGATCACTGACTGCTTCTGTCTGGTGCATGGAATAGGAGCGGAGGGTGCGATCAGTCGGCGCACACCGACTCACGGTAAGTCCACATTCCTCTGGGTCGGTCCACTGCATCCACATCATCCACCTACAGTCTCTACTAATGATTCGCTTTCGCTATGTGTCTTGTCGGTGCGATACTCGTACACCGTCCTAACTTATAACTTAACTCATCATCGCTACCAAACACACACACTCACCGCTCTACTCACTCACTCATTCACTCACACATACACATACACACTCTGACAACCACCACTTGAGCAGTAGTCAATGCTTGTCGCACAGACAACAAAAAACTGACTGCCTCTCAGTCGACAAGTTCACTGAATCACACAACGTAACAGCGTCAACACCAGTTCCAGTCTGTGATCAGTTGAAATGCACACATTGAATAAGGCGATCATTAAAATCTCACGAACAAATGCAAAAATAATTAGAATGCAGTGATGTGTGGTGTTTGTGTTGATGTTGCAGTATATTTGTGTGTAACGCTCTTGTACTGACATGTTGCATGCTGATTCTGTGACTGTTATGTATGAAAGTGTATCCGCTCACAATCACCTAGTCGAGCACTCAGTCAGTCAGTCAGTCAGTCAGTTAGTCAGCCAGTCAGTCAGTCAGTCAATCAATCAATCAATCAATCAATCAATCAATCAATCATCAGTCAGTCAGTCAGTCAGTTAGTCGTCCAATTATATGCACGTCTCGAGTGAGATGGAAGTTTAGTGGCCCTATATCTGACTCCACTTAGATCGTTTCTAACTTTTATTGAAATATACATGTCGCCAATCCTCGTATATAATCATCGACTTAGATCACGTTGGTGAATAACGCGATTAAACAAGTCAAATTGGATAATGGATTTTTGAATAGGTATATTTCGTACAATCGCTGATCGGAAAGCGAAGCAAAACAAAATACGTGCAATGGAGAAGACGAATGAGCCAACTCAATTTAGCCAAGCGTGAATCCATATTTGTAGTCGAACAAAAATCAGTTACAGACATGTGATGGTGCACACACAGACGCTCGTATAAAAACATCAGTCTAGTGTGATAAGCGAATAATTAACAAGGTTAAAATGTGACTCAAGGAGGATGAATAGACTGGTGGGTCCGAAACCTAGAATGAGCGATCGAGAGGGCGAGCGAGCGAGCGAGCGAGTGACTGAGTGAGTGAGTGTGTGAGTGATTGAGTGATTGAGTGATATAGTGGGATGAGTGAGTCATGAGGAATGTGTTTTGATGTTCCCCATTGGATTGTTCGAGTGAGGTGGAGAGTGGTTTGCAGCCGAATGTTCCGGTTTCCCGTTATCATGGTTGTGGTCAGCCAGTGATTCGAGTTCGGTGTTGGCAGTGTCGGTTCGCTGATCACCAGAGTTGATGTGTAATTGTATGATATGTGTGATAGTTGTGTTACTGTGGTATATGTTTGTGAGATGGTAGAGTAGGTGACGATTGTGCGTTATGTGTATGTGTTTATGTTTGTCGGAGTTGGGCGTTGTGTGCGACGAGGTGTATGTGAGCGTGTGTACATGCGCCCGCGTGGCCTAATGGATAAGGCGTCTGCCTCCTAAGTAGAAGATTGCGGGTTCGAGTCCCGCCGTGGGTGTGGGTTTTGTGGATATAGGAAATTCCGAATCTCACCGAACCACTCCACATCTACTGCACGTCACTATCAATCGTCAGATAGATCACTGACTGCTTCTGTCTGGTGCATGGAATAGGAGCGGAGGGTGCGATCAGTCGGCGCACACCGACTCACGGTAAGTTCACATTCCTCTGGGTCGGTCCACTGCATCCACATCATCCACCTACAGTCTCTACTAATGATTCGCTTTCGCTATGTGTCTTGTCGGTGCGATACTCGTACACCGTCCTAACTTATAACTTAACTCATCATCGCTACCAAACACACACACTCACCGCTCTACTCACTCACTCACTCACTCATTCACTCACACATACACATACACACTCTGACAACCACCACTTGAGCAGTAGTCAATGCTTGTCGCACAGACAACAAAAAACTGACTGCCTCTCAGTCGACAAGTTCACTGAATCACACAACGTAACAGCGTCAACACCAGTTCCAGTCTGTGATCAGTTGAAATGCACACATTGAATAAGGCGATCATTAAAATCTCACGAACAAATGCAAAAATAATTAGAATGCAGTGATGTGTGGTGTTTGTGTTGATGTTGCAGTATATTTGTGTGTAACGCTCTTGTACTGACATGTTGCATGCTGATTCTGTGACTGTTATGTATGAAAGTGTATCCGCTCACAATCACCTAGTCGAGCACTCAGTCATTCTCTCCGTCATTTTTGTACTTATTGATTGGTCTATAAAATAATCTATGTGTCATATATGGTAAAATTCCAATTCTTATGTTTTACCTGAAATTTTTCATCATAAGAATAAAAGCTTCGTAAGCAAACCATTCTTCTTAAAGAGGTAAATTACACTTAATTCATTCACACGATTTACAATTCTTCTCCACTATTTCATTATTATTATATGATAGATCTAATTTCACTACCCAATTTGAACACTAAATTATCCTCATCAATAACTAGTTAACTTAATATGCAAAGTATTACTTGTCACCCTTGAAAGTTATTTACTATTCTCAAGCGTATAATCAAATTGAATACTTCTCGTTGAAGTGATTCATAAAAGTCGAATATTTTCTAGCAACTCACGTGAAATTGAGTTGGTTCATATTTACTTAGGTTAAGTCATTTTGGTTAACTTATTAGCCAACTAAGTCATCCGTACAACAACAACTTATCTATACCATTTGTATCTTTATTATTGTTGCGAATGTATGAACATGTATGCTTGAGCATTGCTTACTGCCTACGCATTTATTCACGCTACTAGCCTTACTACTAACCACTTAATTGATTCGATGATTCATTCATTTCACTAGGTATATATATATATATGTCCATGATATTCATGTTCATTGCTCTTTCTCGCTTAATTGTAATCACTTACTTGTACTCATATTCGCTGACTCACTTGCTCGCTTACTCGCTTTCCTGCTTGCCTTTCGGCACAACTCTTTCATGCTTGTTTAACGCACCTGTAATTTTGGATATCTGTGTGAGTGTGGTCCCATCATAAACATGATCAACACTTTGTATTCTCCTTCTGATTAATATACCTTCGTGGCATTATCTAGTGACCGTTATCAAGATGAACTGTATACAAAGTTTAAGGATTATATGGAATACCAACTACCACAATTTCTAATTGTTGCTTAGGTAAACATTATTCGGTTAGAATTTCAATAAAACATCATCATAAAGACCTGAATCACTTAACTAAGAAGATAGTTTAATATGAATTGAACTATTATAACCATCTCGATTCTCATGACATCGATATATAAAATTCATTTGATCAAACTAACGGTTACATTGATAAAACAAAAAACAAAAAAAAAGAGGGATATATTACGATAACTAATGATTACATAATCAAATATTACTGAATTGTGTTGAACAGTATTTTTGTTATTGTTACCAAACTAATGAAGTATGACATAATCCATATAAGAAACCAGGTAAATCTTCTGGTAAATTAATATTACGTATTTCTGTTGATGTGGATAAATGAAGACTACGTAGACAACCTTTAAACATTTCACCATGATAATTATAAACAGATTGTTTCATTTTATCAGATGTTAAAACTATAAAAGATGAAATGAGAGAAAATATAAAACATGTTCATTATTACATCAATGTGTATAAGAATATAGATATATATCAGTCAGTTAGTCTGTAACAACGTAGAACTTAGTACGTATGTACGTCAGTTCGAGTTGCCATACCACATTAACACAGAGATGCAGTGGTCGGTTCAAATCCCATAGTGGTGGAGGTAGTAAAAGTATAAGCAGTAATCAAAAAGATTAGGGTTTGGAGATGTTATTTAAAGAGTATAATTCAGTGAAATAAATTTGGAAAAAGAAAAAAGAAAAGAACATGAAGAATTGAGAAGATTAGAACTTGGGAGAATACAAAAAAGTGGATACACCTGCACCATTGTAAACGATTTTGAGCCATATCGTTCAGGGTCTCTAACTATCGGTTTCTATTATCTCGCGGTCCCCAAACAGGTAGTGTACACCTACCGACATGGCTCACTCCACTTGTCAGTGACTTCATGGATTTGTGCCATGTTTTGGTCTGGCCGCCCCATATATATATGTACATGAAGGATTAACACTAGTCATTGAAAAGCAGAATATCAAGAATCATGCTACAGTTATATCATTTCATCTCAATGTGAGAATTTTCAAGATTATGAACTTATGATCTTATCATGAATCGAATTCAAAATCTACCAGATTTTCAATGAGTATATTCACTGATAGATATCATCAAGTTATTATCTATTAGTTCTACTGTATGGAGCTGAAACTTGGAGAACTACAACAACCACAATCAAGAAGGTACAAGTATTTATAAATAGCTGTCTTCGCAAGATACTCAACATCCATTGGCCGGATACCATCAGCAATAGCCTTCTGTGGGAGAGAACAAACCAACTTCCAGCTGCAGAACAAATTAGGAAAAGACGATGGAAATGGATAGGACATACATTACACAAATCGTCAAACTGCATCACGAGGCAAGCGTTAACTTGGAATCCTGAAGGGAAGCGAAAAAGAGGAAGGCCAAAGAACACATTGCGTCGGATAATAGAAGCAGATATGAAAACGATGAATTACAATTGGACGGAGCTAGAAAGGATTGCCCAGGACAAGATTGGATGGAGAATGCTGGTGAGCGGCCTATGCTCCTTCACGAGGAGTAACAGGCGTAAGTAAGTAAGTAATTGTTTGTTATCATAGATCATATGTCAAAAATTGTTAAACTCAAATAATAACAATATTGTTTTCAAAACTTTGATTAATTCTCTTGAAGATAATCACTTTTTATTACATAATGATTATCAAGATGTTAGGATCCGAGAAACATAATGAATGGTAACTTTTGGAATCCTTTTATAGACCAATACCATACATATATTCTTATTGTATAACTGTTAAGCAGGTACACTATTCCTATTCGTGTTCCTCTTATTATATGCTTTATTTTGACCCATAAATTATTATTATACGTTTTACCATTCTTGAGTTATACCCAGTATATTAATTACCATCTCCCTTATTCACAGCCACATCTAGCTAATTCTTGTACAAATGTTGTTTCATGTTTTATGGTACGTTGTTGCCTGTCTGATTGATATATAAACCGAGTGAATTTGAAATAAATGATTCATATTGCAGAGGCTGAGACTTGTGTTCTGGACTTAACTGACTGGGTTACGCGAGAAGCAAGGCCAATCAGAATTCTAGGCTGCTCGCACGTGTTTTACGCGTCTTTGATCCGATCGATAATTCGTTGCACATTAATCGGCGGTCACAAGTGATAGCACAAGATGAAAGATTTCTGAAGGCTAATCAATCTATTTTGTTTATAAATATAAATCATTGAATACTAATTTGATGCTTTAAAGACGAAACCTATAAATCATGACTTTTATTCTTTTTGGGGGGTGATTATTTAGTAAACAGTTAAAATATGAAATGGATTTAGTTATCTCATAATAGAATGTTAGTCATGAGAGAAGTGATATAGACAACGATTTCATACCAGCAAAACATCAATCTTGTCAGCAATGACAGTGTGATCATTGATAATAATGAATGAGGATTACTCACAACTTAACAAAAGTTGTATATGTGAATAAATAGACTACGACTCATCAGTTCACAGGTATTTCTTTTCGGAAGATTCGAAAAACTCCTCGAAAAAAAAGTCAAAAAAGTCTCTGAAAATACTGAGAAGCATCTTATTAGTGTTCACTAGAAGTTTTGCCAGAAACATCATGAAAGTGAAAAGTCACATGTCGAGTTTCTGATTGGCTGATTAATTATGCCGCTACGATGTTTAGTAGCATTCCAGAATTTTCGGGAGACTCAAGGACATCTAAAATATTATAAAAACCCGAGATTTTCTCTGCACAAGCGGAACCTTTAGAGTAAAATGTTTCGTACATATTTCGCCCCTTTTCTCTTTTATTCAAGTCGTTGTGTAGATCTAACCTCAAGGGTTACTCAAAGAGTTTAAGAATCAAATCTAGCGTTTAATTAACAAGACTTATCAATTTCAATGGCTGTAAGAAATTTCAATCTTTTGAAGTAGATGGTTAGTTATATCTTCGATCTGTATTTTCTAAGCGACACAAATTACAATATAAAAGAAGGTGTTCATTATGTTATCTAGTTCTTTTTTTTTTTAAATATCTGTCTATAACTAAAAGTCTTATCAAACTTATTTATTACCTTGTGATTTATTTCAAAAAACGAAAGTACAGTTTAATATTTTGTAATCAAAGATAATACACTTCAAATGAATGAATGAATGAATGAAAGGTGTGCAGTCAATGAATCAAGTGATAAAGAATTATCAGTTTGGTGTCCGTGTGACTGTCGTAACCAGTGGTTGAAGACAGTGGGTGACATAGCTCAGAATCGATCACAATGTTGTGAGTGTATACACTCTTTGTCTTCTCTTACAAAAACTACCAGTTAATTCTTTCTTCCTGTATTATTATCATCATCATCCTTATATACAATTTTTCTTTTATGTGTTGCTGTCGTTGAAGTAACTACCTCTATGAATTTGGTGTTCATTTTGTTGTGTTAATGACGTATAGCGACTTGAACCTATGGAAATATGTGCCTGATCCTATGTTGTAGATGACTGATTGACCTAATTTAACTGCTGAAGAGTCTTACAATAGAACGAAACGACCGTTTAATGCTTCTAGATTTTCCATGGTGGTCTACCTTCAATGAACTCATGATCTCAACTATTAAAATTCTATATACATTTCATTTTCTACCTAAAATGATGAGTATTAACAGTATTAAAATCCATCTTGTTCACTTAAAGCAGTAGTATAAATATTGGTAAGATTTCTATTTGAAACAATCACAGTTGAAGTTAAATCACTAAGGTCTTTGCATAACAAAGTTCAACTATCTAGACATATACATAATATAGAGAGTGCTAGTGGGCAGCCTATGCTCCTTTATGAGGAGTAACAAACTTAAGTAAATAAATAAATCAATAACTAATCAATAACTTACATGTATTACGTCCAAGATGTATTGATATAAGTCGATTAGCTTTTATAAATGGTGCTAATGTATCACTAATAGATGTTTGAGATTTTAATTGAAATAATAAATTATGATTAATAAATGTTATATGTAATTTAATATAATGCCATATATTTTGATTATGTCCAATATTAGCTAAATTCACTTCATGATTTAATTCTAATTCATTATTGGATTCTGTGATATAACCCATTTTAACCTTTAATAAAATAGAATAAATGAACAGAATAAGGAATTTGAGAAAAACAACAACAACAACAGGAGTATCAAATCAGTTTGAAACCAACAACAGAAAACAACGAAAGAACTATGATATAAAGTACAATGAGAATGATGTAAGGTGGTTAACTTACTTACTTTCTTACGCCTGTTACTCCTAATGGAGCATAGGCCGACGACCAGCATTCTCCAACCTACTCTGTCCTGGGCCTTCTTTTCTAGCTCCATGCAATTCTTGTTCATTTTTCTCATGTCTATTTCCATTTCCCGGCGTAATGTGTTCTTTGGTCTTCCTCTCCTCCTTTGGCCTTCAGGATTCTACGTGAGGGCTTATCTTGTGACGCAGTTGGGTGCTTTCCTCAATCTGTGTTCTATCCACTTCCAGCGCTTCTTCCTGATTTCTTCCTCCGCTGGGATCTGGTTTGTTCTCTCCCACAGTACGTTGTTGCTAACACTGTCCGGCCAACGGATCTGAAGTATTTTGCGTAGACAACTGTTAATAAACACCTGTATCTTCTGGATGATGGCTTTCGTAGTTCTCCAGGTTTCCGCCCCATACAGTAGAACTGTCTTGACATTTGTATTGAAAATCCTGACCTTGGTGTTGGTTGACAGTTGTTTTGAGTTCCAGACGTTTCTCAGTTGTGAATATGCTGTTCTTGCTTTGCCGATCCGCGCCTTCACATCTGCATCAGATCCCCGATGTTCATCAATGATACTGCCCAGATATATAAAAGCTTTTACATCTTCCAAATCTTCTCCGTCAATTGTGATTGGATTGGTGCATGCATGTTGGTTAACAGCAAACCCTATTTGATGTCGATTTCATATTGGTTGACATTAATAAGCAAGGAATATTTGTAATCTTTAAGGAATGAATGTTTATTATGGGATTGAAACTTGAATCAGTTAGTTATATACGGTGATATGTCATTACTAAACTATTCAGGTTACTTATTGACATCCTGTACGAGTGAGTTCTTTTTAAATGATCAATCACTTAATACTGTTAAATTTGATGTGTTTTCTAGTATGGTGTGAGTTACTTATATTCACATAAGTAGTATATAACGATGGTCAGGCATAAAATGTATTTCAGTAGAAGATTGATAAGGAAAGAAAGAGAACGGAGCACAATTGGTATGAAAATGCATGAACGATGAAATTTGAGACAATGGACTGATATTTGTAAAAGGAAAAATTAAGTTTGAGACGATAGATTGATATTTTGCAAATTAACTATTGACTATATAGTTCTCAGATCTTAGTGAGATATTCTATAGTTTTGTATTCAAATACATTCATATCTCAGAGGCTGTGACTTTCGTTCTGGACTCAACTGGCTGGAATAGACAGGGAAGCAGGGCCAATCAGGACACTAAGTCGTTCGTACGTATATACGTGTCACTGTAACCGATCAATAAAACACTTCTCCATCTAACCTGCAGTCACACCCGTTACAACAATTGTCTCCATTCGTGTTCCTGTTCGCTACACTAATATTTTAAGCATGTGACTGAATAAGGAAATGAATTTTGGAAAAGGATAATATGGAAGGAATCTTACAAAAACAGATTGTCAAAATGTTTCAGAAAAATATCCTATTCAATTAATGGTTGTATGTTGTTTTCTTCAATGGATCTTGGAATAGAACTCAACTTCTAGAATGATCCTTGTTGAACTTCAAAAAGAGGATAATCTACCAGAATTATCTTTCATAAGCACATATCTAATAAAAATAGCTGTAAAAATTATGACCAACTTGTTCGCTATAGATTTTAGTTATCCAACGCTACAAATCTTAAGTCTGGTTATGAAAACAACATAATTAACATCACATTTTTCTACAGTCTTTAGAATTAGAATTAGGTTTCAGACACTGAATTATGCCATTGCTGATACCTATAAAGCTTTTACGACTTCTCCATACTAATCGATTGGGTACTAGGTTTGAATTCTTGTGTGAATATCAACACTTAGATGAATGCACATTAAGCTAATGAGTCCTAAATAGGATGAAATGTATGTACGTATGCATGGAAGTTGTTATGGCGATAAAGTAAAGAATTCTATAACCAGTAAAGATGGACTATCCAATTCATAATTAAATACAAGTAAATTTTACGTTTTAAATATAAGGATAAAATCACTTAACAACTGTTTCATATAACCTAAATTCGGTCTATTCATGATAAAACTCTACCTTTACAAGCTATGGAAACCGTTTAAACGAATAACACTATAATTCTAATTGATGTCTTATATTATCCAAAACTTATTTAAGATTTTAATAAGAGACCACAATGTGCATAGTCTATCACAATCACAAATAAAGCAAACTTCTATTTGTCAAAATTTTCAATAAAAATATCAAGACAATTCTATTGTATGGAGCAGAAACTTGAAGAACTATCAAAGCCATCATTCAGAAGATACAAAAGTTTACTAACAATTGTCTATGCAAAATACTTCAGATTCGTTGGTCAGACACCATCAGCAACAACCTATTGTGAAAGAGAACAAACCAGGAAGAATTCAGGAAGCAGTACTGGAAGTGAATAGAGCACATATTGAGGAAAGCACCCAATTGAATCACAAGGCAAGGCCTCACATGGAATCCTCAAGGCCAAAAGAGAAGAGGGAGACCGAAGAAATTGAGACATACATGAGAAGAATGAATAACAATTGGATAGGATTAGAAAGGAACGCTCAAGACAGAGTGAATTGGAGAATGCTGGTTGCCGGTCTATCCTCCTCCATTGAGAGTAACAGGTGTTAGTAAGTAACTAAGTAAGTATTAACAGCAATAGAGAATTGAAAAAAAAGATTAACCAAGGATTCATGATCTTAACCATTGAAATTATTATAATATCCACAAAACCCATCTGATATTAATCAACATATGCTCACTAGTCACTGGCTTTAAGAGGTATATCCTGGAGTTCTAGTGAGAATTATTGACCAGTGGAGTTCAACCAGGTCTGTTGTGAGATATTAACTCACTGAAGACAATGGTGGATGTGTCGCTCAATTTCGTGGATTAGTTGAAATTAGACATTGACACCATTGAATGCCGGCTAGCTCAGTGGTCTAGTGGTTAAGTGCTCTCGTGTAAAACCAGTAGGTCTTGGGTTCGAATCTAGTAGGGGGCACGGTCGTGGATGAGCACTGCCGAGGAGTCCCACAATAGGATGAAACGGTCATCCAGTGCTTCGGGGTTTTCCATGATGGTCTAGCTTTAATTGACTCATGATCTTAACCATTGAAATTACTATAATATCCAAAAAACCTATCTGATTCAATAATAGGATACCAATAATGTAAAATATTCAGTTTATAAATATATACACAGAAATGAAATTATGAACTATAGACATTAGATTATAGAATGAAACAAGAACTAGAACTTACTTCATTATTTGAAAGGAATAACCATAAATGAATTTCTTCCGATGGTAAATCAATTGTTCCACCAAATGTTAATACAAATAAACTAGCTTGTTTTATAGTATTACGATCATAAAAGAAACTAAAATCAAATGTTAACTTATCATGTCCTGATTGAGTGAACATATCTGGTACTGTAAAAGAAAAATATCAATGAATAAAATTGATAAAAGATAGTTAATGATTCATGTTTATTTAATGTTATTTGTATTCACTAAGGTTTAATTAACTTCAATTAAATGGTAACTATCATTTTGATGTAGTTTTGTTCTGTGATCTGAATGATTTAGTCATAGAGTTATCATCGTTCTTCTTATACGACATCATCAACACAAACGTCCGATAGAAGTGAAGTGTTCAAATTTCTCTATATATGGTTTACATTTTGTCTTGTACACCTCGATCTTAATTGATTCTTGTTGATCTTAAACCTGTTATTGTTCACTTCTTTGTTTTGATTTTGTTTTGGTAATCATCATCCATCACCACAGGTTACATATCAAATATGATTGAACTTAAATGATCTTACGATTTGTTTCTACAATTTTCACTATCATTCACAACAATATCGGTGCTTACTTCATGTAGCTGTCAATCTTTCATATACGAATCGATTCAATTAACTTATATCTATATACTCTATTCAGCACTAAATGACTTTTGTGACTAAATGTCAAGTGTACTAATCACTAATTCTTAAGACTATTCTACAGAAAAATCTGAAGATGAATATTTGATCATGAATATAAACAGAAAAGAAATGCAACTTAGATGTGACCACACTAAGTGCAAACCAACTCCTATATTTCTCTAAATTCTTCCATCCATAGTTAACAAGACCACATGGTGAAACTATAACTTATGCATAAACCAATCACTTCGTATTCAAAACACTAAATCTAATCCTTATCCGTAATCATCAACTGTAAATCACAATCATTATCTTTCATCCAGGTTTAAAACACTCATTTAGTCCTAGTCAGTAGGTGGACATTCTTAAGATCACTTTAGGGTCGCTCAAAGGTTGTCCATAAATTACACTCACATAGACCACATGAATCTCAGTAGTTGATATATAAAATAAATTTGAAAATAGTCCTAGAAAATAGCAATACAAATATATACTACTGTCAATGATAAAAGTAGTTCAAATGTTATTAACTAAAACAATTATTAACTTACTATGTAATTTTATCAAACTATACTTCAAATATTCATCAATATTTTCTGGAATATGAACAATTGTTGGATTTAAACTGAAACAATCATAACAAACTGGACGATTGCTAGTTCTTAAAGACATACTCACATTATTCATTGTTAATTCATCAACACATCCGAATAAACCATAAATATTCGACTATTTAAAATAATAAATACACAATAAAGTAAAACAAATGAATTTCTATTATGAGTATTTCTATACTTTTGAAAATAATTAATTAATTTATCAGTAAGTTGAATGAAAGTTGCAATATTCTCTAGATAGGAGAAGTTAGACATTAACACCGATGGATGCCAACTCAGTGGTCTAGAGATTAAGTGTACAGGATCGTGAATGAGCACTGCTGAATAGTTCCATACTAAAACGAAATGACCTCCAGCACTTCCAGGTTTTTGATGATAGACTAGCTTAGATTTGTTCGTGAATTCAACTGTTGTAACATGAAAATCACTGGAATTTAAGTCGGTAATTGTATAGTATATTGTTTGCAATGTTGTGGAATAATTATAGGCATGCCTTATTAAACAATTACGACAAGATGGAACATGTATCTGGCGGTCTTCATCTTCAATGATCTCCTAGATAATCCCTATTCAGAATAGAAGCTGTTAACAAATTCAATAAGTTCCACAAATGATGCTAATTAATCAGTGAAATACTTTCATGATAATTGGCAGTCTATACTCCATTAGGAGTAACAGTCGTGACTAAGAAAGTAAGTAAGTAATTGGCACCTTGAAGGATTAAAGGACCTACAGTTTTTAAAGAACTGATACTATCAATATGAATTGATTTTATATCATTTATCTCCATAATTTATATCATCTTGATTTAAAATTGCTTAGTTAAACTCATTCTTAGCTCATTATGTCATGGTTTAGTTTAATTGATAATTCATTAAGAAACATCATTTGTCAATGTATCATAACACAGGCATATAGTGGTTAGCAGTAGAATCTAGTTTGACGCGTGTTTCGTCCTATTTGGGACTCGTCGGCGAGATGTAGCTGCGCCTCAAGGTTGAGATTTTCTCTGAGGCTTGAACTCGATACCGTTTAGCTTCAAACGTTACCGTGTTATCCACTTGGCTATTGAGTCCTGATTACTTAAATCTATCAGATTATACTATGATACTTAGTTAAAATTGAGAGTTAATCAATAAATATGAATTGTACGCTGTTGGGGATGTTAGATTGCTATTTTTGTAATTTCATTTTAAGATTTTGAACTTTTTTTATTTTCGCACCAAAATCGCTTATTTTCACTTTCATATCGTATTTCCCACTTGTTAGAATCTTGGACGCTATTCGTTCGTTGTATCTTTTAGTATGCTATATTGTAACGTTCGTGCTTCTGCTTACTTATGAAATATATTTCCCCGTTTTGAACTTGGACTTCTCTCTCTAGTTAGCGGGGTTGGGACGCATCAGAATAGCTAGCTTATAAGTCATTGGTCACAGAGTCTTAGTCCCGTTCACAGAGTAGATGAACTCGTAATCGCTTCAAACATAGCATGCACATTGTTATACTACCATATTTTTTTAACATTTCAATTCTCGTTTCAATTTAGATAACTAACTACTTATAAATACACATAAAAAAACAACTGACTGGAATTTTCAATCCAAAACTTTGATCGCATCTCGATCAATCTAATAGGTAGTCAAATAACCAGTCCATTATTGATAATAGTCAGCTGTCTTTTTAATAAGTAAATTATTTAATTAGTTTGAAGTGAATGTAACTATCTATTAAACATCAATTTATAGATACATTAATTAAGGATTGAGTTATTTTCTAATTTTAGGTTTACTGTAACCTTTTTGATAGAGTTTTGTTCTCTTAGCTAGATGGTTTGGTCATGGAGCTTTCAACGTTCTTCTGAATAACATCATCAGCACAAACTTCAGGTAGAACAGTAACCGTTTCTATAACTTTTTAATGCACAAAATTCCAGTATACAATTTTGTAATAGTGTTTAAAGGTGAAGACACTGATTCCATTTTTACTGTAGTATTTACACTTAATAATCTTAGATAAGTCACACTTGTGATCATGGAGAGCATACGGATAATTATGAGTCAAAGGTAATTAGATAATTCACAGCCACAAAAATAGTCACATTTTCTCATAACTCTAGCTAAATAATCAGTCAGTCAGTAACAACGCAGAACTTCGTACGTACATGCATCAGTTGGAGTTGCCTGCCACACCACATTAGCACAGAGATCTAGTAGTCGATTCAAATCCTGTAGTAGTTGAGGTGATAGGAGTATAAGTAATAATCAGAAAGATTAGGGTTTGAAGATGTTATTTAAAGAGTATAATCCAGTGAAATAAATTTGGGAAGAGAAGAAAATAAAGGGACATGAAGAATTGAGAAGATTAGAATTTGAGAGAACACGAAGAGTGGATGCACCTGCGCCATTCCGAAGTCATTAAATTGACATAAGCCTTTCCTTTATTTGCATACGAAAACTGTGTCCTTTATTCATGAATATAAAGATAAACAATTTTATAAAATGATAAATAAGTAAAGAAAAAATAGTTCCTTAATAATTTGCATCAATATGGAATTTAAGGTTACTGAAAATCTATACTACTTAATATTAGTAAATAATATAAAAATCTTATCAAAAATATCATTATCTCTTTCATTTGGATTAATCAACTTACAGGTTGCCCATTTGCTTGTAATTGTAAATTGAGTACCCTAGGTAATCCTCCAATAAATACAACCGATGGTAAATTATATATTTCAATAGGTGGAAGCCAAAAATGACGATGATCAAATAACAACTATCAAAAAACAATGAACAAGAGAAATAAATCAAAACATGATCAAATGAATTATATGATGAAAGTTATTATTACTGTTAAGTTCATTTATCTTCTCTTTCCTTATTCCTTTGTTCTTCAACTGATTTTGGTATATTGATTTATACTACTTATTAATATTCAGTAAACAGTTTTATTTCTAATAATTTTTAGACGTATGATAAAACGTATGTTTATTTGTCGTATTAATATTGTCAAGTATTTACATAAACTAATGATATTTACCAAATTTATTATCATAATTAGTTTCTCTCAAACGTTATAAATGTTATTCCTAGTTTTTTACATCTCTTAAATTTTGGTGGAGTTTTGTTCTCTGAGCTGGATGGTTTGGTCGTGGAGCTTTCATCGTTCTTCTGAACGACATCATCAGCACAAACTTCTATCTACTTCTAGCTACAAATCTTCTCCACCATCTCAACATCTCTTAAATCCTTATTTAAACTTAACTGTTTCCATATCTGTGTGCTCTTAGTTCCTATTTTGGTTGTTGATAAATTGTTGTTCATACTAGACACAATTATAAACTGTGATTTACGCTATTGTATGTTGCGTTTTTATCTTTATATTATTATTATTATTATTATTATTATTATTATTATTATTATTATTCAAAAAGCTTTTCTTCTTCCATAAATATAGACACATTATTTGCCGCGAATACCTCACGAGTTGAGGTTTTTAACCAATCTATGTATATTCCTTTATGATAGAACTGTTCTGTAGATAAAATGATTGTTTTTTCAACTTTCGTTCCACGTATATCTTAATTGTGTAGTGGAACTCTTCATTAGAATTACCAGTTATTATCATCATTATACTAGGGGATGGTCAAATCTTATAAAACTAGCTGAGAATCAAGATGGTAAGATATATAGCTAACTGATTACAAATATCCACATACCAAATATTAATGAATAGTATAACAATTTAACAACTTCCAGTGAATTCTAGTAGCTGACACCTTTCTGTATTCTTTTTTTCTAGACTAAATCAGTTAATGAAAATACTCAGTAGTATTTTAGAATAGTTTTTAGCAGTTTCTCGTCTAAAAATAACCTCGGATTTCTTTAATGCATTTAGTATCAAAATTAAAGTTTCAAGCATTACTTCAGGTTCTGTTGAACTCTGGTAGAAATATAGAAACTTATTATAGTGTGTAACAACTGTTGAATGTTTCAAAATTAAAGTATTTGATGTTTTTAGATAAGAAATACAACACTAAATGAAATCAAGTATATTATCACTGAAGAAAAACACAACAATTGAATAGCTATCTAACTCTGTTAAGGACTTCTTATCTACAGTTTATCAACATAAGCATTATCATGATTTTTTGTTGTTGATTTCTCAGAGTAATCAATATTCACTGTTGTAACGTGTGACTGCAGATTTGATGCTCAGCGTATTATTGATCGGATCAATGACACATAAAACACGTACGAACGACCTCGAGTCCCGATTGGCCCTGCTTCTCTGTCTAGCTTAGCCAGTTGAGTCCAGAATGTAAGTCTTAACCTCTGAGATATGAATCATTATATTTCAGATATACTCTATTTATATACCAACCAAATAAACCACATCGTACCATAAAATAGAAAACAACATTTTGTACAATATTGAACAAGTGAAATAAATACTGACCAATGGGGAGTGTCCATTTAAAGTTCAAGAACACTATTAGACTTAATATGACAATTATTGTTATATTTTTTTCGAATATCCTAACATTCACTAAAACAATCCACATTACAGATCCATTAGTAAATGGAATACACTGATTAAGACATTAAATAAGAAAGATTAGTTGAGTGAAGAGTTCTCCTTTTTTTTGTGGCGAATTCATTTTCAAAACTGTACAATCGTAAATATGGATACTTATTTTTTCAGGATGATAATAAACTTCTGTTAGACATGACGCTATGACAAACTACGGAAGTTATTTTCAGGGGGACGTTATTTCATTTAAGTCAAAACTTGTAAAACAGTAATATATATTTTTGTTTCTAGGCTATTCCACAGAACATAAGCTTTCGTTTGATGTATGATTCACTGCCATAATCGCTTTTTGTTCCAAAGTTATTGTAATGTAAACGTAATCTTTTATATTCTATTTTCTACGCTAATCTCCGGTTTTGGACATAATTGTATTTATCCTAATTATTGTACGTTGTGGTTGGGTTAGTCATTTATTTATTCATGTATCTTTTCCACATTGATCTGAAATCGGGAATCAGATTGGAATTGGAAATAAATCATGTAGTGTTCCAGTTAACTTGTCTTCTCTCACTTGCGTGCTTGTCAGCCTGAAGTCGTACTGATGACTGTACAGAGGTGTGGCGGTAACAATATGTTTCCTTCAGATAGCCAACATAACAGCGATGCTGTATTCCCACAAAGAGGGGTGGGATTAGAAAACGTCGACCGTAAAAATGCACACCTCTCCTTATCCCATGGATATCCGTCTCCGGAGGTATGGTCTCAAGAAGTACGGAGCTAACAAGAAAATTACCCGCAAGAAGGTCGTGTGTGACCGACCTCAAGCAGTTGTCCCTTGGGCACTACGTCTACGCTCTCAGGTCATTAAGGCCACCTTTAATGCAATTTCCTTTTCAGGTACCTCCAGAAGAACCCTTCCATGGTGTGGGCGACCGGTATGGTGTGATATAAGTAGTATATAACGTGCGTTAAAAGAACGCAATGTCTGGCAGCGGAAGATGGCGAAGATCAAGACAGGTAGAGCGAGAACACAATGGAATTTGTAAGAAAATGCATGATCAATGGAATGGGAGACAATGGATTGGTGTTTGCAACAGAAACAGTCCAGTTTGGTTTGATGCATGAATATTTTGCAAATTGACGATTGACTATATGGTATTCAGATTTTGTTGAGATAGACTGTAATTGTTGTGCTGAATACATCCGTTTGATTCCAACCGGTTTCTTGTTCACTACGCCGGGAAGTGATAATTGCCTTCATACCTCTAATTTACCTTCTACTTACCGTTATAGTATAAGTAACTTTGATTATACAATCAAAATGCTAAACAACTATGAATTATGATAAAGATGATAATGATAACAATGACAACAACAACAACAATAACAAAAAAGAAGTAAAAAAAAACGAATACTTGTAATCCATGTTCTACATCAGGACCATTTTGTTCTTTTATTGAATTCGGTGAATGAAATATTAACTTTAAACGATGCCATGTTGTATCTGTTATTGTAATTAATGGACTAGACCATAATAGATTTTTTTTATCAGCATATATAAATATTTGATTATTAGATAATATCACATAAATATTACCATCATCTGGACCAAAATTAAATGTAACTAATAAACTATATACATCTTCATCAATTTCATCTAAATTAGATAATGTTAAATGTTCACCATTGATAGCAGTATTAGCTAATTGTGCTCGAAATCCAATAGTAAATTCAAATGGTGTATTTCTTTGATTTAAGAAAAAAGAAAGAAAAAAAAGAGAAAAGGAAAAAAGAAAGAAAATTGAGTAAAAATATAAAAAAATATATTTATGTAGAGTCATACACATATAAATGAATGGACTGTTAGAAATGATTATGCTGTTATTATGATGTTAGACTACCATTGAAAACCCTGGAAACACTGGACCAAAGGCCTTAAATTCGAATCCCGATCACAGGATTGTGAATACACAAATTCATATTATTTGTATTTATTTATTTCAAAGCTACTTACAAATAATTTTATTTATCCTATTGATTATTTGATTTAATAAAGAAGACTGAATAAATAAAGCTAAGTCACTTTACAGATTGAAATCATGAGTCAATTGAAGCTAGACCACAATGGAAAACCCGGAAGTACTGTATGACCGTTTCTTCCTACTGTGGGACTCCTCAGCAGTGTTCATCCACGATCCCGCACCCCGCGAGATTCGGATCCAGGACCTATCAGTCTGGCGTGCGAGCGCTTAACCAACAGAGTATTGAGCCGTCATCCAATGGTGTTAATGTCTAACTCCAACCAATCTACGATGTTGTGCCATCGTATACCATTGTCTTCAGTGAGTTGATATCTCACAACAGACCTGGTTGAACTCCACTGGTAACGGCTTCCCACTAGAACCCCAGGAGTATCTCTTGAAGTCAGACACTAGTGAGCAGATGATTATTATCAGAAGGGGTGTGTGGAGATTTTAGAAATTTCACAGATTGAAATCATGTGTCATTTGAAGGAGTCCCATACTAGGACGAAACGGCGGTCCAGTGCTTTCAGGTTTTCCATGGTCGTCTAGCTTCAATCGACTCATGATTTTAATCTGTGAAATTTCTAAAATCTCCACAAATCCTTTTTGATACTAAGTCACTTTAATTGAATAAACACTTGAAAGAGAATGTACGTTAAATATGAATATATACATATACATATATCTTATACAGTTTTAATTAAATAACGTACTGTTGTTCAATAATTGTACCAATATTACCAATTTCCCAATATGAATCTGGATACTGATCAAACCATGCAGTATTTTCAGCATTTTCTGTACAATCCTTAAAAATGATCACAGTGAAATGAAGAAATTATTCATAAATATAAAATGAATGAGAAATAAGAATGTAATGAAGTAAAAGTATATATATGTATATAAATTTAATGTAGAAGCTATAGCGCTAAAGGTTTGATTAGTGATGTAATAAAACAAAAAGTGCACTTAGTAAATGACATTTCCAAAATGATTAGATTGTTAGAAGTGTTTGTAAGCATTGTGAGTTTAAAGATGTTATAAACACCATCAAATGAGATTTTCTTATTGAGTTATATTATTTTGTAAGAGTGGATGATAGAAAACAAGGATAAACAGTACACATTAAACTATTTCATATTAGTATTAGAAGGGGTTTTGTGGAGATTGCAGTAATTACAATAGTTGAAATCATGAGTTTATTGAAGCTAGACCATCATACAAACCTAGAAGCACTATACGGTCAACAATAGGATGGAACATATTTCCAATGCTTTCAAGTTTTCCATGGCGGTCTAGCCTCAATTGACTATAATATCCACAAAAAACCCTTTCTGATATTAATCTAGAGATGCAATTGAATAATTCACCACTTTGTTACTTAATTTGTTTTAAGTAGTATAAATTTTTAACATAAATTATCACCCTTGATATACTGTAGCAAAAGCTATGGCTCGTGAAAATTGTCAATATGTAGTGCAGTAAATAAGAGTGCATCATTAATAAAGTAATTGGTGAATCCTAAAACCGAACAATACACATAAATAGTGAATAGTGACATGTTCAGTGTACCAAAACGTATAAAAGATCATGGATGTTTTGTGAAAAAATCGGGGGGGGGGGTAGAAAAACAAGAACAAAAGTATTTTTTCTTTAAATAATATACCAGTAATTCACAAAAAAGGTAGTACATTATTAACAAATAGAATTATAAAGAAACATCTTTACGTCCCATAAAAATGACTTGAGACATGTCAAGGAGTGAAGACAGATATATCCGAATACAATGTAAATATAAAAGACTCTATTCCAATTTCATTTTCATTCGCCAAAATTTAATCTGGTTCTTAGTTGAATAACCGGATTGTTTAGTGACCGTATGTGTCATGTAATTAAATAACACAATCTATAGTGTGTAGCTCTTCTAGAGTTACTGCCTGTCCCAAGTCGGGGTAAAGGAAGAGAGTTGGGCATGGGGTTAGCGACCCTATCCCGTAGAAAACTAACTCGTTAAAAAAACGCTAAACACTAAGTACTGGTAGCCTATTATACTTTATTATACAAAACGCTTTTTATTTCCTTCTCAATAAAGAATATTTGTTATAAGGAAGAATAGAAATTAAAGTACTGATCTTCTTGATATAATATAGAATCTATTAAGTTAAAGAGAAACTCATCACTAGTTATAATTGTTGGTAATTCGTCGAAGTCATCAAGTAAAACTATTAAGGGTCAAAGATCTTATGTAATTGTTGGGGTGGTCCAGAAAACTCAAATATATTCGATTGTTCCCACTTGTGTTCTCGTTCACTACAATAGTGCTACATTGAAAACAATACTTTATAAGTAATTCAACCATTTTACTGGATTCTCGAACTTTAACAGTTTATTTGTATATAGTTTAAAGAACAAAATCTTCAAAAAAATATCTCATCCTCGAATAAATCTACCACGTTAGTTAGAGAAGGATAGTTGGAATCTGGAACACGCATTCCTTCCTTCTTAGGATTCGTCTGTTTAGCGTACGTGAACTCAAATCGATGTTCACCCTCAGACTGGAACCCAGTAACATTTACTGTGAACGCTAGACCAAGACCTACTTAGCTACTAAGTTTGAAAAACCTTTGCATTTTTCAAAAGGACGAATTTTGACTCAGTTTTATAAATTATCCGGTGGATGTTCAGGGCTGAAATTGATCACTACTACTAAGCAAACGGTCTAGATATTGCTATTACGTCATAACCTTTTTAACACAATTTATATGATAAATAGCACTGGGATTTAAGACAAGCGTTTCGTCCTGTTTGAGATTCTTTAGAAATAGGACAATATGAACATTCTAGACTCCACTATTAGTCACTATCCATCTTTCATCTAAAATGATTGTCACTTAATGATAATATCTAGACAATCCGCTCATAAGAAATATATCATAAAAGAGGTTGATCAATTCCATAATAATGAGAAGAAATTGAACGGTATAAAAATATGACTGACTTACTATGATTTTATACAACTTCTAGATCTATTATTCACAATAACAATATTTATTATTCATATATTGAATGATTAAATTCTAATTATAGACAAAACTATTTATACATATGAATTAACTAAGTATCATATGATTAGTGTAATACTTAATTAACAACAGCATAGATCCATATAGACTATGCAAGTTTATCCAATATAAATAATCAAAATGATAGATGATTGTTATCATTTAAGATATTCAATTCAATCATAATTCTCATATTCGTTAATTAGGGTATTTCAATCTTATCAGTGATTGTGATTATCATTAGTGTGTTTAAATTTCATTCTGCATAGATACAATTTGTTTGTTTGTTTGTTTGTTTTATCGATATTTAAATTACACATGATATATTTTCATGAAGAAATTTATAAAACAGCTCATCTTTTTTAGCTTAATGTTTTTACAGCTACGCCTGGAGTTCTTCTCCATACCTGAGGCTAGTGTTGGTTCTAAGCCCGGATAAAGGGGGAGGGGTGGGCATGAGGTTAGTGACCCCATCCCATAGAAAATTAAATCACCAAAAAAACGCTTTTACAATTAAGAAGTAATTTCTACAGTTGTAGTGAGAAGTCATGCCTAGAGAAGAGTGTTATGAACGGGGAATTAAGAAGCCCAGACAATTACGAAAGCTATTTTCTTGGGACGTTATGGCATTTCATTCAAACCCTGTAAAACACCTATATTTATTTTTGTCCCTATCTTATTCTACATAACACGAGCTTTCGTTCTATGTATCATTCACTAGCATACTCTTTTTTGTTCCGAAAATATTGTAATTTAAAGATGATATTTTACACTGTATTTTCTACCCTAATTCCCTGTTTCCGGCATAACTGTATTTTTCCAAATTATTGTACGTCGTAGTCAAGATATTCACTTATTTATTCATGTACACTTTTGTACTAATCCGAATTCAGATAATTCAGAGTTCAGTGTTCCAACTCACCCTATCGCGTCAAGGTCATAGTTAAATCTAGACAGATCAAGGTGAAGTCATAACGAGTATCACGGGGTAAAAGCGATTCAAGGTCATAACAAAGAGTATACATATGTTGCTAGTGAGGTAATCACTAATCAATAGTATTGAAGAATAAATTCACTTGATATTGTTTTACTAGAATCTTATTATTGATATTTAGGACTGCGATTAATCAGTGCGTATTACCTCGATATGACCTTAATTAACAAGTATTATAAGAAAGATAGATAGTGGCCAGCAGTGGAATCCAAAGTGAACATCAACTCTCAGATGCAGGTACATCCAGCTGACGAGTCCCAAATGGGATGAAACGCGCGTCAAACTGGATTCCATTGCTATCCACTATTCATCTTTACTTATAAAGTATGAAAGAATGATTGTACAGTATTGCGAATTGACTAAAATTCAAATTGTAATGGTCTAAAAGTTGAGCACTTATAACAACACCTTGAGATTCTGTGTTCTATCCCCCGGGGTAGGAGGTTGCAATAAATCTCACACTTAAGCGAAGCAGGTAAATGGATGTTTAACTATAGATTTTATGTGAATAATTTATTTCTTTTTTTTTAGCTGAAAACATGTATAGAGTAGACTATATTAGGAATTTAGTTTGATGTAGGTTGTTATCAGAATATTGTGAGAGATTTAATTTAATGAATCTAGTTGTTTAGATGACTTCCTTGTAAACTTAACAAGCCTTCTGATAAGTCACAGAAGTACTACTGATAATATTCTTTTCGGAAAACATAACCAAACGCTAAAAAAGCTAGTTTGTTTTTAATCTAAAAGGTTTCAAACTAAAACCTTTATTTGACCAAAAATTTGAATGTTTATAATTTGTTTATAAAGGTTTGTAATTCCTCATTATGTTAATTCAGGATAGTAACTCATCAGTGGTGAACATAACCTTATGCAAATGTGATTTGATCGGCATACATATTTGCCATTAAGAGATCGATCAATTACAATGAAAAACAACAAAAACTTTCATACCCGTTGAGAAAACTAACGACTATATGAACTTAGTACCATAGTGAATAACTCTTTGGGTGTATGAAGAAAAAAGGTACTAGGTTTGGGAATCAATGTGACTATCAGCACTCGGATCCAAGTATGCTAACCTGACGATACGCCTATCTTGATCCTACCACTGGTCGAATTCTAAATAAACTAAAACTTATTTAAGGATGTATTATTGAAATAAATTAAAAACACTTCTACCATTGATTAATACTTACATTCTTTTTACGAATTTTTCCGTCACCAGTACGTATATTTTCTAAAACCAATTGTTCATCATAACTTACTCCTGGAATAATTTGTTTAGACATTAATTCATTGAATGGTGTAAATATTAATTGTCGTCCACTTGGTGGTGCTGTTAATTCAAGTCCTTGTAATTTACTTGTCAATAGTCCAGCTAAACCTCGACGTTCTGTAAATCGTGGATATAATTGTCCACCACATATTCCAACTTGACTACCGTATGGATTATCTTTACTTACTAATTCAGTTGCGAAATCCACTAGGCTATAAACAATATCATGAATAAAAAATAATATTACTTATTATAAGTAAGTAGTAAAATTAATTTTAACGTTATTTTGAGGAAAATATATGAAAATGCATACCAAATACAATCAGAGATATTGTGATGGCTGTGAATATGCACTGAAAAGAATGAACATTATTCAAATGTCGACTTCTGAACTACTGACATCTAACCGGCAATTACTCACCACTTATTGTCAGAATCGATGAAGAAATAAGAAAAGGAAAAGTACAAAAGCCTTCAAGGACGTATACTAAGGTTTATTGAAGCCTTGGCTATACGGAAATTGAAACCCCCTTTATGTGTTCAAAAACAATTTGTGCTTACACTTAACCTACCCTGGTAGTACTGATTTACTATCCAGAGTGGTAATCACATTTGTTTTTGTGTACTTTAATATTTTTTCCTTTGTTATGACTTACCCTTAACCTGTCTAGTTGACCTTTTAATTTTTCATATATAAATGTTCTTAACAAGTATATGTGTGATCAGATTGTTCGAAATGTATTGCGCAAATATATCACATAATTCTGATAAACTACGTCTTCTCATTGCATTATCGAAATTTATCAAAGGGACTAATTGTTTTAAAAGGAAAAGTGTTGAAATACTTTGTCAGTCAGTCAGAAACAAAGTAGAACTTCGTATGTAAGTACATCAGTTCGAGTTGCCATACCACATTAGCACAGAGATACAGTTGTCGGTTCAAATTTCATTGTGGTAAAGATAGTAAGAGTATAAGCAGTAATCGGAAATATTAGGGTTTGAAGACGTTATTTAAGGAATATAATACAGTGACAAAAAATTTGGAACGAGATAAAAAGGGGCATGAAGAATTCGGAAGATTTGAATTTGGGAGAACACAAAGAGTGGACCTGCACCAGCACCACTGCAAACGATTTTGAGCCATGTCATTCAGGGTCTCTAACCATCGGTTACTATCATCTCGTGGATCCCAACCAGGTAGTCTACACCTATCAACATGACTCAGACCACTTGTCAGGGACTTCATGGACTTGTGCCATGTTTTGGTCTGGCCGCCCCTAGCTTTCTTCCAATCTACTCCCATACCACTGAACATCGCACGTCGAGGCAGTCGGTCGTTGGGCATACGTAACACGTGTCCCAGCCATCTCAACTGATGAAGTTTCACTACTTCATCAATTGATTTGCCATCCTTACCTAGTACCCGTTTCCTAACAACTGCATTACTTACTCGATGGTCCCATGATATACGAGCAATGTTTCGAAGACACCTATGATCGAATACTAGTAACCTACGAATATCTTCTACTCTTACTGGCCATGTTTCACTGCCATAAAGTAGGACGGAACGAACTTCTGCGCAGTAAACACGTCCTTTGTTTGATAGACGGATATCTCGCCTACGCAAGTTGGTAAAAGCTAGTCGAGCCTTCTGTATCCGTGCTGAGATTTCATCACATACCAGACCACAAGGGCTGATGAAACTTCCAAGATAAGTGAAGCGGTAGACACGCTCAATTACTTCACTCCCTATCATTAGTTCGGGTGTCGATGCAACTCAATCCTGAAGCAACATTTTGCTTTTCGAGGTGGGAGAATCGCATTCCGAACATGCTTGCATTGTTGCTTAGAGTGGTCAGAAGACTCTGCATTTTGTCAGCGTCTTCACCAAATAGAACTATGTCATCGGTATTTACTTTGTGCTGAGAATTCTGTATTATACCAATAATATAATATTGAGTAATGCCATCAATAATAATAATATCAATGGGATGGATATATTTGTGAGAGATATCAATTTAAAAGTAGCAAAGGCAGTAAGAGATTTTGATTTTTCATTGTTTGTCTTAAGGAGGATAATAAGTATTGATTAATATACTTTTGATTGGTAGACATTCTAGTTTTACATAACAAGTGAGTTTATTTATTCCTCGCAACGATGTAAGTGATCATAACTCTTGGTTCATAATAAATTAGCCATCACTAAACACAACCATTTCTTTCTTGCATTGTATTTACATATTTTCTACTTGAGTGTTTGATCACAAAGAATGATACAGTTAAATCGATAAATATCAGATTACGTGATATGCTGTGGATCAAATAACTGCTTCCGACTAGGATTACATTAAGATAAGCAGGCATTCTTTAATTAACCTATGATTACACAAATAATTGATCAGTACTTATTCAATTTGATTAGCTGTTAATTTCAGGTGCACAGGTAGATAGTTATTTCATCTTCATCATCATCAAGCTAGATTTATGATATAATTTAATGAGTTTGAATACATTTTCCATGATTCCAATGAATAAGCGCTTGGAGAAAGATGTGAAATCCACGGACCTGACTCTTGGTAGGGTTGTGGGTACTTAATATTTAGGAACTAAAAATGAGAAGAAACATATGTCCTGTACTTCCTGATTCTTTCTGTTATCCCAAATAAAATCACACTGTTGCAGATACTATAAATAAACATTTCCAAAAAGACATCGACGGCGGTTAGTAGTGGGATCACCTGCTGGATGTACCCACACCTCGATTTCGGTGTCCATTTCAGGACTCGAACCTAATATCATTCGCTTCAAGTGCTATCACATTATCCACTAAGCTACTGAATTCAGTTAGCTGTAGTTTGTGCAATGAAGTGGATTTTAATGTACACCTGTTGGTCGTTTGAATCTTCCCATTGAATATTAGAACTACAGTTTGTGGCGTTTGAAGTGCTGGAGTGAACATTAACTCAGCTGAACGTACATCCAACTGATGATCTCAAAATAGAAAAAAACGGATGTCTTGAATTCCACTGTTAATCACTACCTAACTTTCCTTCTAATTCTTGTAACCTAATATCAGCATCGAAGCAATCCGTATACGATACACATATGCCTAATGAGACTTATCAATTAAAGACATAAACATCAATCGAATGATTCAAACAACCAGTACAAATAAATTAAATACAATCTACAAATATTAGTTTGACTTTTATGATAATTGACACCATGGCATATTATAAAAAGATTGTTAGAGGGTTTGAACCTCAGTGAGAACAGTAACACTCAACTGTACGACTATCCATACATCTTGGGATAAGTTGTAGTTACTATATAATATATATGTATATATAATCAGACACTTACTGTTTCCCAATTATTAAATATTGTATAGTAATAGGATAAGCTGGCATGAATTGTGGTCCAATATATATTTGTCGAATAGTTTTATTATCTGGTTGTTTTGGTATAGTCCATGTTTGTACAATATGTTGATCAAATAATACAGTTAATTGTTCTGTATCAATTTTACCAAAATATAATGTAACAACAACTTCAATTTCAGCTTGTTTTGAATCGAAGAATTTTTTTTTAATTGTATCTGAATTTATTGGTGTTGTCGAAGATGATGATGACGACGACGATGGTGATGATGATGATGATGACGAGGACGACGACGACGACGTGCTTGATGTTACAGTTGAAATTTGTTTCTTTAAATTATTCCAAACTGGTAAAACTTTTGTTAAATTCAAATATTCTGTTAATTCTAAATTTAATAAATTTGTATATGGATCATTCATAGCACGTGATGTTAAAGATGTTCTAGTGTATAATGTTTTACTGACACCCGGTAGAACAATACCTAAACGATGATCTTCTGTAAGGAATATACGTATCCATTCTGCATGTCCCTGTATGTTTTTATTTCAATTTGGAAGAAACATCAGAAAACATATCAGAATGGCAATACAACATAAATATTAATCTACTTTAGTAGTTGAGATCATGAATCAATTGAAGCTAGACCATAATGGAAAATCTGAAAGCACTGGACGACCGTTTTGTCCTACTGTGGGATAATTCAGCAGTGTGCATCCACAATCTCGCCCTTATTACACAAGCATGTGACTATCAGGACTCAGTAGTTATAAGTAAGTGACGCGATGGACTTTGAAGCGAACGGTAATGGGCTCGAGTTCCAGAGTGGACATCAACTTTGATATATAGGTACATCCAGATGATGAGCCCCAAATAGAACAAAGTGGCAAGTGTCCTGGATTCCACTACTAGGCACTAACCAACTTTGCTTATAAAACTTATAACTTAAAACAACATCGAGGCAATCCCCACAGGATTCGCATATGCCAATAAAAGACTGACCAATTGCAATCTTAAGCATCAATGGAAAGATCAGTCAGTCAGTCAGTCAGCTACAACGTAGGACCAGGCACATATATGCATCGCTTCAAGTTGCCATACCTCATTAACACAACAAGATGAACACCGGATTCATACAAGTAGTTAATTCAGAGGTGGTAATATATAAAAGAAAGATTGCAATAAGGATATAGTACATGAAGAGAGAATTAGTTTGTAGAAAGAAAGATATGAAGCGATTTCAATCTCTTAGTTTAAGCGAAGACAGAGAGTGTATACTCTGACGTCATTGTGATTGATTCTGAGCCATGTCACCAAGAGTCTCAACCATTGATTATGATAGTCACGCGAACTCCAACCAAGTAGTCTGTATCTACCAACATGGCTTAGACTAGAAGTTAGTGACTTCAAGCACTGATGTCACTTTTTGGTTTGACCGCCCTTAACTTTCTTCCATTGGAAAGATACAAATAAACAATACCAAGTGAATTCAAAAGTATTTCATTGTGAAAATTCAATTGACTGCTTTAATTTAATTATAAATGTTTGTTTTGTTTATTTTCAGTTAAATTACTTACAGGTTGAATAATTAATAAATCCATATCACCAGATTGTGTAATTAATGGATTAAAACGTATTGTCATACTGATTCCTGGTTCAAATGGTGAATATCTTTGTGGTTCTTTTAATTCTGATGCCATATATAAATGATGCGGTTTTAATTGTAAACAATATTGATAATTTGGACTTGTATTTTCCTGAGAAAATTCGACAGAAAAAAAAATACAGATTGGTGTTATAATGGAAGTTGGAAATCGTTTTTTTTAAGATGGTGGAAAAGAATGGTAGCTCAAGTGGATGATTTTGGTGATGTTTTGTTCTTTGAGCTGGATGGTTTGATCATGAAGCTTTCATCGTTTTTCTTGACGACATCATCAGCATAAACTTCAATCTACCTGAAATTCTACCTGAACTTTGTGCTGATGATGTCGTTTAGAAGGATGATGAAAGCTCCACGACCAAACCACCCATCTCAGAGGACAAAACTTTTTCAAAATAGTTTTTTTAATTATTAAATTCTTATCAATTATAATTTTTATTTTAATAGTTGAGATCATGAGTCAATTGAAGCTTGACCATCATGAACAATCTGAAAGCATTGGACGGCCGTTTCATTTTATTGTGGGACTCCTCAACAGTGCACATCCACGATTCTGATATTAATTGTCATTTTGTTGTATAATTATTAAGAAAAAATAAATTACTACGTATGTGTATTCCATTCATGATTAATTTTGGTAAACTCATTAACTACAGTTGCATGACTTACTATTCCTAATTTGTAGACAGTCTATTAATTACAGTCTCTCCGATTTCACAGCCACTTTTGCTTAGTTTATGTATAATCGTTTATTTTCATTTTATGGTGTTAAGGAGTCTGGTATATTTGCATATAAACTACATCTCGACTGAAGCCCGAGTCCTTACTTACTTACTCACTCATTCACCCACTTACTTACTTACTGACTTACGCCTGTTACCTCCTCATGAAAGAGTATAGGCTGTCTACTAGTATTCTTCATCCGACTCTGTCCTGAGCAATCTTTTTCAGTTGTTTCTAGTTTTTATTCTCATGTCTGCTTCCAATTCTAGGTGCAGTATGTTCCTTGGTCTTCTTTTTTATATCTACCCTTCAGGATTACAGGTAAATGGTTGCTACGTGATGAAGTTTGGTGATTTCTGCAATGTGTATCCTATCCACTCCTAACATCTTTTCCTAATTTCTTCCTCAGATGGAAGCTGATGATATCTGACCAAAGGACATTGAGTATCTTACATAGACAATTGTTTATAAGTAGAACTGTCTTTATGTTCGTATTGAAGATTCTGACTTTGATATTAGTTAAAAGTTGTTTTGAGTTCCGCCTTTCTTTTGCCAATCCTCTCTTTTACGTCTGCATCAGATTCTCATCGTTGATTATTGGTTTTGTTCAGGTACGTGAATATTTTCACCTCTTCCAAAGCTTCTCCATTAAATGTGATTGCTTATTCAAGTAAAATGTGATTGAGTTGTTCTCCATGTTGCATTCCAAGATGTTGCTTTAATCCTTGCGCAGGTTGAGGCCTAATGATGCAGAGGTTGTTGCCACATTAATTTTAAAAACAGAACCGCTTTACTTCAATTATTTGTTCTATAAATTATTTCTATTCTTGTGAGGATTGTTGATTTCATAGACAATTTTCATTATATATGAGTTCCGATATAGTAAACGAGGACTTGATGGAGTAATTTGATTTACAGTTGAGTGTATAATTACAGAGTACCTTCGTACTATATGCAAATTATACAATAAATATATCATTTGCACACCTTTCTTCAGTTGTCGTTTACATGTTTCATGACTCATTCAATTCTGTTGTTATTACAATTAATCTCTGTTTCCCTTCCTGTTCTCTTTAAATTCAATCTTCTTAATCTTCTGCTATCAAGCATACCAGTTCCGATTGGTGCTACATACTACTCATATCTGTCAACATAAGTAGAATGCATTACATCACAAACTTAAAGTTTTAATTATAATGGGTTCATTTGGTAACATGAGATTCAATTGAATTTTTCTGGTAAATTTCAGATTATTTAAAATTTCATTGTTTGGTAACATAAATGCTTAAATGAATTTGGTTACTTTAAGAAAGAAACAATTAATAATAATGATCACGATTGAGATTATTGTCTAGATCTAATCGTTAGGCTTACCTATGGTAACTATATAATAGAGCTACATTGACTGGAATAAGTGTTTGTTTAGATTCTACTATGCCACGCAGCTCAGTGACTTAAGGTCCGAGGGTGAAGACAAACTGCTAGTTTTGATGGGATGTAGAGGCACTAAGGTACTTCTACTACCTATACTTGTGATGATGTTATCTCCTTACAACAGTAAAATGATTTTAAAAGAAATCCTAGTCTCAAACAAAAGAACATACCCATGAAACTGTATCGTTGACGGTAATGTCTTTAATGTACAAAACTAACAAAGTAAGAACTTTTTAGAAAAAGTCTGTATGTAAGCGGCGTCACTCAGTTACCCCTTGTGCTCTGTTGTCATGCAATCAGGTTGCCAAGATCACTACTACTAATCCAACTTACCTTTCAAGTATTTGGAGAAAAACTATTGTTTGATAATGTGTACAACCTAGAAGTGAAAACCGCCTACACATTTATAACAGCACTTGAGATCATATCGTTCACGATTAAATCCCTTCTAATAATAATGATATTATTATCACAATTATTATTGTCAATCACTTACAATAACTCGAATTTCACCAAGTTGTCTAGAATCAGTAAACTGTGTATCACCAAATTGATTCACTGAATTAATTGCATAATCAGCTAAATAGACTTCACCAGATTGACTTAGTTTACCATTTGTAAAACCAATACGACCGGCAAATGGAGTTAATGAAAAACCGAGACTAAAAAAACAACAACAAAGAATAAGTGAAAGATGGAAATTACTATACAATGTGAATAGGTTTATAGGTAAAGAATGATAATTTTGTCTTTTTCTATACAGTAGAGCAATATAGTTTAATCTCCTAATCTGAAATTTAATTGAGTAGTGATTTCATTAGAGTTCATTCAACATGAAATGTGAAAATGTTGTTTTACTTATCTCTAACGAATACAAAGACTGTATTTGTGTAAATTACATTATATAAAATTTACAATTATAATCAATCTTATCCCTTTTGAAATACACTGCATCCCTAAAAGTCTTCAGAAGTCAGACTTAATATTATCGTTGTACAGTCATGATTCATCAATTGTATTGACCTATTCAATGAAGTCAAATGTTTAAATGATACTTTTTCCATTCAATTGAATATTTTATCTTTTTATTATTTTGTTCAGATGTTGGACAATATAAGATTAAGTTTACTGAACCTTAAATATTTCATTAGAATTGGGCATATAGACAATCTTCTTGAATTCAGTTCATCAATAATCATCCCATCATTGAATCAATAATCAGAATACACATAATATTGTAAGTAACCAATGTTTTCATTAACATGATATATCGATGGTCATCTAAAATGGACAATCTTAGTAAAATATTTGTTAGATCGATCATTGTCTATCACATCTCAGAAGACAAGTCGATAAAGTTTAACCATTGAATAGAGCTTAAGCAACTTTTACAATAATTCTGATAACTTATTGAACCTATCCAGCTAATAAGAAAAATGAATGAATTTACAAGTATAATTTCTATATATCATTAAGGAACTTCTTGGAATTGTCTATACGTTCTTCTGTTTTAAATTCAAAAAACCCTTCCATCAAAATACTCATAAATAAAAAGTTCATGACTTCACATGACTAATCTCAAGTGAATAGTTTCCTAAACTACCTACAATACCTCATAAATTTTTGGTATATAACTTTTTGCTTGAGATCATGAATCGATTGATATTAGATCACCATTGAAAACCTGAAAGCACTGGACGGCTATTTCTTCCTATTTTGGGACGACTGAGCAGCGCTCATCAACGATCCCGCTTGCAGGATTCAAACTCACGGCCTTCAGTTTTGTGCGCGAGAGCCTAACCTACTGGACCACTGATCCGGCATCTAATGGTGTTAGAGTCTAACATCAACCAATCCACGAAATTGGCCGACTATCTTCCATTGTTCTAAGGTAGATACCTGACACGGATTAACTCCACTTGTAACGGCTTCTCACCAAAACTTCGAGAATTCGCTCACGAAGCTAGTCACTGGTGCGCACTGCCGAGGAGTCTCAGAATAGGACGAAACAGGCATCCAGTGCTCCCAGGTTTCCAACGCTGGTCTAACATCAATCGTTTCTTGATCTTAATCAAAAACTTAATGATCTCCACAATCTTACACTTATATAAATAATAAATAAATTGAAATTACGTAATAATGATATATATAAATTACTTTTGCATTCGTTTACGTAATTCATAATGACTAGGTGGTATACCACCTAAAAATAATATCATATCATCATTACAATCAGTTGTCATGAAACTATCCAATCGTAATATACGCATAGATGGATCTAAAATATTTAAATTTAATCGTCTTCTATCTTCATCATGATAACCACTACCACTGGAACTAGTGGATTGACGTCTCCAACGTGGTTTAAAATTGAATGTTTTAAAACGACGTCGTCTTATTATTTCCATATCATCACGTTGTTTAGTATCATCTAATCGATATAATTCACGACCAGACCAATAATTAGCTTCAGGTCGACCATTAATTAATTCAATTGTTATACCATAATCCTTTAATAAAATCAAATTAAAAATTTACATGGATTAAATACAGTATGAAATAATTGTAGTTGAAAAAAGTAATAAATCTAATGTTTAATCTATTTTGTAATGAAAAAATACTATGTAATATAATGAATTCTGATCTGTGGGTGAAGAAGATAATGAATGCTTGCAGCTATGTCATATTAGTAGTAGTAGTAGTAGTAGTAGTAGTAGTAGTAGTAGTAGTAGTAGTAGTAGTAGTAGTAGTAGTAGTAGTAGTAGTAGTAGTAGTAGTAGTAGTAGTAGTAGTAGTAGTAGTAGTAGTAGTAGTAGTAGTAGTAGTAGTAGTAGTAGTAGTAGTAGTAGTAGTAGTAGTAGTAGTAGTAGTAGTAGTAGTAGTAGTAGTAGTAGTAGTAGTAGTAGTAGTAGTAGTAGTAGTAGTAGTAGTAGTAGTAGTAGTAGTAGTAGTAGTAGTAGTAGTAGTAGTAGTAGTAGTAGTAGTAGTAGTAGTAGTAGTAGTAGTAGTAGTAGTAGTAGTAGTAGTAGTAGTAGTAGTAGTAGTAGTAGTAGTAGTAGTAGTAGTAGTAGTAGTAGTAGTAGTAGTAGTAGTAGTAGTAGTAGTAGTAGTAGTAGTAGTAGTAGTAGTAGTAGTAGTAGTAGTAGTAGTAGTAGTAGTAGTAGTAGTAGTAGTAGTAGTAGTAGTAGTAGTAGTAGTAGTAGTAGTAGTAGTAGTAGTAGTAGTAGTAGTAGTAGTAGTAGTAGTAGTAGTAGTAGTAGTAGTAGTAGTAGTAGTAGTAGTAGTAGTAGTAGTAGTAGTAGTAGTAGTAGTAGTAGTAGTAGTAGTAGTAGTAGTAGTAGTAGTAGTAGTAGTAGTAGTAGTAGTAGTAGTAGTAGTAGTAGTAGTAGTAGTAGTAGTAGTAGTAGTAGTAGTAGTAGTAGTAGTAGTAGTAGTAGTAGTAGTAGTAGTAGTAGTAGTAGTAGTAGTAGTAGTAGTAGTAGTAGTAGTAGTAGTAGTAGTAGTAGTAGTAGTAGTAGTAGTAGTAGTAGTAGTAGTAGTAGTAGTAGTAGTAGTAGTAGTAGTAGTAGTAGTAGTAGTAGTAGTAGTAGTAGTAGTAGTAGTAGTAGTAGTAGTAGTAGTAGTAGTAGTAGTAGTAGTAGTAGTAGTAGTAGTAGTAGTAGTAGTAGTAGTAGTAGTAGTAGTAGTAGTAGTAGTAGTAGTAGTAGTAGTAGTAGTAGTAGTAGTAGTAGTAGTAGTAGTAGTAGTAGTAGTAGTAGTAGTAGTAGTAGTAGTAGTAGTAGTAGTAGTAGTAGTAGTAGTAGTAGTAGTAGTAGTAGTAGTAGTAGTAGTAGTAGTAGTAGTAGTAGTAGTAGTAGTAGTAGTAGTAGTAGTAGTAGTAGTAGTAGTAGTAGTAGTAGTAGTAGTAGTAGTAGTAGTAGTAGTAGTAGTAGTAGTAGTAGTAGTAGTAGTAGTAGTAGTAGTAGTAGTAGTAGTAGTAGTAGTAGTAGTAGTAGTAGTAGTAGTAGTAGTAGTAGTAGTAGTAGTAGTAGTAGTAGTAGTAGTAGTAGTAGTAGTAGTAGTAGTAGTAGTAGTAGTAGTAGTAGTAGTAGTAGTAGTAGTAGTAGTAGTAGTAGTAGTAGTAGTAGTAGTAGTAGTAGTAGTAGTAGTAGTAGTAGTAGTAGTAGTAGTAGTAGTAGTAGTAGTAGTAGTAGTAGTAGTAGTAGTAGTAGTAGTAGTAGTAGTAGTAGTAGTAGTAGTAGTAGTAGTAGTAGTAGTAGTAGTAGTAGTAGTAGTAGTAGTAGTAGTAGTAGTAGTAGTAGTAGTAGTAGTAGTAGTAGTAGTAGTAGTAGTAGTAGTAGTAGTAGTAGTAGTAGTAGTAGTAGTAGTAGTAGTAGTAGTAGTAGTAGTAGTAGTAGTAGTAGTAGTAGTAGTAGTAGTAGTAGTAGTAGTAGTAGTAGTAGTAGTAGTAGTAGTAGTAGTAGTAGTAGTAGTAGTAGTAGTAGTAGTAGTAGTAGTAGTAGTAGTAGTAGTAGTAGTAGTAGTAGTAGTAGTAGTAGTAGTAGTAGTAGTAGTAGTAGTAGTAGTAGTAGTAGTAGTAGTAGTAGTAGTAGTAGTAGTAGTAGTAGTAGTAGTAGTAGTAGTAGTAGTAGTAGTAGTAGTAGTAGTAGTAGTAGTAGTAGTAGTAGTAGTAGTAGTAGTAGTAGTAGTAGTAGTAGTAGTAGTAGTAGTAGTAGTAGTAGTAGTAGTAGTAGTAGTAGTAGTAGTAGTAGTAGTAGTAGTAGTAGTAGTAGTAGTAGTAGTAGTAGTAGTAGTAGTAGTAGTAGTAGTAGTAGTAGTAGTAGTAGTAGTAGTAGTAGTAGTAGTAGTAGTAGTAGTAGTAGTAGTAGTAGTAGTAGTAGTAGTAGTAGTAGTAGTAGTAGTAGTAGTAGTAGTAGTAGTAGTAGTAGTAGTAGTAGTAGTAGTAGTAGTAGTAGTAGTAGTAGTAGTAGTAGTAGTAGTAGTAGTAGTAGTAGTAGTAGTAGTAGTAGTAGTAATCTGTTAGGTACAATATGAATTATATATTCTCTTACCCTCATCATTATTATTATTTTGATTGTTGTCGATTTTTGGTCAGTCTAGTCATGTGTTCATGATCTGAGTTGTGTTAAAGTCCTGTAGAATAAACACTGACAGGGAATCTAGTGTAGATATTCATCTAAGGTAAATAATCAGCGTCTCATTCGTGTAGACGAGTAAAGCAGGACGTTATAACTAATTCAATTGTTATTTATTCATATAAACATCACTTGGGACATTCAATGATTGCTGTACTTTTGTCCTGCTTTAACTTTCTGAAATAATGAGGTGAAATTACTGAGAAAATATGGCTAGATTTCGGATTACTGATATGCACTTCTGAGAAGTCCCACCATAGAACGAAATGGCCGTCCAGTGCTTCCAGGTTTTCAGTGGTAGTCTAACATCAATCAGTTCATGATCTCAATCAAAAACTCAATAATCTCCACAACCCTATTTTGAAGATTTCTATGATCATGTTAATTAGTGATATCAATATGAAATCGATATTATAGTTGGAGTAATACGGTAGAAGGAAATTCATAAAATTTGAGTATTATTATTAATATTATCCCAAATAAATCTGGATCTTAGAAAATATGAAAACTAACAACCATTTACATGAATCGCTACAGTAATCAAAACTATGAATGAAGTTCAGAGGATTAAGTCGATCGGTAGATAAATAGCATTTCAGTTCTTAGTACTGGTCGAATTCCATTAGTTAAGTTTTACTTCACTTTAAATGATGATCTCATTGTGGTTTGTAATTCAAAATTATTTATCTTGCATAAATGATGTACTTACAATTTATAGTTCAGAACTCTACGGTTACCAATCATTCTTCTTCTTATAATATCAAATAAGATATATTGTGGTGTATTCAACTTATCTCTGTCAACATAATTAGTATGTAGCGCTAATCAGAAGTGGAATGCTTGATAGCAAAAGGTTGAGAAGATTAAATTCAAGAGAACATGAATTTAAAGAGGGGAATTGTAATAACAACAGGAATGAAGTTTCTAAGAGATAAATCATGGAAGATGTTTAAATGAAGTGAATAGTTTCCTAAACTACCTACAATACCTTATACATTTTTGGTATATAACTTTTTGATGAAGTTTTGTTCTCTGAGATGGATAGTTTGCTCGTGAAGATTTCATCGTTCTTCTGAACGATATAATCAGTATAAACTTCAGATAGAAATGAAGTGTTCGAATTTCTCCACATGTGGTTCATAACTTGTCCTGTACACCAAAATAAAGTAGTAAACAATGACAGGTTTAAGGTCAAGAAGAACCAATCAACATCGAGGCGTACAGGTTAATTTGTGAACCATATGTGGAGCAATTCGAACACTTCACTTCTATCTGAAGTTTGTGCTGATGATATCGTTCAGAAGAACGATGAAAGCTCTAAGACCAAGCCATCCATCTCAGAGAAAAAAACCTCCATCAAAGCTTACAGAAGTCTTTAGACTTTTGTAGCGCTGTGATTTAACCGAATGAACATTGAAGAAATGGTAACTCTTGTAAGCTTTAATTTAACTCATTAATTATTATTATACTACTTATTATTTCCAATTTACTGGCAATTAATTTCTTACAATTTTCCTTATTCACAGACAACTTTGTCCTACTTTTGTATAATTGTGATTTCATAGTTCATGGTGTGATGTGGTCCAATATAATTGCATCTAAGCCCAAAAGTGCTTGAAATAATAAGTAATAGAAGGTGGTTGCTATCTTCTATTGTAAATCGAAGCAAAGGATAGAGAAAAGTCTGCTGATAGCAAACCAGTAAAAGCTTAGCTTATGTCATCTCAAATTTAATTGTACAGGTTAGATGAATGGTTAATTTTAGGACAGTAGGCTATAGGAGAATTTGTAAACGAGGAATAAAAGAGATTAGCATCTTTAGACAATAATATATCAGAAAGGGTTTTGTGGATATTACATTAATTTCAATGGTTAAGATCATGAGTCAGTTGAAGCTAGACCACCATGGAAAACCTGGAAGCACTGGACGGCCATTTCGTCCTATTATGGGACTCCTCAGTTTCAATGACTCATGGTCCTAAACCATTGAAATTACTAGAATCTCCACAAAATCTCTTCTGATACTAATCAACATATGCTCACTAGTGACTGGATTCAAGATGTATATCCTTGTGTTTTAGTGAGAAGCAGTGACCAGTGGAGTTCAACCAGGTCTGCTGTGAGATAATAACTCACTGATAAAAATGGTGGATTAGTTGAAGTTAGACATTAACACCGCTAGATACCAGCTCAGTGGTCTAGTGGTTAAGTGCTTGCGCGTGACACCAGTAGTTCCTGGGTTCGAATCTAGCAGGGGGCGAGGTCGTGGATGCGCACTGCCGAGGAGTCCTACAATAGGACGAAACGGCCATCTAGGGCTTCCAGGTTTTCCATAGTGGTCTAGCTTCAATTGACTCATGATCTCAACCGTTAAAATTACAATAATATATGTTTGCTTTCAGTTTGTATTCAACTTATACCTATATTTTTCTCATCTCAACCAGATCAATAATAAATTATTACTGAAAGAATCAACTTACTTTATCATAATTTATAAATGTCATCACTGTCATATTAGATCGTTGATATTCTTTTAATGGTGTTAATTGAAAATCGAATTGATCTTTACAAAAATCTAAATTATTAATCGATTTTAAACGTGCATAACCACCGGCACCATTAAAATCATAGAAAAACATTCTAGTTAATGATAAAGATGGATCAATTAATTGTGATGGACGTTCTAAATTAGTTAATTTATCTAATTCACCTTGTCTATCCCATATATAACCATTTCGAACAAATTGACGATTTTTACCACTATAATAAACAAAAGTGATATTGAGATATAAGTTTCAAAATAAATTATTATTTTAGTTAGCTTAATGTGAATAAATATATATTCCTCTATGGACTCATGGTTTATATTATACAATTCTACATAAAGTCTATTACAATTCACCATTGGATGCCGGCTCAGTGCTCCAGTAAGTTAAGCGTACGCGCGCGAAACCAGTGGGTCCTGGGTTCGAGTCCCGCGAGGCGGGCCGTGGGTGTGAGCTGCTGAGGAGTCCCACAATAGGACGAAACAATCATCCAGTGCTTCCAGGTTTTCAATGGTGGTCTAACATCAATCGGTTCATGATGTCAATCAAAAACAATTTAAATAGCCCAGTCCCGATGTGCCTGACTGTGAACTTGTGTAACATGAATTTGAATCCTTTAAGGAGTATCATAGTCTCATCATTTTAGATTAATATATGCGCCATAACCTTGAAGTCGCTTTCTCAATTCTCATTGGTTCTATAGTGCACTCAAAATGATTTAAATTCAATAAATTAATAAACAAATCAATGGCTATAAAAAACTCACGGTCTTTTTTGTCCGCAGTAGGAAACATCGTTCGATGTACATAAATAAAGAAAAGAGAAAAGAAATTATATAGAAACAGAAAGAGTTTAAAATTGTGAATGAATAAAATTTACTCTTGTTGAACTATCTATTGTCATGGAATAACTAACAAAATTGGTTGAACTATTTGCTTAAACAAGGTGGAATCTTTAATCACTTAAATGTTAATACAACATTCTTGATTTTGTGTGGTATTTGTTCATCAATTCAGAACGCCAGTACTATATACAAGGATTCAGAGATTATCTGAAAGAAGATAGTGAGCTATTGATAAACGTTTTGAAATTCATGGTTTAGTTTATTGCGGAAGTGTTAAATCTTATGTACGGTAAGAAACTGCCTAAGCCTCCTGTCATAAAGAAGAAGTAGAAGTGACTGTCTCAAAATTACATAATAATAATAATTTTTTATCTTATGTAACTTCATTTTTCTTATCTTCTACAAAACGGAATACGCAAAGATTATCCTATAAACTCCTTAAGCCAGGGAATTACTATCTGTCAGCTGACTATTATCATTTACTATAAAATTAGAAACTAATGGAAAGTCGTGATTGAAGTTCCATTTGTCAATTGATCCGAATTTAAACTGGGTCAACTGAGAGACTCCATCGCCTGGAATAACTCAAAGTATCGAACCTTCTGCCTTTTCCAAAGATAGTTCTACCATAGTTGAATCGAAACATTTTTTTGAATAAAAGACTGTCGTTTCATCTAGTGTAATTATTCTAACTATTGTTGCTTAAATTAATTTATCTAGCAATTTGAGTGGCTTGGAACAGAGTACTGAATTTATATTTTACCTTACATAAAACTCGTGTTAGATGAATGTTAAGCTTAAACTAAGTGATTATCACTAAAAAAGTTAGAGCTCTATTTATTCAAAGAGGGGTTTTGTGAATATTATAGTAATTTAATAGTTGAATTCATGAATCAATTGAAGTTAGACCACAATAGAAAACCCGGAAGTACTGTACGACCGTTTCGTCCTCTTGTGGGACTCCTCAGTAGTGCGCATCTACAATCCCGCACCCCGCGAGATTCGAACCCAGGACCTATCAGTCTGGCGTGTGAGCGCTTAACCAATAGAGTATTGAGCTGGCATCCAATGTCTAACTTCAACCAATCCACGATGTTGCGCCACCGTCTACCATTGTCTTCAGTGAATTACTATCTCACAACAGACCTGGTTAAACTTCACTGACCATGGCTTATCACTAGAACTCCGCGAAATACCTCTTGGAGACCATCACTAGTGAGCATATGCTGATTATCATCAAAGAGGGTTTTACTGGGTATTATAGTAATTTAATTGTTGAATTCAGTCTATGAAATGATGATAGCCACCGACTTGTTCAAAGTATTAGTGATTCATCCAAAATATCTAAACTGTGATTGTCTAGTGAGACAAGACAGACCAAATAGGCAATTATGATTGATTTACACGTAATATCATCTTGATGATAGTCAGATAGACAGAGGAACAAATAAGTAGATATAAATTTATGATATCCGTCTCAAACTATTAAGGGCAATATATTTTCAAAAGTACATTTATTGTTTTAGATTTGTTTTGAACTAACTAATAATGTCTGCTAACCATATCGTCTACATTCACGCTTTTATAAAACATGTTACAATCTGATTACTGAAAATCTCATGAATTGCCATCATAGTACCTCATATATTTCCCTCCTTCTCTATCCTGTAGAAAAACGAAAGGTGATTACTATAGAATTCATACACTAAATTTACTCAACAATAGAATGCGATATCATAGGAGTAAGACCAATCTTCGACATTTGCCAGTGAGTATGAATGGCAGGTAATCATTGTGTGAAAAGTAAATAATATTTGTTGAGATCTCACGAGAATTCCTGTATGAGATTTCCAGAAGATAGAAAAAAGGCTGAGAGCGTTTCGTAAAATCAGCATATTCTATAAATTCTTCTGGAAAATTAATTGGTTGTGTTAAACTTCAACTGGATGATTACTTACTTTGCTACTTAATTTAGAATGTTTCAAGGAGTTTCTAGAGTTAAACAGCTATCAATAAACCCATACATAAGTTTGCTTTCTGTACATAAATGAACACTTAAGTAAAACTTCTATTCTTACTTTACTCCTTTCATTTACTGTTCGGGGTTCAAATCTAAGAGTATTTAAGAATCTTGTGATACAGATACGAAGTTAGTATCAAGTGTTTGAGTAGCAGGCATATCATTATTATGAAATTTTATTCAGCCAGTCCCTTCTTTCAAAGCATGGTAGGATCTGTCACAAATGTGCATTGGTTCAAGTTATCACATCATATTAATTACCAAGACAAATGACAGGATTATAGCTGGAGTAACAGTATGAGTGGTAGTAGAAAAGACTCTAAATACATAATGTGAACAGAGAAGAGATAATGAATTTGTAGTTTAATATATATAAAACAGTTTCAAAACTTAAGATCCAAAGGAGGACAAAGAGTCAGTGCATCTGCGCTAACTACATTAGACTCTGAGTCATATCACCCAGCATCTCCAACAATTGGCTAAGGTATTTCAATAAATCTAGTCTATACCTACATCGCACTATAATATGATAATCTAAAATTCTTACAATATTATTTTCATTAAGCATATCATTCATAACTTACAACTGACACTGATATTCTTTTGGTTTAGAACATTCAGGATTAGCATCAGCAAAATTAGCAATACTAATAGGTGTCCCACTTAATCTTAAATTGAACATGCAAAATTTAATTGATTCCATTGACATAAGTCGTGACCAGAATTCCTCAGCACCATTATCACCCCATGCTTCCGGGTTACTTAAACGACTACTAGGTTGCATAACTCCTCCAATACGTAATTCCATTTGTCTATCCATAATAAGATTTGCTTCTTGATCAAGTGTTCCATTTGTTGTAGCAGTTTGTTTCATCTCGGGAAATACATCACCATGATCTTGAAATGCTCGTTCCATAAGTATCATTCTTGTCTCACCACCAACTGATGTAACACGTGTATGATACCAAGTATTTTTAGCAATTGGACCTAATTCTAGGATTCCATTTGGAGTATTCCATGAAAAACGTAGTCTAGCATCAGGTGCTTCAACAGTGAATGCAAACATTTGTGTATGTCCTTCAAAAGCTCTACGTCCAACCATTAATACACTACTTATACTCGATAAAGTTGGTAAATTATTTAAATTAAACCAAAATTCAATATCAAACACTCGAGATTTTGTTAGACTATATGGAACCAATGTGTATACACAATCTTGACCTAATTGTAAAGGTACTGGATCATGAGATAATGATCCATAATTTACATCAAGTATTGAACGTGCTTCATCAGCTAATCGTCGTAAATTTAATAATTTTGAATCTAATTGTCTAGCAACATGTTCAACTTCATCAATTGATTTAATTAAATATGATTGAGTAATATTTGCTCGATCAACTATAATTTTATAAGAAAATAATAATCAGATTTAATAAAATAGAAAGGGATTTCATGAATAATAATTAATTTTTTACAATAAAATAAATCTATTTCAGTATGAACTTGGCTTTTTCTTGTCGTAAAGTTTGAATAATCCCCAAATGTCCCAGTATGGCCAAGGGTGAAGATAGTCTGCTCTCTCTCTCCAAATGCTCTAACTTGACCACTTATATACAGCCACTACCAAGGAAGCTCCAGTCACTGCCTATGTTATTTATGAAATTAAGGAGACAAAAAGCGAATGTCCGACGCTTTAACCAGGTTGGTGGATACGGAGGATTCACCTGAGGGAGTTAAAAAACCACAATTCCAAGCGAATGGAGCACATGAACTCCAGGATCCTGAGGGGAAAAAGGGTATGAACATATTGTTGGTCACCGGCTGCCATGGCAGTGCATCTCTTTTCTTTGATCCATAGCGTTGTGAATTAGACCTTCAAGTCAAAGGCTCGGGGTGTTGCCCCCTAAGAAGACCACTTGATTCGGTTTGGGAGCCCAGGCAGTATTACAGCCCTCACACGAATCACTAGTAACTGCTACTGGCCTCATTTTCATCGCGTGGCTGATATGTATTTGGTGCCTCCTTGGACCATTGTTTATATGTTCAAATAAATCATAAAGTTCTGATATTGTGTAAGTAAGTAGGTGAATGCATGATTGTGCTTAAAATGTAATTTCTTATTTGGTCTGCTGTATGTTCAGATATTTTCAGTATTTTATTGTATGAGCTTCGAGTCGGGATTGAATTGGGTACAATAGGGAACTAAACAACCAATTGACATCGTCTTCTAATTGGTCATGCGGTTATATACAAACTCGAAGACCAATAAGCGTTAAGACCGTACTTGTCATTCATTGGTCAGTATGTATATTCGTGAAATTAGTTACTCCTCCAAGTGCCGACATAGTATATGACCTTAATTATGAATTCTCAAACTATAACAAATTCGAGGCGGACCTCTTCTGAAGATAAAACAGTGTGTGACTCCTCAACAGTATCATAAAATGGTAATATTCATTGGTGTAGAGCTTGTTTATATAAATAGCTGGTATGTTTATTCCTTAAAACCATGAAGTGCTTGAACAAAGTCCTAAGTACATAAACTGATAGAATGAGTAATATATGATACTTGTTAGAAGCCATCAAAGACTCATTGAAAAAATGCTCTGGAAGTTAAGAAAAATTGTTGAAATTACCTCAAATAATCAACAATCTTTGAAAAATTTCAAGAGAAACCTGGAAAATAACTGAATGGGCTTTCGTTATCCCGATTGGATAGTTACCGCATTTTCTGCTACTTTTAACATGTTTTCTAGAAGCTTCCCTAATCTCGAGGTTGTATATAATCTTATAAGTATTTTGATGGAGTTTTGTTCTCTGAGCTGGATAGTTTGATCGTGGAGTTTTCATCGTTCTTCTGAACGACATCATCAGCACAAACTTCAGATAGAAGTGAAGTGTTCGAATTTCTCCATATGTGTTTCACAGCTTGTTCTGTGCACCTCGATGTTGATTGGTTCTTTTTGACCTTAAATTTGTCAATGCTTACTTTGTTTTGGTTGTGTCTCCCATTGGTTTGATTTTTGTTCTTATATTTATGCATGATTTTCCTGATTGGTTGATAAATTGGATTGATTTCAATATGTCTGTTGACCTGAATGCCAGCCTTATAAAAATTTTCTGATGTTTTTGGAATTTCCTCTATCCAAGATTTCTATATTGTTCCAATCGAATGAGTGTCCGCAGTTGTCCAAGTGTATTGATGTAAGTGAGAAAGTATCATGGCGTTTGACTGCTAATTGATGTTCATGTAGGCGAAGATGAAGGGGGCGTCCGCTTTGTCCGATGTAGTGTTTGTCGCAGTTGGTACAATTTATTTTGTAGATGATGTTTGATTTGTCTTCCTTTGTTATTTTATCCTTTGGTATGCATAGGAATTACACCTTGTGCATAATCTAATCTCCTAAGTAGGGCTTTGTCTATACTATGTGCCTTCAATTTTGTGTTCAGAGATGAAGGATAGGAGATCTCTGAGGATTAAAAAGAGGTTGGTAAATAGGGGTCCACGTGTTCACAAATATAGAAACAAATGTTTTTTCAAATGTAAATTTTTATTTTAATCACATTAGAAAAAACAGTAGTAATAATTTGTTAAAACTAACCTAAAGTTTTAGCTGTTCCTTGTATTTGGGAAAATCGATTCTCCATATCTTGTAAACGATCATGTAATTCATTATAACGTCCTAACTGTACTTGTAATTTATCTGAGGCATTTTGAATCAGGGGTTTTGTATCTTTCAAAAAGTGTTGTATTGAATCAACTAGAATGAAAGAAAAGGTTGAAAAATAAACAAAATAATGATGACTGGTCCTGTAAATGTTTTTCAGTATCGCTTATCGTAAGCCTGAATAAGATGAGATATTGTATTGGCTAGAAATGGACAGTGATAATCAGACTGAAGAATTGTTAATTTAAAGCATACCAGGCGGATGGAGGTAGCTGGAAGGAAATCAGAGATCAAGCTTTTATACAAGATGACCTTCGTCAACAATGTATGCTTAAAATTCTGATTAAACGAATGGTTCTCGGGGGACATCAGCCCGTGTCACTCTATATGAGATGTTAGCATTGACCTACTTGAGCATTCTTTGACCTCCTGTAAGACTCTGATGTGTACATTGATTGGTCACTGAGTGATACACAACATCATGTTTATTTAATGTTTTAGTGCTGATCAAATTCTATCAGTCCAGTTGCAGTGTAGCCATTAACCTTAGTGACTCAAAATAGTATGAGGTATGTTAAAATGTTTTGTGGTTAGAGATAGTTGATAGGAAACTCTAGATTTCATGCTCGTTGACATTCCACCAGCAAGGAAATATGTCAATTCCATCTATGTAATAAAGTGGATATTGAAAAACTAGATGAACATGATAGAGTTCATTACTCAGTGAGTGCTTGAAGTCGACGAACTGTCAAGAAGTTAACTCTATCTAATAAAGATCTCATGCAAAGATCGAAGCTCGATCAAAATTCACTGATCTGAATATATATAGTTCTAGATGTGAGAGTGAGTGTTCTTAGTTCAGTGCTCAGTGAATTAATGTAAATCATTTCCTAAGAAGCTCACAAATAGAAATATTGGCATTACTACATAGTTTTTCTTTGTTTGATACCTACAGAACTATTTCCACACATCAATCTTTCTGTATCTGTTTTTAAGCCTACGCAATGCTACTCAATGGTAGTTAGCAATGCAAGTAGTATTGTACAATTTTAAAACCTCTAATATAATTTTGTAGGTTTTCGTAATGTTGTTATAAATTTCAACTGTCAATTGTTTATTTATAAGACTCAATTTCTTCCTGGTCTTATTTCCTGACAATCTAACCATTATTTACAGTTTGCAAATTTTTTTTCCATGGTGATGTTAAACTTTCAGATATATCTCATCTTCTAGCCTTAGAATTTTAACAACTTCGTTCAAATAGTTAAAATTTAGACATAGAATAAACGAAACCGAAGTGAATACCAAGTTTCGGATTAATGCATCATTCTCTTGTCAAGATTTAAAAAAAAAAACACTAAAAATTAATAATATATTTGTAATATCCCAATGATTAGAAAAATTAGATTTTCTGACGTTTCGTGACTTAGTGAAAGTCACTTCTTCAGAGAATAAATAACCAAATTAATTGATAACCAAGTTGATTTTAAAAATATCAAAATATTGCAATAAGGTATTTTCAATTACAAAGAAAAGAGAGTAGCTGAAGCATTTCATATAATGCTTAATCCTACTTCTCACCATACATCCTACTTGAACCATCTATCCTAACCATTCAGTCTGATCGTATTTACAATTTCACACTATCATATTACAAATTTAAACTCTATCCTTTCTTACAATAAAGGTCACACAAGTTTTCATTCTTAAACAATGCACACATACATACACACACAAATCTACATACATATCACTTATGAATCACCTTGACCGAAATGACATGACATCAACTTGTTCAGACTTGTTTTTGATTGATCCAATATTATTCTTGCATTGTTCCGTTGTACTATGTAAACTTGGATTAATTTTAATTTGGTTATTTATTCTCTGAAGAAGTGACTTGCACTAAGTCACGAAACATCAGAAAATCTAATTTTTCTAATCATTGGGATATTACAAATATATTATTTTTATTTATAACAATCAACCCAATGCTCATTTCATTCGAAATTATCAAATCAAACCTTGGTAATGATATCTAAAAACACTAAAAAAGTTTCAAAATAAAATTCATTTGACTTCTTCCCTACTGCGACTAGATTCCAAGTTCCTAGTTACTGGCATAGATGATAGATGATTTTTTAAAATCAATTTTTATCCGTAGTGACATGTAAAAGAAAATCCACCAAATATTATAATGACCCAATATAGATTGTTTATTTTCAAGAAAACTAGGGTTCTAGTTTCAGAAGAACCGTGTTTCTAGCTTCTTTACTTAATTTGGCTAACCTCAAATACAGCATTCCAATAACCTTTAAGAATATAAGATAATCCAATTCGAATAATATACATAACTTTAAATATATTTTTAAAGCTTTTATCTTTTCAACTCAACTATAAGTATTAAATAGATGATATTCATCATGAATTTATAACATTCATTGGTGTGGTGTGTGCTACTTATATTGACATAAGTAGTATATGATGTTAGTCGTAAACAGAAGATCTGGCAGTAGAGAGACAAGAGGATCGAACATTAAAGAATGGAAACAGAATGCAATTTGTATGAAAATGCAAGAACAATGAAGGATGAGTCTTTATGAGACAATTGATGGACATTTTGCAAATTGAGCATTTACTATTTGATTGTTAGATTTTATTAACAAGTCCTGTAATTTTGTGTTAAATACATTCGATTGTCCCCGCTGGTGTTCTTGTTCACTACAACTGGTACCAATAAAACTCGGCCAGTACAGAATTTGGACTAATGAAAAGTTGTAAATTAGGACAAAACACTTGCCCAGTGTCTCTCTATTTTTCAGTGATACCCTAATGATGTTCGATAGGGAAAGTAAATATGATTAACCTCTTGTTGATTTCTACTCCGAAATCATTGAGAGTGACTGCTTGTAATTATGTGGAATACAGTATTGTCTAACGTATACTATGGTTCTATATTCGTGATCGTGAATCGTGTACCTGGTATGACATGACTTAGTTTGTGCATAGCGTATCGATTGTGTATCTGATCTAGTACTGGGGTATATGCTACTTATGTGGGCAGATATAAGTAGTATGTACACCAATCGGAAGTGGTATACCTGACAGCAGAAGATGAATAAAATTGAATGAAAGAAAGCAGGAAGGAAAACATGAAACAAATGTAATAACAACAGAAACGGAATAAGCTGTGCAAATAATGCATTTATCGTATGGTTTGCATATATTCCGAAGCCACTCTGTAATTATGCAATCAGCCATAAATTGGTTTATGTTGTTAAGTCTTCTTTCACTACAGCATACTTCCGCTCACTGGTTTTATCGTCCTATTATAGCAATATCTTGTAAAAGAGAAAAAATTATCTTAATTCCTCCTTTGAAGCACCTAAGTAGTGCCGATACAGGATTAATTGAACCTGAATAATAAAATATTTGTCGTAAAATGTAAAATGATCCCGAGTGGAGAATTCGGAGAATTTGAAGCATGAATTATAGGAGTAGAAGATATGTGTACGCTGCAAGCTATTGACCACAAATGTTACCCGTGTATTGTTTAATAACCTAATGACCAATTTTGAGGTTAGACACAAGTTAGTAGGCAAATTCGAGAAATAGATTGATGAAATTGTGAACGTTAGTCTATTAAATTGGTCAGAACATGTATAACTTACGCTTACCTCGACCAATGATATCCACTGATGTAGGAGTAAGTTGGAAGAAGTTATGCTCAGCCAAACTAAGACGTTAAAGTAATCCACAAAACCAATGACTATTGATTTGAGCTTTATGGGTAGATGATAATTATCTGATTAATATCTACCTAAATATTGCAACCAATAGTTTTAGATGTAGGGAGAAATAGCTCACAATTAATCACAGTGGGGGCAAATTAATTCTTTCTTTACTATTCATCCTGATAACTGTGTATATCATTATGCTGTTAATGCATAAGAATATGTGCCCAAATAATACTTGTATTAGATTGTACTTCCATTATAACTTATTTTATTTATTTATTTAAACACATAAACATTGGTACAAGGGGGCACCAAATAGATATGCACCACATAAATCATTCAACTTGTGTAAGAGCTGGGATACTACCCGGGTGAGCAAACCGAAGCAGGTAGTTTTCTGAGGTGGACCCACTCCGAGCCTTTAACCCAAAGGTCTAAAACTCAAGGCAATAGAGCAAAGTCTGGAGATACAGTCCCATGGTAGCCGATGACCATTTGTTCCTTCAGGATGCTAGAACCCATATACACCAGGGTTTTCCAACTTCTCTATGTGTACTCTTCGTTTCCACCAATCCGGTTAAAGTGTCGAATATTCGCTTTTCATCTTCTTAATTTCATAAACTACACCCCCATCACAACAAGGCAGTCAGTACAACTTCCCTGTCAGTGGTTGTATGTTCGTAGTCATGCGAAAGCATTTCGATAGGGAGAACTTACTTTTCCCATTTAGGAGCTGATGATCTCGATGGAACACATTTTTGATATCTAATTTCTAAATACAATCAAAAAATTAAATGATTACATAGTAAATACTTACCTTTATTAACTATATTTTTAGTTAATTTTAAATTATTTAAAGCAATTTGATTTAATATACTTAAATCATTTTCAGTAGTTTCTAATTGTTTATCAATTAAATTTAATGTTTCATTATGTGAATTATAAATAATTGATTGATTATTTAATATATTTATCATAGAATCATGTTTATTAATAATTAATTGTAAACGATTTTGCCATGTAATTTGTTGACCATCTATTGTTGTAGTACTATTTAAAAATGCATTCTCTGCTTCATTAGTTGCTAACTCAGCTAATTTTATATTATCTATTATTAATTGATATGTATTATAAGCTAAATAAGTATGATTTAATTGATTCGATGATATTAATTTATGTAGAATAGTTTGTGATTCATATTCTATTGGTTCAATAATATTTGTATATAATTCTAATGGGATAGAAAATTGTTTTGAATTAGGTAATTGTATTTGATTTAATTGATTAACAAGAGTATTTAATGTTTCAATTCGATTCAATTGTTCTGGATTAAGATGTAATTGTTCTAATTGGGATAATTGTTCAGTTAAATTATATGATTGTTTATTAAAGGATTGTAAGGTTGTTAGACTTGTTGTTGTTTTAACAGTATCGACTAATGTATTTGCTTTTTTCTAAATAATAATAATAATAATAATAATAATAATAATAATAATAATAATAAAATTAGGTAATAAGATATGATCGTAGTAAAGTTTAGTAATATACTTTAATGTTAGATCTTATAGTATGATATTTACTTGTGATAGACGTAGGAAAGTTGGACAGAATACGTATGGTAAGTTAACGATAAGTTTAGATAAACTTTGTGTGTATATATATGTATGAGTTATGAACATGTGGAATTCAAAAAAAAACTATCAACCAACATCATAGTTAGAATCTTCAATATGAAAGTCAAGAGAGTTTTATTGTACGGAGCTGAAATTGGGAGAACTATCACAATCATCATCAAGGCAGTACAGGTATATATAAACAATTATCTACATAAGATACTCAATGTTTGCTGTTAGGATACCATCAGTAACAGTCTACTGTGGGAGAGAACAAACCAAATTGCAGCTAAGGAGGAAATTGGGAAAAGATGTAGGAGATGGGTAGAATATACATTGCGGAACTCATTAATAAAATGCGCCAAGATGGAAGTGCTAACTTGGAATCCAGAAGAGAAACGGAAAAGATGAAGGCCAAAGAACTCGCTGGACCGAGAATTGAAAGTAGACATGAAAAGGATAAATAACAACTGGAAGTGATTAACTAGGACAGGGTTGGATGGAGAGCGCTGGTGGACGGCCTATACTTCTCCACAACAAGAAACAGGTGTAGGTAAGTATGTGTGATGAACGTTATTATTCTATCGCACACGCAACAGAAAATGCAGCACAAGACGATCAGTGTAGCAGCAGCCTCAGCGACAGTAGGTCTCAACATACACAACGGGAAAAGCAAGATTCTCCGATACATCACAACATGCATCAATCAAATCACACTTGACGTAGAAGATTTGGAAGATGCAAAAGCTTTTATATATCTGGGCAGCATCATTGACGAACATGGTGGATCTGATGCAGATGTGAAGGGGCGGATCGGCAAAGCAAGAGAAGCATATCTACAACTTAAGAACATCTGGAACTCAAAACAATTGTCAACCAACACCAAGGTCAGAATTTTCAATACAAATGTCAAAACAGTTCTACTGTATGGAATGGAAACCTGGAGAACTATGAAACCCATCATCCGAAAGATACAACTGCTTATTAAAAGTTTCCTACGCAAAATTCTTCAGATCCGTTGACCAGACACTATTAGCAACAACCTACTATGAGAGAGAACAAACCAGATTCCAACGGAGGAAGAAATCAGGAAGAAGCATTGTAAGTGGGTAGGACGCACATCGAGGAAAGCATCCAACTGCATCACAAGGCAAGCCCTCACTTGGAATCCTCAGGGCCAAAGGAGAAATGGAAGACCAAAGAACACATTATTACGAGAAATGGAGACAAACATGAGAATAATGAACAAAAATTGGATAGAAGTAGAGGGGAAGGCTCGAGAAAGAGTGGGTTGGAGAATCTTGGTCGGCGGCCTATGGTCCTCCATTGAGAGTTACAGGCGCAAGTAATTATGACTATAGAACTAAGGAAGCAAAGCCTTAAGATAAGTAACCGAATATATTATGTCAGTAATTGTCTGTCGTAAGTAGCTCTATCTACATCAACATATTAGTTTTACAATCAGCACTCTTTGCATCTGTCTTTAATTATCAACGATAAACTCTATACTTTGATTAAATTTCAATGTCTAACTACTTATGTTTCTAAGGAAAGATCAATGGTGGCTAGTAATGGAATCCAAGACGTGTGTTTCGTCCTATCTGGGACTCGTCAGCTGGATGTACCTGCACCTCAGAAATGATATTCACTACCGGACTCGAACCGATTACTGTTCACTTTAAACGCCATTGAGTTATCTACTTACCTAATGAGTTCAAATAGTCACTTCCTTGTACAATATACACAATATTCATGTATGTCAATTACAGATTGGTCAATTGCATTCATAAGTATCAATGAAAAGATTCAAATAAACTATACCAAGTGAATTTCAACTTCATCCCATTACACAACTTATTAGTGAATCGGATAACGCGATGGCATTTGGGGTGAACGGTACTGGGTTTGAGTCCCAGAGTGAATATAAACTCTGAGATGCAGGTACATTCAACTGACGAGTTCCAAATAAGATGAAATGTGCATTTATTCATCTTCCCAATTCATAATATGAATATTATTATTATTATTATTATCAATCACTTACTAATGCTATATCTAATTCATTTATAGCTAATTTAGTCCCATTACTAATACGATATATTTGATTCGTTTGATAATTTATTAAAAATATTTGTAATTCTTGATATTTCATTAATTTATTTAAATAATTATTTTGTATTTGATTATGATTAATCATTAATTGTATTAATTCATTAATTCGTTGAATAATTTTATCAATTTCTATTTCTATTATATTTAACCATAATATTGTTTCATTTAATTGTATATTACTTAAATTAGTATAAATTTGTTTTGAATATTCTTGCCAATTCATTAATTCATTTAAATTTATTGATTGTCCATATTCTTGTTTCATGAATTGATTAATCCAATTATGTAATTGATTTTCTATAAAATAAGATTGATTATATAATTTATTGATTTGTTCTAATATATCACAATTTGATTGATCAAATAATTGATAATTATTAAATATTCTTATAGAACTTTGATTAATTTCAATGAATTGTCGAAATAATTGTTTAGTACGTGATAAAATTTCATTTTCTAATTGAATACGTAATGGTATAAAACGTTTCTTATTAATATCTATTTGTTGTTTTAATTTAGCTAAACCTTGATATGCTAAAGTGGTAATATTTAATCCATCAATTTGTAATTTGACATAATCAGATTTAATAAGTAATTCACCGGTACATGGACCACGACAATCTAAGATTACAAAAAAAAAGAGAAAATAAAGTTACATAGAAATTGAATTTTAAGTGAAAATATGAGTTACCATAGTAACTGCAAGAAATGAATGTGATAGACGTATATTGATACAAATAAAATAATATGAAAATAAACTTTCTTGAATGAGATCATGAACTGATTCATGTTAGACCACTATTGAAAACCTGGAAGTACTAGACGGCCGTATCGTCTTATCGTAGGTGTAAAATGTGATCGACAAACGTACTCACCAATGATAAAGTGAAACGCCTACCACCACATTAACTTTCTTAGACCTTGTATGACTATGTCTTGTTTATTCGCTAATCACAACTTCATATTCATTATAAAACAATACTTGCCTTGTTGACTCATTTTTCTTATCCTCTAGTTACTGTTCGGTATGTTATTAATGTCTCTGTTTTTTCTTGTGTTATAGACTGTACTGTTTGTTTTGTACACTAACGGTGTTAATTTATGTTTTAGAAATAGATAAAGTTTATCAAGCCAAATAGCTTACTTGTTCTGACTTTGGCTAAACCATGACTCTGTGCTCGACAGTCTAGAGAATAGCTTAGAGTTACACCTGTAGAAAATCGCTTCCTACAGTGAGACTCCTCAGTATTGCGCATCCACGATCCCTCACGCCGGATTCGAGCCAGGGGCCTCTAGATCATTGAGTCCCACAATAGGACGAAACAGTCGTCCAGTGCTTTCAGGTTTTTAATAGTGGTCTAACATCATGATCTCAATCAAAAACTTAGTAATCTCCACAACCCTATACTGGTAATAATTTTTCTAATGAATTGACAAAGGTTGGGAAGCTATTAAAAGTTAAGGTAGATGATTTATGGGCATTTTTGTAGTGGCTGATAGTATTTCAAGCCCCAATAGGTTATTTTAGCTTTTGGTACAGACCAATTTATTCGTTCTTCTCAAGCTACATTTTAACCTTGTCACTTAGTCGCTTATTAGCCCCGACTGGTATTTTATGTGATGTGTGTGTGTTAATTACTTGCCATATTCATCATATGATTGTAACTCATTTTCGCTTGACTATAAATATCAATTCATAGTTGACTAAATCGAGTTGGTTCCTATGCTTTCTCCGATCCGTTTCGCTTCGTTCACCTGATTATCTGTTCGGATCAACGATTGTATGAAATATACGTATCCAAACTCCATCATCAAACTGTAGTCTGATATCGGGTCACCTAAAAGCTATCTTTTAATCTTATGTTGGCTCAGAAAATTAACTAACGATCATATACTTACTAATGACTAGTTTGGAGAGATAGATTTTTAATGTTAGATAACTAATCAGCTCATAATGAAGTCCCAGTTTCCTAGATTTTATTTCCATCAGGAAGAGGGCATTAAAGAAGAGTTTTCAATCTTAACAAATCACACGTCCAGTTTTACATCATATAATTTATATCACGGACTGCTCTCAGTTCGATAAACACTGAAAACTAGGGAGCACTGAAAGACTATTTCGTGTGGGAATCCCCAGTAGTGTACATCAACTACCCCACCAGAAATGGAACACAAGACCGCAATATCTCAAGAGCGAGCTTTTGACCTTTAAATCACTAAGTCTTCATCGAGTTATTCACGTTTCTAACTTTACTCAATCTGCCATATCTCACAGACAATCTTCAACGTCAATGGTGGGTAACTGCTGCGCACTCAACATATTTGAGTTCTACTGGTCACGTCTTCTCAGTCCAGTACTCCTACAACTAGTATCAATCCATAACAAAGAGTATCTTCAGATTGGATTGATTTTCACAAACCACTCAATTAAACGTATCAAATAACTGAATTAACGCTGTTGGGAACCGCAGACTTTGTTTTAATCAACTTAGTTTACGAAACGTACGAAAAGCGAATCATGGTATAAGATTTCTGTATTATGAGTCATCGTAAATTTAGACAGTTAAAACGTTCAGGTTTGCTCAGTAGTTTTGACAATATTGACTTATTTCGACAATGTAATAAGAAGACGAAGATTGTCAGGACTATGTTGACTTAATAATTGGTTTTAAAGACTTGGCAGCACACATCGTCAAGTTGGGAGGTAAAGCATAGATGCAGCGTAACGTAGATGGTCAATTGCATTCCTATATCTTCTGTACATGGGATCACATTGACACAGCTTGTCAGTGTACATTCATCACAGGGATTGACGACACCCATATATTTAAGAAAGAAATTCCAGTCTACCAATTGGTGGTATTGGATGCGTCTATGAAGCTGATTTCGATAGCCTTTAGATTTCTGGCTTGAGAAACATCTGATGTTATTGGAAGGTTTCCAGTGATTTTCCATGTTATTATTTTGTCTGGTATACCAGCCCGAAAATATTGGCATAAGTTCTCAGAAACTCCAGGACTCAGTAAAGATTCTGATGATAATGACAACGCCTCCTGTGAGGGTCCCACGTACTTCTACCACCTAACAAAGAAGAGAGTTCCAGTGAATGAATTAGATGTACTCGATACAAATTTAATTACCGAACCGTTTTATTATGCAAATAAATCCTTCTGACTCAAGCAAAAACACTTAAGCTAAGACCTTGAGTAGGTTTTTGGTTGATTTTCTCCAAAATTATGGGCCGTTTATAATTTCTCACTTGCGGTTTGACTTTTAGTTGGTATATGACGACAGGCGTGTCATATGTCTGGTATTAAACCAGCCCGTTGACTTATCATCCTAAAATCATGTTCTCTTCTAGAGAGAATAAAGCACATAGGTCAAAGTGAGAGGACATTATTATATCGCAAGACATTTAGTACAACATCAGTTAAGGTTAAAAAGTACTGTTAAACGCTTATCGTCTGTTCTACATACCACGACATGTTCCATGATCAACAACATGATCTTCTTCGCATTGGTCACATCTACGCCCTTTAATACCAGGCCAGCAATCACATTGTCCAGTATCTTGATTACATGTCTCCGATCTTGATCCTCCACTATCGCAATCACATGCTTGACAAGCAATCATGCTTGTTGGATCACCGTAATAGCCAGGAGCGCATTGTTCACATCGTAAACCAGCATAGCCTACTTTACAAATACATTTATGTGGTAAAAGTGAAGGATCAGTTGATGGTGTACATGTGATTGCATAACTATAGAAAGTGAAAAAAAGATGGGAAAATAAAGGAGATAGAAATTACTTTGATACAAAAGATACAAAAGAAGCATAATAATAAAAACAAAAACCTTAAAGGCTTCACCATATATTGACTAATGAATTCCATATTATGACTGATTTACTGAAAATGAAAACAAAAATACAAATTTATCAATGTACAGATTTTGTACTTCATTTATTGGTTAGTCAAAGATTCTATCAACAATTAGATTGAAACTCCTCAACATCGCGGGATCGTGGATGCTTATTGCTGAGGAGTTACGTACTAGGACGAAACGACCTTCCAGCATTTTCAAGTTTTCAACGGTAGTTTAACTTAGATCGATTCATTAATCCAACTATTAAAAGAACAAGAAGACAAAAATGAATAATAGTTTAATCCAAGATTACTGAAATTTAACCAACTAAGTTCCTCTTCACAAATGATTCATAGTGATGCTTTTTTTAGACCTTAGCTATTAAATCTAAACTATTGACACTGTATCATAATTCAGAAACTTTATCAACCGTCAAGTGTAGCTGTTTTTAAGCATTCTCACTCCTGAAATATATATTGTTTATACCCTTTGAAGGTTATTGGATAGAAGTGAAATGGGGATGGTAATATCAGTGTTATTACGATTTGTAGTAGTCTTTTCAGTTATTATAAATGATTTAACATGTTTTGAATGAAGTACACTTTAAATAGCAATTTCGAATCGTGGGTTTTATTTTAGTTAATAACATTTTTATCTAAACATTATCCAGAATTGTACCTATAGGCTAGAATGGGCTTCGAAATGGACTATATAAGTGATATAGCGAGTAATGACGTAATCAATTAGAGTGCGAATAATATGTGGTGTATACTACTTATGTCCGTCGACATAAATAGTATGTAATACCAGTCGGAAGTGGAATGCCTAACAACAGAAGGTTAAGAAGATCAAATTAAGTATAAACAAAGAGTAATTGTAATAACAACCGAAATGAAGGAACGATGAAGTTTGTAAAAGACAAATGATGAAAAATGTACAAATGAAGTATTTAATGTATGATTTTCATACTTTAAGAATATATTCTAGAATTTGTATTTAACAAGAAATTGGTTGTCCCTATTTGAGTTGATCGTTCAGTACAACATATAAAATTTAGTTTTTCCAATCCTCTGTAACATGTAAATATACTTTGAGAAGTAATTCTATGACTTAATCAACTAGTTAGATCTGTTACTTGGTTCAACTGTATAGTATGGTAACAATATGTTTATATAGTAGGTTATTAATTAGATAGTGTCAGTGATTACCCCAGCTCAAGTTATATAAATCTGACTTGTAATCTGACTGTACATAAATCAGATAATAAATGTGATGTATTCATAAATCATTTTGATTTATCTTTGGAGTCAAATAAATAAATAAATATTGAATGTAAAGGAAATATACCAACTGAAATCTTGAATAAACGAATTTCGAAATCCCTGAATACAACTTTCGATTATGCTAAGTTATGTATTGTCTTCCCAAGCTGGCCTACCATTTATGGATTTTTAAAAGATAAACTTTCACTTTGAGTCATATCAATGTGCATCAATAAACTTACTTGCTCCTGTGGAGAAAATTATATTGGCCACACAAAGTGAATAGTTTCTAAACTCGTCGTAGAACATTACTCGGTATGGCTTTTAAAAGAGGAATGCAAAACGATCACACCTTTAATACAGGAGCACATGTTTCACTCTGGGTACGTTGTCCTTTAAATTAATCTATACAGTTAAAAAATTGGATTAAACTGAGGCAGAATTAAAAACCTATATATTACTGATGAATCGGCGATCCACTTATTCAACCCCGAACACTGTGTGTAAAAACGATAGGTTCAATGTCTCATCCTTCCATTGCCATTATCAGATATTTTTATCCGCTAACAACTTTTCAGTATTATTATTCAGTCGTTCATTATGACCTTTACGTTTTTAATTTCGTCTTTATATTTGTCAAGTGCAGTTATTTTATACTTCTGACCCGTAAATTATTTTCATTTTCCTATTCTCCTTCAATCTTTTGATCAGTACATAACCTCCTTTTGATATTTGAAATCTCGGATCATTTTATGATACAACCTCTTCTATGTTTCTATGAACGTATATATTTATCAAACAACCATAAATACGATTGGACCACTTAAGTTAATTGTTTCGTAGAAAAGGATTTTCATTCAAATACTAATCTATCGTTTTTGTATTCTTACTACGAGCTGTCAAATTCGGTATTTTTAACACCGAGCACAAGTCAGTTAATCATTCCACAAACATAACAGTGACAACCATCCTAATAGGTAGAAAGATGAACTTAATAATATGTGTCAGAAAAGCTTAATTAGATACTATAATGTATGTTTTTATCAACAAAATACTTACTCGGTTTGTTCAGTAGGACATTGACATTTCACACATGGTTGTCCAATTTTTGGATCACCCATATAACCTGTAGCACATTTCCCACAATCTGGGCCTTCTGTGTTACCAGTACAATCCAAGCATATTCCAGTGACTGGATCACAATTTGAGGACATACCATGACAACGGCATTTCTGGGCTCCACCTTCCCAAATGATGTGTCCTGTTGGAAGAGTAGGATCAATTATGGCAGTTGGTGGTAGAATTTCACGTCCAGGTTTTGGTTTAATTGGTGGGAAATAAAATCCAGATGAAGCAATCTATCAGAATGAAAACAAGGTAATGAAGAAAGACATCATAAAATACATTATTATTACATAATGATAAAAAAATTCATCTCATGAAAACTATATTATGTGAAAGCCAATTGATTTGTCGACAAGATGAATTGGATACAAGTAAGCTATATTCAATTCCCGGAATTGTTGAAATTTATTTAAACTATGTAGCGCAAATGATTGGTTATTAGGCAGTGACTAATATCATTTTTATACAATTATTTTGTGCTGATCCGAATGATATTGATCAAGTTATAACGTGGTCAATAGTCAAATTGACTTTATATACCATGTTTTAATGTTAGATAGATGGAGGTAGTTGACACTGAACCCTGACTCCAAATTACATAGAATTCAATTAACACTGGAAAAATAAATGAACATCACACTAATCACTACTCAGTAATAAATCAATCCCAAATATCTCAGCCCTACAGCATGTCAGTTAAGGCACAACGTCTTATACTGTGGAGCTGGGTGACAAAAATTCTAGTTGCACATTATGTAACAGTTCCCTCAAGATTGTAGGTGTATCTTATTATCAGTCTAGCACGAAACCTGACTCAAACTTAGGCCCAGGAGTGAACATCAACTATAGGCTACAAATAGGATAAAATACTTGTCCTAGATTCCATTACTTGCTAAGTTCTAGCATATAGTGAAGTGTATAATAATAACGCTAATAACTAATAGATACACGCATACATACCTCACAATGATCACCGGATGCAGTCGGTGGACATTCACATTTTTCAATTGTTTTAATTTCAATTCCAGATAGTGTTGTTATTTCTGTACGTGGTTGATAAATTTTATATTTTACACTAAAAGAAAAAAAATATGTTAAATCAAAGAAAAAACATTGTAAATTATATGTAAGACAATCCATTAAATTTTGTTATTTTTTTTCTTTACAGAATATATTTTAAGTAAGTTATTTGATTATAAACAATGTGGAAGTCAGTCAGTCAGTTAGTAACAAAGTGGAACTTTGTACGTACGTGCATCAGTTCGAGTTGCCATAACACATTAGCACAGAGATACCATTGTTGATTCAAACTCCATAGCGGTAGAGGTAGTAAAAGTATAAGCAGTAATCGAAAAGATTAGCGTTTAAAGATGTTATTCAAGTAGTATAATTCAATGAAATAAACTTGGAAAGAGTAAAAATAAGGGACATGAAGAATTCAGAAGATTAGGATTTGAGAGAACACAAAGTGCAAACCTGCACCTGCGCCATTGCAAACGATTTTTGAGCCATGTCATTCAAGGTCTCTAACCATCGATTGCTATTATGTTGCGGATCCCAACCAGTTAGTCTACACCTACCAACATAGCTCGGTCCAATTGTCAGTGCCTTGATGGATTTGGGCCATGTTTTGGTCTGACCGCCCCTAGCTTTTTTCTAACCTACTCCTACACCATAAAACATCGCTCGTCGGGGCAGTCGGTGGTTGGGCATAAGTAACACGTGTCCCAGCCATCTCAACTGATGAAGTTTCACTATTCCATCAATTGATTTGCCATCGTTACTGAGTACCCGTTTCCAGACAACTGCCTTACGTACCGGTCATCACAGGTTATACGAGCAGTGCTTCAAAGACACCTGTGATCGGATACTAGTAACCTACGAATATCCCCTACTCTTACCAGCCATGTTTCACCGCCATAAAGTAGGACAGAGCGAACTGCTGCGCATTAAACCTGTCCTTTGGTTGGCAGACGGTTATCTTACCTACGCCATAAATGGCACAAGTTGGCAACATGGAATTCACCGCGTGTATGTGTTTGTTCAAGTTATTATACCATACCAGGGTTACCATTTCTAAGCCAGATCATCCAACATGTGCAATCTTTAGTTAGGACAATCGTGCTGCTCCTAATCAGATAGTTTTCATCTATTATCATGGCTCAGACTAATAGTCAGTGACTTCATGAACTGATAAAATGTTCTTAATTCAGCCCATTGCGCAAGTTAATGGCCATCTGTACTCAGTAGCTAAATGGATAACGTAATGCTGTTTGCAGCCAACAGTACTGAGCTCGAGTTCCGAGAATGCAGGTACATTCAGCTGATGACTCCTAAGTAGGACAGAACGCGCGTCTTGGATTCCACTTTTGGCCACCATCATCTACGCTCAAAATGCATGTGAGTCAAGGCAATATCGAAACAATCCGCACAGGATGTACATATTTCCAATAAGAGATTGATCAGCTGCAGTCCTAACCATCAATGAGAAGATTCAAACAGCCGACAAAAAATGAAATTCTTCTTCTGATAGTTTTTCTTATTTTATTGACTAGTAAATAACCAGAAATGAATTATTCAAAGGTTTGTATATTTGAGATTCAATCTAACTATTATATCGATAGATAACATTTTCATTATCAATCGAATTAAATTTCCAGTATTCACTAGTTCTCTTCCAAACTTTGATAGTTACTGATAAGAATTAGGAACAACTTAATTATGAAATCAATACATGGATTTTAATAGCTGAGATCATGAGTCAATTCCAGCTAGACCACTATGGAAAACCTGGAAGCATTGGGTGGCCGTCACGTCCTATTGTAGGACTCCTCAGCAGTGTGCTTCCAAGGTCCCGCTCGCGAGATTCGAATCCAGAGCCTTCAGTCTCACGCGCGAACACAACCATTCATATTAATTTGTGCTATAATAGTTCTGATAGTAGATTGTAGTAGATTTTAAAATGAATATTTCGTTTAACTTGGATTTTGTCAGTTTAATATATTTGAATGTTTACGTTATAGATAATATTTATCATAAAAGATGGACGACTGGTAACTATTTATTCTTTTTTACGACTACTACTACTGATACTGTAAATACTTCTATTACAACGAGATTTATATTGATAATATCATTTCGCTGTAGTAATGTAATGTGGCGACTGGAACCGACACACATATCTTTCAGGTTCCATCTTATGTATGTCTATCCGTGAAGCTTCAATAAGCTCATGATCTACACACTAGCATTTGAAGTAATGAAGAGTAAGCACAGGCATGTTGGTAGATGTAAACTACGTAATTGAGGCCTGGTCGCTAACTTAGATCGGTGGTTGAAGACGTTGCATGATATGACTCAGGACAGATGACAGTGATTCAGATCCATCCACCTTTTATCGTCCTTTAAATGTCGAGTTACAGTACTTTTTCATGTATACCTTTTCGTCTTGTCTTGTCATACCAGTTCGACGATGATTATTTCACGTTGTTTCCTATTCATCATTTGAATTTCATTTCATTAGCTAGCGTGGTGTGATGACATTTATCCAACGCTCTATGTTTATTACAACTGATTGTCCAACAGACAGTTATCAAGGTGTCTATTAAAAGTAACTCATATTATCAAAAAAAAACTAACTTCAATTTAGTCTTTACTATCACGAACAAAGTAATATAAACTTTTATCATTAATCAATCGGTAAATCGATGACCAAAAACTAGGTGATTTTTTTTGTGACTATTATACTGCTGTTTATTATTAGGCGGTTGAAGATAGTCAGGAGTAAAATCTGACTGACCTAAGTGTCGTGCTAGTTATCACTCGTCAGTAAGCTTGTACTCACTACAGGATTCGAACCCAAGTAGTTCAGTTTCACAGTCTGAGATATTATCACTTTCCTATATGGACTGTAAATGTTGTTTACTCTTCCGTAGAAGATTTATACACTGGAAATGCTTTTGTTAATTATCAAAGGAAACTTGTTTTGAAATTTAAATGTTTAGTTCCACCTAGCTACAAAAACTTACCTTACAAGTTTGGGTTTTGCTTCAGGCATAAATAAACGTACACTGAATGATGTAACATTAAGTAAAGTTAACATTAATTCATTACGTGTTGGTCGAACACGTGTATCAATACCAGATACACGTGTTATCACCCAATCTTGTTCACGAAGCCAAATTTGACGATAACCATCCGCAATAGATGTAGGTGAATTATCCTAATAATAAATAATAAAACATTATTGAATTGTTAAACTGATCAAATTCATTATTTGATATTAATCAATAATATTGAATGGATCTTCTTTCATTAATATAAGAATACTTCGACTTTAATTCAATAATAATGATGATGATGTTTCAGGAACTGCAATGAAAATTTGTCAATTCAACAACTTAGTTGAAAGCATAATACAACTATTATAAGCAATATTAATACCTAAATGATTAGTGAAGTCCAACTATGTTGGGTATGAGGTGATAGTTGCACAATACAACATAGTGATTGAAATTGAACACATAAACTACTGAACAACGACTAAGTGGTCTAAAGATTAAGAGGTCAGCGTGAGAATTTCAGTTCATAAATCTGATCATCAATGGGATTGTGGATTAGGATTTCCATACAACTCCATACCAAGAGGAAATAGCTGTCGATCACTTATTACTTTTCAATGGTTATTAGACTAGAGTTAATTCATAATATAAACTATATAATATTTGAGTGGTTTATTTGAATATATCTTTTTTTGCAAAAACAAGCAAACACAACAACACTAAATCATTATCAGCTAATCCATAATTAACTTACAGATGGTTGATATTCCATTTCGATGTAACCATTCAGTGCTGTCATTCGAGCATCTACAATATCATTTCTACGTATAATTAACCCTCCGGGTAAATTCTCTCTATTTGACAGTATATTAGTAGTTTGTGCATCTTCAATGCCAAGTTTACAATCACCAGTTGGTAGACATTCTGTCAATACACCAATAAGTACACTTCCATAATTACGCATCTAAATGTGATATTGAAGAAAAATGCACAAATATTTTCAAAGTATTTACTATTAAAAATGAATTAAAGAGCTTATCTTATGATATGTGGCTAGGGAAATTAAAATATGATTAAACATTGAACATGAACTGACAGACATTCAGCTTACTGACTATTATATATATATATATATATACATCAGAAGGGGTTTTGTAGATATTATAGGAGTTTTAATAGTTGATATCATGGGTCGATTGAAATTAGACATTAACACCGTCGGATATTGGCCAGCTCAGGGGTCTAATGGTTAAGCGCTCGCGCACGAGACTGATAGGTTCTGGGTTTGATTCTCGCGATGCAGGATCGTGGATGCGCACTGGTGGGAAGTCCTACACTAGGGCAAAACGACCGTCCAGTGCTTCCAGGTTTTCTATAGTGGTTCAGCTTCAATTGATTCATGATCTCAACTAACAGAATGCATATATATGATTTGCTTTTTTGTTGGTAATTTCTATTCTGGTTCCCAATTCTATTATTGTATTATGATAGCATACTGAAAAAAATGGAAAGTATTTCCATTCTTCCTTTATATTACCATACTAATAACAGTAATAATACTCACTTTATTCAATACTATATGCTTGATTACAGTGAAGAATTGTCGACACAAAATATGCAATATGACAATAAGATTCTAGTTTAATGTCCATTTAACTTTTTCATGAATAAATTAGATTTTAAAAAATTCAACTCTTAAATAATAGTTACTTGGCACCCATATTCATCTGTAACCATTTAAGATACAGTCATACCATTGAGATATCTTTTCTTCATCAGATAACAACATGTAGCTAGTGAGTAAAAACAGATGGATATCTATCTATGCTAAATGTATGAAGTGCTATAGGATATTAGTAAACTCTTTTTCATTACTAAATTCAATGTACTGTACGGCTTAAATAATTTGATTTTTGATCATTGATTGGAATCGTATATGTGTGCATATCGTCTGTAGTATCGTGGTCTAATGGAGCCAATCGTATTACTCCGTCTTTTCATACATGAGATCAAATTCATTTATTATTTTTAACATTACAACAATATGATTTATGAATTCTATCGTAATCATCCCTTGTTTCTCGAAAGCACAAACCTAGAGAACAATATACGAACTATCGTGATGGTAATTTTTGATTATTTTTTCCGTATGCAGATTTGCGATCCTTAGTCTTTCCTCCCCCCCCCCCGCACATATACACAATTTCTAATCAATAATGATAAAATATTATTTAAAACTTACTAATGAACCCTTTAATTCTGGTATTTCTAAATGAGTTGGACGATGCACAGAGAAACGCCAACTGAATTGACTTAAACCAATAGTTAGTTCATTTATATCAATATCTCTTAAACCAAGTTTTAAATCAATTAACGGTCCACCTGGATAACGTGGATCATCAGTAGAAATTATCTTTATATTGAAATAGAAAAAAAGTAGACTTAATGGAAAAAGTGTATTTTCTATACAAATAGGATGAAATATGGCAAAAGTTATAAAATAGCAAAGTGTAATTGTTTTTAAGTTTGTATCTTTATTCTGTTGAGTAACAGACAATGATTAGCAATTTGAATAGTCTGCCGATATCACTACCATCATTCTAGCAAGTGACAAGATAGAAACTGGAACCAATCGATGAATCTGTATAAACCTCTTAAACAAATAACAATAATATGCTTATTAATAGACTGATTTCATGAGAAAATTACTGACGATCTATGGAAAAGTTCCGAGTAGTGGAATCTTACCATATAATAAGTAAGGTAGTTGCTGTTAAACAGTATCATACTATATTATAAATTGATTGAACTTGGGGATTTGAACTATCAAATTTCGACTCAATGGTTTAGAGGTGACGGTCATACATTTAAACGTAAACCTTTTCGGTGCAGTCCATGATGGGATCATGTGTACTGTTGAGAAGTTTTATATTAAGATGGAACAAATGTTCAGTGAACTCAGGTTTTAAAAAGAAAACCTCAGTGACTAAATCCAGTATCAATCCAGAATCAATCTCCATAGACGATGAAACACAAAATAGAATCCTTGATAAAATAATGAAAAATTGATTAAAACTATTTAGCAATATCTCTTCAGAAAACACTATTGATTGACATTATTAGCCAACAATCATAATACATATCTATATCACAGATACAACCTAGACAATTACTATATCTATGCACAGAAAATATCCAATATCAGTTTAATGATACGTTATAATGTCAAGCTGATGGTGTAACTATTGAAAGTCCTTTAGAATCGGTTCTACTCGATATATTTGTTGAAAATTTAATAAGAATGTAACTAATGTCTATTATCAATAACACTGAACTTTATGTAAGGTACACCGATGTTACTTTCGTGTATTTCAACAATATAAATCTCACAAACAAGATACTTAAGACCTTCGGCAAAGTTTATCCCAACATCAAATCCTCAGTTTGATGTGAAAAAAAGAATAAGTTTCATTGCCTAGATCTAGATATCTTTCAAGGAAATGATGGAACCTGTCAAACTCATAAATCAGAAATCAACATATGTTAACTTTCATAGCTGTTGGAGTATAAATTCTGATAATGGTTTGGTGAAAACGCTCTACCACAAAACCAGAAAATTATCCTCATCGTAAAATCAAGATGTAGTAATTAATGAATATCTTCAAGAAAATGGTTAAGCAATCATTAAGAAATATACTACTGATTTAAAAAAAAAATTACATTCAAAAGTGACTAAGTCATGAATGGAATCGATCAAAGTCTTGAGGAATACAATTCCTTTCATTGGATATAATACTTTGTTCAATAAAGTAAACAAAAGTCAATTTATGTGTTCTTACAAACCAAAGTATTTAGTTTGCAAGGACAAAAAGATCAGTGTTCACACATTTTGTTGGATATATTGAAAAAAATCCATAATTTCCAGGACAAAATATTGTTTACTTGGTCGAAAGTACAACACCAACTTGAAACAGGACGTAAACTGGGTACAATGAATGTATTCGAAATAATTAACAAGCAATATAATATTACAATTATAAGCAAAGACGGATACTGGATAGCAGTGAAATCCGAGACACATGTTTCGTCCTTTCTGGGACTTGTCAGCTGAATGCACCTGCATCTGAGTTGATGTTCGCTCTGTGGCTCGAAACCTGTACCGCTCGCTCTAAACGCCACCGCGTGACCGACATAACTACTGAGTACTGGGACATGCCTCCTGGATTTCACTACTAGCCAATATCCATCTTTGCTTGTAATGCTTGTGAATTAGGGTAATATGCACAGTATACACATATGCCAATTAAAGAATGATCAGTTACAGTCCTAAATAACAATGGGACGATGCAAGTAATAGAAGCAGATACGAAAAGGATGAATAGGAACTGGAAAGAGCTGGAAAGGATTGCCCAGGACAGGGTTGGTTGGAGAATGCTGGTGAGCGGCCTATGCTCCTTCACGAGGAGTAACAGGCGTAAGTAAGTAAGTAAGTACTTGTCATTATAAAAAAAATTATACTATTCTGTTAAGCTATAAATTTAATTCATTACTTACTTCCAACCATGATAGAAAATTGTTTTATGTTCATAACTTTAATGAATATTAAATCATCATGAAGTGTGTTGTCATAAACAATCAATTTCCTACGGATCAGTTAAATAAATAATTTTATATTTTCTACATTAACGAATTACATAATACATATGCATTAAATTTTTCATTACTTACTTCAACTCCTTTCACTTTTCCTGGAACCGAACGATAACCTGTCAATAGACTACAACGAGATGATGTACCAGTTGGAAAACAGAAACATGTATAACAACCAAGTGGATAATCAATATTTAAACCAAAAGTTCCAGGTTTACATTGATCACATTGATCACCCTAAAAAAAATATTGAAAAAAAAAATAGAAATCAGTATTTTGAAGGCATCATAAACTATAGTTGGTATAATAGTGAAAGATTCAATTTGATCAGAGCATTATATTTGATTAGCTTACTAAAACCATTCACTGTTGAATTGAATTATGTTAGAGGAGATATAGATTCGTACAAGATAGTCATAACTTATAGTTTCAGTTTATAAATGACATGGCTAAAATTCGATTGAAGTAGGTTACATTTCACTATTCACAATCTTCCTTTAATTTTTTTTGATATAAATGTTACTAAGTGCTTCTTAATGCTCAATTTTATTAATTCTTCCCAAAATTTATACCATATCAGTATATTTGGTAAGTGGTTAATAGGGAAATACAGTATGCATGTTTCGGCCTGTCTAAGACTCGTCAGCCGGACATATTCTTATCAATGTGTTAATATCCATGCTTAGACTCAAACTTAGTATAAGCAAAAAAATGACTTTAACTCAAAAATGAAATTTGACTGATGGAATAGTGTGACATGAAGTCAAACAAGAATGTGATAACTGGTGACAATTGTTGGTGTTTTATAAAATCAAAAGTTTGCCTTAAAGTTTTACTTGTCGATAATAAGATTCTTATGAGTTTACAGATTATTCGGAATAGATGTAAGATAACTAGAAGTGGGAGAGAAAGATACTAAGTTTGAATCTTGGAGTGGATATTAACTTTGAGATTTCAGTACATCCTCCTGATAAGTCCCAAATAGTATGAAACATGAACCCTGAATTTTACTGTTAGCCACATTTCATTTATTCTGCATAAACTTACATTATAATGACTATGTTGATGTAATCCACACAGAATTTGTATATGTCAAATAAGACAAGTGAAAATTTATTAAAAATATCAACAACGAGATAATCCAGTTTATTACAAATTCAATATACAAGTTCTTATTTTCAATACAGCTTTAGAAGAACAAAAGCTTGGTTGCTGATGTCTTATACCCAATTAGGTCTACTGATTTACTAGTTGGATGAGGTATAGTCGTTAAGTTTTGGCTATTTTACATCGGAACAGCTGTTTTCTGACTGATTTACTTTGTTCGTTTATAAAACTTTGGAAAATCAGGACAGAATAATATAAGTGACTCAGATAACTAATCTTCAATAATCGATATTAAAAACACATAAAAGTTCGTCTTAATCAATCAGGTGTTGATTTCTAGGAATTCTAGGTAGTACTAAACATAATAATGTAAGTTATGAAATACTCGATGTGAGAAGTTTGTAATTCTCTTTTTTTTAATGTTGTGTTGAAGATGTTAATTAACTTGGCACTAACCCACTGACTTCTAGAGATTTCGCATCAAAATACATTTACAACTAATCCTAGAAGTTGACAGATCCTAAACATCAATAATAATAATAATAATAATAATAATAATAATAATAATAATAATAATAATAATAATAATAATAATAATAATAATACAGGCACATATTAATCCCGAAGTACGTTTTTATTACTAAAAAATTAAACTACTAAAGAGTAGTATAAAGTTGAAATGCAAAATGTTTTTTCTACATACTTCAACATTTTCTTTACAGTTACACTGTCCATCAATTGGATTGCATGGTACAACCGTATCTGATATGGATAAATTTCCCCATGCAGTACCGCGCATATCACAGTTGCATTTTCTACAATAAGGATAACCATAATAACCCTTACTGCATTCATTACATGCACGACCTGAAAATTCTGGTTTACATGTACATTGTCCTGTGGTTAAATCACATTGATCTTCAAGGCCTATAACGGAACCATCTATCGAACAATTACATTTCTGCAGTTTACAAAACAAGATAAAAAAGTTATAAAGGTTTAATAATCGAAAAATATAGGACATAAGTGTGTTAAAAACGTCGAGATACATACTTGAACGGTTTAGTCACCACTAAATACGGTTGCACAAAATGTGCACTTTCACCGGAACCCACGATCTCTTAAAGCTTATCCATACCAGAAACTTTAACCTAAGGTGAGAATTAAATGCTGAACAGTGTAATAGCCTCTACTGTCTACCTATGTGTGAAATTAGTAGAAGGATAGTAACGTTGATGATTTGAGAGGATATATATATACACTTTGTGTGTACAACAACAAATATTTAATGGAAATTCACTGAATTGTTCGTTGAATCAACGATTTTTAATCCTTGTGATCGTAGATACGGAACATAACAGAAATTCTTAAAATACGATTAAACTGCCAAAGGGAGTAAGGGTAAACAGAGACAAATATGCTTACAAGTTATCCAAGTAACTAAATAATGATCAGTTCTATCCAGTTGATATAGCTTCAAGCAATATTATTTATATCTAATGTCGTGTTTTTAGAAGTTAACAAACTGCAGTTAAGAAGCCTACATTATACCAGAGTCCTCAGATCGAAATTCAGTATCTACAAAGGCCGATTCTCCCCAAACTTTATCCAGTTGATCTTCACATGAATCAGTAAGGCGAGAGTTAGAGAAAGTCTAAAGGAAACGCTGGATCTAGATTTTCTGCTACTCGTCGTCAAGATTTAGTTGCGATTCTGAAGACTGATGCTTTTTGATTAATTTGATCTCGTGTAACCCAGATTTACAGTCAGACTTGTTACCACTGAGCGGATCGAGAAGCGATCGACACCCTGTAAGACATTTGTGTTCACGATTGATAGATTATTGAGTAGTGACCAGTGCCATGTTTGTCATGAACTTTTTGTTGATGATCGAATTGTATCAATCAGTAGAGCACGTTCAAATACAAAACAAATTTAGATATGTAATACATAACCAAGTAGCTGTAAAACGTCTTCTACTGACTCAGCACTCCTGCCTGGAACATTATGCTTTATAATGAAAATATATGCTTCATGGTTTAACCCTACAGCAGTAATACGAATACAGTTCTACTGTACAGAACTGAAACTTGGAGAACTACAACAGTCATCATCAAGAAGGTACAAGTATTCATAAATAAATGTCCACGCAAAATGCTTAACATCCATTCGCCAGATACCATCAGCAACAGTCTTCTATGGGAGAGAACAAACCAGCTTCCAGCTGAAGAGAAAAGTAGGAAAAAACGATGGAAATGGATGGGACATACATTACAGAAATCACCAAACTGCATCACGAGACAAGCCCTAACTTGGAATCCTGAAGGGAAGCAGGAAATGGAATCAGATATGGAAAGGATGAATAACAACTGGAAAGAGCTGGAAAGGATTTTTTTGGGACAGGGTTGGATGGAGAGTCCATCTAGGCGGCCTATGCTCCTCTACGAGGAGTAGCAGGCGTAAGTATGTAGGTAAGTAAGCAACAAGGTATATTTTCATTTCTCCGAGAACTAATGCTACTTCAAAGATCCGAATTCCTTTTCATTCGATGATGTAATCATGTTTTGATTCAAATAATGATGACCATCAAAAAACACGAAGGACTGAAAAACTCTCGTCCTAGTGTGGGACTCGTGAGTAGTGCACATCATCCACGCCATCGATGGGGAGTCAAATTAGAAGCCTTAACTCTCATGGTAATCTTTTAACCCTAAGATCACTGTGCTAGCCAGTGGAGTTCAACGTTGTTCAGAAAATCTCCTTTAAATATACATTTCTTACACTCATAATAAAACGATTAGACTAACTTTACAACCAATCACTGGATTATAGTCCCATGAACCAGCAACGCATCTATCACATCGATCACCTTCAGTATTTGGTGGACAAATACATTTTCCCGTAATCTGATCACAAACTTGACCATTTGGGCAAGGTAAACAAGCTATAAAATAAGAAATCTTATTTGAGTATAAAAGACAAACAAAAATGTAAACGATGTTTTAAAAAATGAAAATTTTCTTCCAAATATTCTCTAACTCCTTTTTCTTCAACCATGAAATCTTGACATCTGATATGAAAAAAACACTAAGCATGATATTGGCATAAACAGCTATTTCGTGTTTAGATAGATGAAGCTTTAGGAATTAGGTTGCATTGTAGAAATATTTCTTCTTGCTTTGGGACTTTTAAGAAGTTCATGCAAGCGGATCCATACAGGATCGAATCTGGATGGTATTCTTCATATTCTTTTTGTTAGTTTTATTATCAGTGATGATACTGTTTCTCTTCTGAATAATTTACCCTTAATGATGATAGGTTCTACTATATTAACTATGATTGATCGACTAACTCTATAGTTATACTTGAAGAAACGTTTAAGTAATGTAAAACGTAGTGTAAATTTTGAGTAATCTGTGATTAATTCATATATGCATGTTCATAGGGAGAAAGAAAAACTGGGAAACAAATAATAAAGACAGGATATTTATTATCGATATCAACACTTACGTTTACAACCATTTTCAGAAACACCAAAATATCCCAATTCACATTCTGTACAATCTCGTCCTACTACATGTGGAGCACATTTACACTGACCAGTATTCATATCACATTCAGTTAACTGAGTTAGTGTTCTAGTTAATTCAGTTCCAATTCCACAATTACATGGTAAACAATTTGATCCAGTGTTATTCCAATAGAATCCAGGCTACAATAAAATAAATGAATAGAAATTAGTTCTTATGAACATAAATCTAACACTTGAATGATTTGAAAGAAAATGTGTATACATCAGCCTTAACTAATATGCTAAATATCATGATTTATGTAGTTTTCTTGCTCTCATTCTACTTCCTTTTCCTGTATTCTGTTCTACATATACCCAACCACTGCCTACCTCGATGGGTGATGTTGTTTAGTATAGGAGTAAGATGAAAGAAAGCTAGGAGTGACCAAGCCATGATGTATCACCGATCCATGAAGTCACTGACAGTTGAAATGAGCAATGTTAATAGATATAGACTATCTAGTTGGTGTTCGCGTGATTACCACAACAAATGATTAGAGACTTTAGGAGACATGGCTAAGAATCATTCACTCCTTGTCTTCCCCTAGAACCTGAGTCTTAATATCTCCTCATTGCTTTTGTCATTTTCTGTAGCTATTTTTTTTACCATTAATGCTGCTGATTTTGTCACTACTCGTACTATTCTGAGATTTGTCTTGAAATGATTTTAATTCTCTGCGTTAATGATATAGATGATGTATTCCGTTTAGAACTTCGTCAAATGAACGATGTTGAAAATTCATTTCATTATTGACTATAAGCTATTTGTAGCTAATCAGAAGTCGATAGGGTAAAAGGAGAGCTCAGTTTGCTTTGTGAAAATGTTTCAGATTGTGATGTGAGTTAAAATCCCATGAGGACATCATTCCCTTCTAGACTGCCTATATACTATAGTAACGAGTCCTGATTAACATGAAATCTAGCTCTAGGATTTCCTGTAGAGTATTGCACCTCCTCCTAAAAGAACAAATACTTTGAAAAGATTGAAAGGCAGGTATTCCTATGTCGAAATGCATATACTTCAAAGAATCTACGAAGAAACATTCACATTTCAATTATGTATCACTCGTTGAAGACGATACATGAGATGAACATAGTGAATCTATTCAAGCAATTTCATTAAACTGAGTAACTCTGTCGTACAAAGATTTCTATTGAATATAACAATGAAGAGGATAAAAGTTGATCTTAGCACTTAAAAGGAGTTATTAAATTATCTTCAGATTACTTTTGATGCTATAAGTAAGTAATCTAAATAACTTATTTCATTTGTTATAGTAATCAGATTTATCCATACATTCCAGTTACAAAGTTATCATTTCTATTTACTTGACTTGAATGTACATTAATTTGGAGATTTCAGTATGAAGTTATTCATCTTTATCAGCATTATTTTCTTCATCATTTGTAGATCGATAGGATTATCATCAAACTAATTAAAATACTGTCAAGTGATCTCTATGATAATTAGTTGGAAGCCCCACACCTAGATTATACTTTAGTTGATACTTTTCAACCAGGTGTACCTGTAGTCTTGGGTTAACTGATGCTCTCTGAGAGATTCAAATAGGAGTCGTCGCCCACTACCATAACCTGAGACATTTTTCACTGAAGTAGTCGTGCTCTTGACTTAGTTTCTTTAGGAATATTTAATAATAATTGACCAATGTGCATTGAGCAATTTCATGTTTATCTAGTCCTTTAATACAAATCGAATTTTATTAATCAAGTTATAATGTGGTCTCTTGTTTAAATTACTTGACATTACTGAAACACTTTTGAAGTGTCCTCTGTAAACCGACTATATTAACACTTCCAGTAGATTACCTGTTAGTCTTATTTATCACTTATTTGTTACATTTAAATACCTTCGTTTCCATGACATCATTAAACATATAATTTACAATCATAAGTTATCTGTTCTGGATAATTAAGATTTATCGAAATCTATACATTTGTAATGATTAAAACAAAACTTACCAAACATTTATCACATGTATCCCCAATTACATTCTCACCACATTTACATTGACCTGTGATTGGATTACATGTTCGATCGATTGCTCTTGAAGTACATTTGCACTCTGTAAATAATGTTTGTTTTATAAAAAAAGAGACATATATATGTACAAATGTTCGTAAAAGTTATAGGTCAAACAAACAAAACAAAGATTTTTCAAAAGTATTTTGAAAACAAAAGTGAACTGTAAATTCTTTTTGTAAACATAAACTGAGGTTCAGACAATGAATAGTAGTACTGGAGTCTACTGAACGTCTAGTTGGATATGAGTGTTTCTAATATTCATATTTAATACCATGATTTTGGTAGACAGACGAAGAGATGTGAAGCGGCAATGTTAGGTATGCCTATTCAAGATAGTACTCATTGAAAACATTGATGCAACTCAAAATAGACAATGAATAGTTTGACAAAGAAACAGGCATTAGATAAAACAATAAGTGTACAGGCTCACACAAATGAGATGAACAAGTGTGAAATTATAAAGACACGAAAGTCACAACTTCCTATGAAACTAATAAAGTTATTAGGAAGACAAAAATGACTTAATTGTTACTTACTGTCTAATCAAGAATTAGGATGATTAGAAGTTGGACAGATATATCCTTTTTGGGAACAGTTTTTTGTCTTGCTGTTTCATATGTTTACTTGAATCGCCTACTCATAAACTCAAGTAATGTCTTAGAAACAAAGAAAATGAAAAAAATAAACTAAATATATCTTAAATTTATTACCTGTACATCCATTTGGACCTAGATTATAATATCCTACTTGACATGTTGAACAGTCTAAAGTACCACCAACTCCTGGTTTACAAGAACATTGTCCAGAGACAGGATCACATACTGTTAAATATTCTGGTCTGGTACCAATAGGATCACATTGACATGGTGGACAACCAGCTTCTGTATTACCACGACCAGATATACAACGATCACATCTAACACCTTCATATGTTGATAAACAATTACATTGACCGTCTTCAAGTCTACATGATGGAGAGATGCTGCCTTTTGGATGACAATTACAAGCTGAAATAAATTTTAAAAAGCAAACTATTTAAGGTTAATCAAATAAGCATTTAGGATAAATTTTATCGAAATAACCGAAATATAGTCACAGCACTTTCGTTTAATAAAATTTGTACAACTAACGCTGTCTAGTTTGTTCTTTATAACCCCTATATCGATCAAAGTTTATGTATATTACGAATGTAACATTTTTCAGTAAATTTAGTATATACAATAAACAGTACCGGCTACATAGTTGAAAAAAGAAAACAAATTTCGCGCAATTTCTTGCATTGGTTGAGGTTAGACATTAACACCGTTGGATGTCGGCCAGTTCAGTTGTATAGAACTTAATCGTTCGCACGTGAGACTGAAGGCCCTGGGTTCGAATCTCGTGAGCGAAATCTTGGAAGCACACTGCTGAGGAGTACTAAAATAGGACGAACCCCCCTCCCAATGCTTCCAGGTTTTCAATGGTGGTCTAACATCAATCTCAATCAAAAATGTAATAATCTCCACAAGCCCATATTGGTAAATTTCGCTTGATTTAAATTTCATGCAGTATTATTATTCATTTTTGTGTCAGGAATTTCCAATTTCCAATAAAACTTAGTGTGATTCTTATTTAGTACATATGATACTGTAGTACTACAGATATCATCAAAAATGTACACGTATTTGTAAACAGCTGTCTATGCAAGATTCTTTAGTTTTGTTGGCCAGACACCATCAAGAATAACCGACTGTAGTAGAAAATAAACTAGGCTCCAACTGAGGAGGAAATTATGAAAAGACGCTGGAGGTGGGTGGGACGTACGTTGAAGAAATCATCAAATTAGATCATAAGCTCTAACTAGGAGTTCTCAAATCCAAAGGAATATAAGAAGACCAAAGAACACACGGAGTCAGGAATCGGTGCCAGACATCAAAGGAATGAATAGTATTTGGAAACAACTACTAGACACTAAAGTATGATGTTATCATTGTTTGTTGTATGTAAAATATATATCGATTTTTCTTATGTCATGAATGTGGTTGACTTAAATTATTATCATAAATTATTAAGGTTAATAATAATAATACTTTTACATTTTAATATTAATGAAGGATGAAATCAAATAATTATTCATGGTTAGTTTCCACTTGAACCAATCAATATTTCACCAATTACTGACATGATTGTCTAATTTCTACACTACGTTGCCTTTTATCGTTACCTTCAATGTGAATTGAGAAGAAAGGATGTCATTGAATATTGAAATTGTTCTTGAACCAAATTCATCTACTAAAAACAATATGCTTGAAAGTCAAAACTATTTTTATTATTTAGTCGAAGGATCATGTTACAATTTGTGGCCTGATGACCTATTAATATATAGCGTAATGTTACCGCCAATTAGAGAACAATGATTTATCGACAGGAACACTGACCCGTGAATCCGTACGAGCAGACTAGAGTCCTTATCGGTTCTGCTTCCTGCCTAACCCTATCTGTTGAGTCCACAACACCAATTTCAGCCTCTGCGATATGAATCATTTATTTCAAACATACTGGGTTAATCTACCAACCAAACAGACCATATCACACTATAAAATAAGAAACAATATTTGTACAAGATTTAGCCAAATGTGGCTTTGAATGTGGGAGATAGTAATTGATAGACTGGGTATAACTCAAGAATGGTAAATCGTATGGTGATAGTTTATAGGTTATAATAAAAGGAATACGAATATGAATAGTTTAGTTAGTTAACAACTATACAACAAAAATATAAGTATAGTATGAGTCCAGAAATAAATAAATAACAGGTCAAATCTACATATCTGATGAATTTGCATTGACAAATATGTCTCTTTTGTTATTGTATGAGGATAAATGTAACACATTGAACTGATTCACATTCATACTAGATCTTTTGTTACTTACAACTGATTGATATTGGTCACTAGGAAACTGAACTAAACAATAATCATTCAAAATAAGCTCATCAAACTTTTAGATAGTGAAAAATTGAGACTAGTTACTAGGTGATTGAAAAACAGAACTGAACAACTATCATGTATTGGCTACCAATTGGTTTTTATATATACTGTTTTACAACTAATAATCAGGATCTTCCTATGAAAAAAAACACTCTGAGTATTCACTTTAATCATTTGTAGTTGAACCTATGAAACTGAATTTTACAGATTATTAGGATGTGATCATTGTTAGATCATTGTACAAGTCACTCACTAGTTATATAGCTACTTTTAATCATTCAATAGTCATTAAATTATTTTTGCCTCAACCGACAGTATCATGTCAACGATGTTTTTTCTCGAAATCTAATCGATGAAAACAGTTTAAACTTATCTCTATAGAAAAAAGTAAAGTAAACTCAAAAAAATATTTTGTAGAGAATGTTCAGTTCCATAATCGGCATCACGAAATGACCTTAGTTTTAAAACCATAAAAAAACGGGAAAGTATTAGACAGTTGTTGTTTCCCAGTATAGAACTTTTCAGTAGCGAACAATTACGTATTCATATGAGATAGAGCTAAAGATCTTCAGGTATCTCAATGAGTAATTAGTTTTTAGACTACTGAGTTTCAAAATAACTTATGAAGTTCATTTTGTACATACACAAATGATGATCAGTCATATAAATATCAAGTCATGAAAATAAAGAGCGGATCAAAATCACTGAAATAAATATGGTCAAACATACGTCTACATGGTTGTCCTCTAGTTGGATCTCCATGCGTTCCTTCAGCGCATGCATCGCATTGCGGTCCAGCTGTATTAAATCCACAGATACAAGCTCCATTTGTTGAATTGCATCCTATAGCAGCGGGTCCACAATTACATGGACGACATGGCACTCCATTCAGTGGATCACCATAATACATTTCTGCGCATACTTCACAATATCGACCTCGAGTACTAAGCATTAAACAGAAGGGTTGATTATATAGTAAGAAAACACTATTAGTCAACTTTTAAGAAATTGAAACGATTAACTTTAAACTATTTCATCAACTAAATTTATTCTTTCTTAAACTTAAGATCGTTAACATCTTGCTATGGGTCATTACTTACTCTTTTTTCAAATGGGTATAATTTACAGTGGTAAGCATTTCTAAACATAACTGAAATGTCATAATATTTATAGACATAACATAAGCTAATTTAGGATATTCTTATAAACAACTAAATGATCAATTAATTTAACATGAGTAATAGGATATCATACTACTTATCACTAATAAATCATCAAAATAACGAAGCATTGTATGTAACTCAAGTAGTCTATTTTCAAGTATACAAACTTTCATCTTAACTGTCAAGTAGAATTATATCAAGAAAACAGGCATGTAATATGATTGAATATGTAAGAATTTTCATATCTCAAAATTAAAGAATTGTCTCTAAGGTATATATATTTCAATAGTTGAGATCATGGGTCAATTGAAGCTAGACCACCACGGAAACTTGGAAGCACTGGACTGCCATTTCGTCTTATTGTGAGACTCCTTATCAGTGCGCATCCACGATCCCGCCTAGCGAGACTCAAACCCAGGGCCTGTCAGTCTCGCACTCGAGCTCTTAACCACTAGACCACTGAGCTGGTTGACATCTAAAGGTGTTAATGTCTAACTTCAACTTATCCACGAAATTAAGCGACACATCCACCATTGTCATCAGTGAGTTACTATCTCACAACTGACCCGGTTGAACTCCACTGGCCACTGCTTCTAACTAGGACTCCAGGATATACCTCTTGAGGCCAGTCAATAGGTTTTCCATAGTGGTCTATCTTCTATTGACTCATCATCTCAACTATTGAAATTACTACAATGTCCACAAAACCCCTTCTGATATATATATTTTTAATTAGCTTCAATTTGATTATTATGAAAAATTATTACACAGTACTCATCAAAGTGAAAATGTGATTAGATTTTGACTAGAGAAACAAAACCCTGTTTTTATTTAAGAAAACTATAGTTCTTGGTATGATAGAGAGTGGCTGTTAGTCAATAGAAGAGCGAAAATGTCTCATTGTGGTGTCTGTTACTATGTTAAGTCCATATAACTTATTCTAGCTTCTGGGCAGGTCAATTTATTCATTCTTCTTGAGTCACATTTTGACATTGTTAATTATTCGATTATCAACCTTCACTGTTCTTATATGAGCGTATGTGTGTGCACTTCTTATCTTACCCATCACATATCTGTAACTTAATTTGGTTCGACTATAAACATTGAGTAACGCTTAATTGAATTGAGTTGGCTCATATATCTTCTCTAATCCGTTGCACTTTGTTCTCTACGCTTTTTATCACTCACTTCTCTCTGTGCTTGCTTTCTGAGTTGCTTGCAGATTTTATCAATTATTAACAGTACACAACTGGTATTCTAGCTTTTGAATAATCTCGAGTAAATGCATAATATTATCAGGAGATTTGGCATGCGTAAATGCTCAGTCAGCGAAATATTATTCATTGGAGTCGGATATAGAGGAAATTAGCCTCTACATTATGATAGATGCTGACCCATTTTACTGTGTGATCTGAATCATCTTATTGAGCAGTTTAGTCTACGGTTGAGCCGATCAACATAATTCATCTGATCGTTTCTCGATTATTAGTTTAGTCAGAAATATAAAGAGTTAAATTTTCAGAATGAGTTTTTGTGGAGAGTTTAACAAATTTCACAAGTTGAAATCATGAGTCAGTTGAAGCTAGACCACCATTGAAAACCTGGAAGCACTGGACGGCCGTTTCGTCCCGGCATGGGACTCCTCAGCAGTGCGCATCAACGATCCCGCACCACGCGGGGCCCGAACCCGGGACCCACTGGCTACGCGCGCGAGCACTTAACCACGGTGTTAATGTCTAACTTCAACCAATCCACGTAGTCAGTATGTCCTGGGTTCGAGCCCCGTGTGGTGCGGGATCGTGGATGCGCACTGCTGAGGAGTCCCATACCAGGACGAAACGGCCGTCCAGTGCTTCCAGGTTTTCAATGGTGATCTAGCTTCAACTGACTCATGATTTCAACTTGTGTAGTTAAATTTTCTCTTTATATACATTCTCGTGGGCAACAGACTAGATGTTGTCTAGCTCAAAACCCCTCAACGTTTTTAAATTGTTTCCTTTTTAATAATTGATGTACATATTTACCATTAAGCAAAGAGTATTGAGAATGGTATGTAAAATCTTGAGAAGTGTTATAGTTCCTATGGGGTTATCTATGAAAACACTAAATTAACCAGCTACGATTGTTATTTGCATTGAAAATTTTCGTTTACTATTGGTTGCTAATAATATTATTATCTATTTCGGTATTGTTCAAAAACTTGACTGTTGAGAGAATACCTAGACAGGTGGTTTCATCGAAGACAAAGCACATTCTTTGAACAAGATGTAAGAAAATTTCCTGAAATGTTTAATTTCAGTAGATCAAATATATAAACGAACTCACTTTTCTGTACAGTCCAAACAAACATAAGGTTTTTCCTCTTTAAATACTTCTTCTTCATGTGCCAAGCAAATTGTTGTCATTTGATAATCTAAATGAGGACACTCACATGATTTACATGCTGTTGGGTCACCGGTTCGTGGATCCCCATAAAATCCCGGTGCGCATATATCACATTTATCTCCTGCAGTATTATGAGTACAATCCTAAAATATAAAAAATATCAATTCTATAGATTGGTGACATCCAGTAAATCCTCCTTCATAAGTTGAAATCAATGTTGTGTAGTGATACAATAATCAATGACGATCTGATTAAGTTTATTAATTCATTAACCTAAAATTAAAAACTATTTAACTTCAAAACAGTGGTGTCATTTGTGTTTTAAATAACCTCTCATTTATATTACATAAAAAGTTACTACTCTATCAATTCACTTGGTGTTGTCTACTTGTATCTTCCCATTGTTATTTAAGACTGTAATTGATCAGTCTCTTGTTGGCATATGTGCATCTTGTGCAGACTGCCTCAACATTGCTTCAAGCCACAAGCATTATAAGCAAAGATGGATAGTGGCTAGTAGTGGAATCCAGAACGCGCGTTCCGTCCCATTTGGGACTCACTAGCTGGATGTACCTCCATCTCATAGTTGATGTTCTCTTCCGGACTCGAACTCAGTACCGTCCGCTTCAAATACCATCACGTTATTTACTTAACTACTCCCTTATTTCATAAAATGTTCGTTGTCACTTTGAATCTTTGAAATCATGACGATATATTTTGTTATGCTCAGTGCTATCCTAATTATTAATGAATCAATTGTATTGTTAATAGCAACGGTTTGTATTAACTTATTATTGATATTCGTACCTAAATTTTGATTAGTCTCTGTTGGTATATATATATATATATATATATATATATATATATATATATATATATATATATATATATATATATATATATATATGATGGATTACTTCTGGCAGTGCAATCCATGACGTGCATTTCGTCCTATATAGGACTTGTAAGCTAGGTGTACCTTTATTTCAGTATCCATATTTATAATAGGACATGGATTTAGTTCCTTACACTTTAAATTCTGACATTTTATTCACCAAGTCAGTGAGTCGTATATTGTTGAAGAGACTACCACAGAAAGTATGTGCATAAACAAAGGCTGATTTAAATTCAGCCTAAAAGGTTAACAAATGGGCATCATACAGGTTGAGTTGATCACTATATGAATTTAGTAGCTCAGTGAATAAATCAACTGTGTCTTGTTATCATTTTGAGTTCCTTCATGGTGTCTTCTGAGTATAATAGGTAAAAAAGAAACCTTGATTCAAGATTTGAAGTCGACGCTTATCAATAGGTACAATAATGGAGTAGGGTGCTTATATACATAGTATACAATCCCCTTTGAACCTAACACACAACAATAACATCATACACTGTCCCTGGTGGATCAGGTAACCTGAAAGTGACGAGAACATCGAAGCATGCGTTAGACTGTTGTCGAGCTGATACTGATGACACTTATTAACAATATATATTTAAAGGAAATAATGCTTCTAAAGGGTTATTTCACTGATAGAAATGACAGAAATCCAGTTGATTTTCTGACAATTTACAAATATCATCAATGAATAGGCGAATAATCTCTTGAAGATTTCCCATATTTCACTTAACAAGATAAATTTTATCTCTTAATAAAACTTACAATGCATACTCCAGTCTTCTCATCACAAATATCTGAATGTCCATGACATTCACATAGTACACAAACAGGTAACTGTGTCATCATAGTTGAACGCCATAATGATAAAGCTGTTGATGAAGTAAAAGAAGTTTGATTAGTTTGTATTGTTGATTGTTTTTGATAATCACGATAATAACCAGTTGCACATGATTCACAAGATGATCCTGAATATCCATTTGGACAAATACATTCTTCAATATTTGGTATTCCACCAGTTTCATCACGTAATGCACGACCAAGTGTAACAGACATTAATCTGTAATAAATGAATGAAATAAAAAATAAATACATTGAAATATTCAATAGAAATCGCATTTCATATGATGTATTATTCAAAGTAAATATAAACATTTTAGGGATATGTGTACATATAAGATGGATTCCGTAAGGATCGGTCATGCATGGACCAAATTGCAACACTACGGATCATCGTCGACAATCATTTGAGTGGAACTCGTCACTATACATCAACTTTATTGATTATGAAAAGGCATTTGACAGTGTAGATAGGAGGACGTTATGGAAACTTCTTCGACACTACGGAGTTCCTGAGGAGATTGTCAATATTATCCGGAACTCATATGACGGACTACAGTGCAAGGTCGTGCATGGAGGACAGCTGACAGATGCATTCCAAGTAAGGACCGGAGTAAGACAAGGCTGTCTAATCTCTCCACTCCTCTTTCTTCTTGTGGCCGACTGGATTATGAAGACCTCAACATCTGAGGGAAAACACGGAATACAATGGACAGCTCGAAATCAATTAGACGATTTGGACTTTGCAGATGACCTAGCCCTCCTATCATGTACACACGAACAGATGTAGATGAAGACAGCCAGTGTGGCATCAGTCTCTGCATCAGTAGGCCTCAGTAAACACAAAGGGAAAACCAAAGTCCTCAAATTCAAAGCGGAAAATCACAATCCAATCACTCTTGATGGCGAAACTCTGGAAAATGTAGAGTCCTTCACATACCTAGGAAGCATCATCGATGAACAAGGAGGTTCAGATGCAGACGTAAAGGCAAGGATTGGCAAAGCAAGGACAGCATTCCTACAGTTAAAGAATATATGGAACTCAAAACAACTTTCAACCAATATCAAAGTGAGAATCTTCAATACCAACGTCAAGGCAGTTCTACTGTATGGAGCTGAAACTTGGAGAACTCCAACAACCACAATCAAGAAAATACAAGTATTTATAAATAGCTGTCTACGCAAGATACTCAACATCCATTGGCCGGATACCATCAGCAATAGCCTTTTGTGGGAGAGAACAAACCAACTTCCAGCTGAAGAAGAAATTAGGAAAAGACGATGAAAATGGAAAGGACATACATTATGGAAATCAACAAACTGCATCACAAGACAAGCTCTAACTTGGAATCTTGAAGGGAAGCGGAAAAGAAGAAGGCCAAAGAAGACAATACGTCGGGAAATAGATGCGGAAAATGAAAAAGATGTATAACAACTGGAAAGAGCTGGAAAGGATTGCCCAGTACAGGTTTGGATGGAGAATGCTGGTGAGCGGCCTATGTCCCTTCATGAGGAATATCAGGCGTAAGTAAATAAGTACATATTAGATGAAATGATACATTTTATTAGTTGTCAAGTGTATAAACAGCTAATACAGAATTTAACTATATTGATTGTGAATAAAGAAAAGCAACAAAGTCGAATGAGAATTGTATACTTGCTTAAAGATGAAGATAAGAAAGAACATGATTGTCTAGTTAGCTAGAGAGAAGAATATATGACCAGTACATCTAAGTGGTAGGTTACTGAAATCCCGAAAATAGGGTTAACCTAACTATGATATACATAAATTTATATTCTGTATTCCATTCATTCGTCATTCAGTATGGAATCAAATTGAGAGCACAAAAATGGTGAGAACTTTTACGATAAAAACATCCTAGAAAGAAAAAAACTGTCCAGTACTCAATGGTTTTCACAATGACCCCAAACGAAATCAATTTGTAACAAAATTAAACTTTAGATTTTAGTAAAGGATAAATTGATAACTTCAGTGAAATCAAATATTGATACTTACTCAGTTGTTGTTTGATCGGTAATATATTTAGCTTTAATCAATAATCTGTCTATACTGGATAACACAGTCATTATATCGGCTATTGTTGCTGGTCGACCAACTCGTTCCAATGTTGACTCATCAAATCTTAATTGATCACCCTGTAACCAACTTATAGGAAAACGATCTAATGGTATAGAGGTCGGCGGTTCAACAATTACACGGAATGATGATTCACTTAATGGAATATTTAAAATCATATGACTTTCACGATAGGATGGCGATAGCATATGAACTAGTCGATAACCATTACCCTGTTTATTTTAGATGACAGGAGAAAAAAAAGGAGACAAACAACATTAGAAGATGAAACAATCGAAGTTTGATTTTAGTAAATCAACGTATATATGTGCTATAATAACTACTTACTATTTGAAATATAAATTTTAATTAAACTTGTAATGGTTTGGATGATCTCATTGTTGATATTTTAACTAAATTTTAGTCTGTTCTGGTTGAGAATATACAGAGCGTGGTGATTGTCTTGATATGTCCATTAAGTCACTAGTCTCAAACTACAGTTAAATATGAACAACAAGATAATCAAACCATTACAAATTCAATAAAATTTATACCTGTTGCCCACGTGAGTCACTGCATGAACTCAGTGGCATTGGATTTTGAAGCAAAATGTACTGGATTCGAGTCTTTCAGTTAGCATCACTTCTAGGATGTAGTTACACTCATCTGATGAGCCCCAAATAGGACGTAACGAGCGTCTTGGATTTCACTGCTACCTGCACCTCGCTTTAATATTAATCATTTGTTAAAAAAAATGATACACGTAATTATTTTTGGTATTAGACAACACATTAATTACATAGTTTATATCGATAAACTGACCTTGGTTACGCAATCAATAAGAAGTAGGAAGCACTTGACTTTTGTTTAGTTCCAATATGAGGGTCTACAGTAGTGTGCATCTACGACTGGACCAGGAACAGAACGGAGAATCTTCACGTTTAATACTAAAGTTTAATTTTTAAACTACTGATCCGGTATCTAATTATTTACACTTTTAGCTTCAAACCATCTATGATATTATGGAACCATTATTTACTTACATACTAGCTTTTTCATCAGAAGGAAGTAGACAAGCGGTATCATAAAGTAAATTTGCTGTCTCTCATTATTCGCCTCTTTTCAAAATAATACGTGATCCCTGAACTAACCCATCCTTCAAACGACAGTTTTAAGACAGAATTCTCTTTATCAGGAATATTATTAGCCATCAACTGATACATTCCTGGACTAAATTATGCAAACGACCGAGACATAGAATAGTCACTTAATTTAACATCCTAGATCCTAACAACAATTTGATTCTATCAATGAATACAAAAATGTCAGTCGTTTGGCAGTCGAAAATGGTTGACAGAAGTCTACGGATCTGGGTTTCACGGGAGAAATAGCTCAGTAGCAACAATTTCAACTGTGGTATTAAATGATACGTTGCTCGAGTAACACCATGTATTGAAAATGATAGGAGTTTTATAATACTTCAGTAGAAAATATATATGATCTCTGTATATTAATAAAGATCTAAGTAGCTATCAGTAGTTCAAGAGTGAACAAACCCACTGAGTCAATACGATCATTAGGAGACGGATTAAATTAAACAATATGAATCAATAATTCATACTAGTGCTTTTTCCCTAGCACGTTACGCGTCAGTGAGTCAATCAATCCATAATCTAATAATCAGAATCTTAATCTAGCAGTTTCCAGTTCTGGAATGCAATACACAGATATTAAATTGGAAGTGTAGGTTTCCCCCAATAATGAATTTTATGAAAAATATCTCTATGTACAGTTTTTAATTATTACTAGTATTTAGTTGCGTGATTGAAATCTTCACTTGAACCAGTTAAGTGAAAAGAAACAGATAATTAATTAACAGTTAAATTTAATAATTGAATTCGTGAGTCAACTGAAGCTAGATCACCATGGAAAATCTGAAAACACTGAAAGGCCGTTTCGTCCCAGATTGGGACTCTTCATCAGTGCGCATCCACTACCCCGCTCCACGAGACTCGAACACAGGACCTATCGGTCTCGCGCGCGATCAATCAACCTCTAGACCTCTGCGCCGGCATCCAATGGTGTTAATATCTAGCCTCAACCAATCCATGAAATTGCACCACCGTCCACCATTGCCTTAAATGAGTTGGTATTTCATGATAGAGGAGTCCCATACTAGGATGTAATGGCCGTCCAGTGCTTCCAGGTTCTCCATTATGGTCTAGCTTTGGTTGACTCATGAATTCAATTACTAAATTACTGCAATCTCAACAAAACCCTTCTCTGATTATAACAGTTATATATTGGTGAAATTATTAATAAACAGATATTACCTCAATTACAATATCTGGTTCATGTAGCCACATATAATTTAAGTGGTCAGTCATAGCCATCGATAAAGAAAATTGTCTACTGCCTGATATGTCCATGTTTATTGTTGGTGTACGATATGTTAACATAGTAGGTGAATTAAAACGTAAAATAATATTCAATGTATCACGATAAGCTGTTATTTGATTGCCTAAATATGCTTCTGGTGCAGACCAATAATAACCGCGTGTAACTGGTGTTGAAGTAACTGATGAAAGCCAACTTTCAACTGCACGTGTTTGAGCAAATAAAACTTTATCATATTGTACAGATGTTTCTGTCATTGGTATTGTGTAACTTGTATCTGGTGTAGATAAGCTTGGTACAATAATTTTCCAATTCGCTAAAGTGTTGACCTATGAAACAATGAAAAATAAGGTGTTGGAAATAATTATGTTAATTAAAAGATTAATAATAAGAATGTAGTGTTTGGCAACTTGAAGGATATAAGTGACTTTATTCTATTATGCTACACTTTTAACATAGAATTGGTAGATAGTTTAATGGAAAAAAAAACTACTGACTACATTCTATTCAGAAGTAGAGATCATGAATTATTCACTAGTCAGTAATGAATCCATATTTCACATTATGATTAGTATGAAGTTGACTAGTTTACTGAACATCAGGCTTTCTAAATTAAATAGACGAATTAATTCATAAAACTTGACTAATTAGTTAGTTTAGATCATGAAGACAAATTTATTAACTGAGAGAATAATAAACTATTTTAATAGTTAAGATCATGAGTTAATTGAAGCTAGACCACCATGGAAAATCTGGAAGCACTGGATGACTGTCTCATCCTATTGTGGGACTTATCAACAGTGAGCATCCACAATCCCACTTGCGGGATTCGAACCCAAGCCCTTCAGTCTCGCGCGCGAACGATTACCCTCTAGACCACTGGGCCGGCATCCAGCGGTGTTAATGTCCAACCTCAACTATTAATATAATGGACTAAGAATAACTGTAATAAGAAAAACATGGAACAAGTTTGTAAGCCCTCTACTTTCTCATAATACAATCAAATCAAGCGTTGGATAATAATACATTAGGCTTCTTAAATTCGACACTTAGAAGGATGAATATTACCATATTCATCATGTTAATTGTTGACTTACAAGAAACATACTTTTGTTTTAAGTGATCTTAAGGTAGTTTTACATGAAGTCCTATGCATTCCACTGAAAATCAGCTAACTTAACACTTCTTATATCAAGAAATATGGCATTAATTAGTCCACTGAGTTAGGAAAGTTTAATGCACGTATGATTTCAGTATGATCAAACGATAGTGATCCGAATGAAATAAATATCCTACTTATCTCTGTATTCATTATGTTGATAAATCACTTTGATACAACAAAAATAAACGTCAAACAGTAACTGTATCTAGGATATATGTTTGAGACATAATAATATTGAACGGCATACAAGCGATATAAAATGCAACGTTTAAAGCATTGGAGTTTGGTAATCCGTAGACTTAGAAGATAACAAGGTGGTTCAGTTTACACAAGTCAGGTAAGATATGCTGGAAGTTGTCAGACACATACTGTTATACACATATATATAAAAAATAACCACGATTACACGTAATAAACTAACAGGGTTAAACAAATGTAAGATATAATAACTGGAATGATCATAACTACTTGTCTCACACTTTTTACAACCTTTTTCAAGAGAATAGGTGCACAAAAATGACTGAAAAGAGTGAAATTATTAATCTTTCCGAAAATCAGAACAAATTCCTTACAAAAGTCACGTTTTAGTCACTAATTCATGCCTATCGTTAAAGTGTGTAAATATTGGTTATTAAATAACTGGACTATATGATATCAACTCTGATTACCGAAAATATTCAGGCGTCAGAACAAAGAAAGTGTTGATAACAACAGGCTTTAATTGGTGCAAAGTTTGTTCAGTATGAAGCACATAAAGTTTTTAAACGACGCGTATTATACCCATACGAAGGTTTATACTTCATTAATTACATGGACAAGGCTATAGTATTCCTGTTTTGTGGAGGTAATTCTGATTGATAGCTAACGGGTAAATCATTAACAATAAACGCAAAGTTATTGAGAACAATAACTTAATTCAAAAATAATTTTCAATAGATATTACGAATGATAACATGTATTGCGTACATCATCCTGGATTCTGTTATTGTAAGTAGGAAAATCTCATTTTACGGAAGTATTAAGATAAAAATTATAGATTTCGCCCTAAATGTCTAAATATATTTCACACTACTACTCATTTATAAGTAGTATTTCATAAAACGGAAAAGGAAAACAAAGAGAAATGTAGTACAAAAATAATAACATATTCGACATCGAGATTCCGCTGTATTTTTTCGTGTAACAGAGTAAACCCATTAGACTAGATCCCAACTAATAGTTTTTTTGGATGTGTCCCTGAATGAATGATTATTATTGCTTGACCTTTCTTCATTTAAAGACAATAAAAATTTGTCCTTAAGATTAATTCTCATCTCATTATAAACTAGTAAATGTTAGACAGCATAAATGATTAATACGGTTAAGTGTTAAAACGTTGTCCGGTGTCATTGAATGTAAAATTAAATCTATCATAATCTCGTTAATTGAAATCTAAATAGTTCTAATGTTTCCTCTGACAATTTGGTCTCGCACTCAAGACTGGAGGGTATGGGTTTGAGTCCCGCAGGCGGGATTGTGGATGCGCGCTGCCGAGGAGCCCCACAATAGGATGAAACGGCCGTCCAGTGCGTTCAGGTTTCCAACAGTGGTCTAACATCAATTGGTTCATGATCTCAATCAAAAACGTATTCGAAATTATCAAGTCAAACCTTGGTAACGATAATTTCTGGTTGATATTAGTTTATAATCATGTGAAATCCTCAGAAGAAGGACAAAGACTGAGTATTTTTTTTATCTTTGACCTCATTTTATTAATAAGAGACGAATTCAAGATTAAAAAAGACAAAGATTATTATTATTGAATGAATTCAACCATAAATTGAGTTATAATAAGAATAAATTCAGAATACAAAGTAATAACATTAACGATAGATGAATAAAAAAAAGTTATGTTACTTACTGGACCAAGTAGTCCTTTTCTTTCCAATATCTATAGTCATACAGATCAATAAAATGAGAAAAGAAAAGAAACAAACATGATATTGTTTCAGGAATAGATATTTTCAGGTGTATTTTCATGATAAGCAGAATATGTGTAGATATCATAACAATGTTTGATTTGAATATCACTAATTGTGTACCATACTGAATAGTCAAAATGATAAACAAAGATAAATATATACTGGCTATCATAAATTATATTGTATCTCGCTTAACGATTTATGATTATTTTCATCTATACTAGATGGTTTTGATTCCATAATGAAGTTATGGATACGTACTACTGAGGAGTCTTTAATTGAATTAAAACAGGTCTCCATTGCTTCCTAGGTCCAAAGTTAATTCGTAATGTACATTTTAAAATTTCCTGAATAACTAGAAACAATCAGGAATGATAAATATCATTGTCATTTCATGAATAAACTTTCTCAAAAAAAATACACTTTGTGTTCTTATTTAACTAATTTAGTCATTCATTAGAAGCGTATAGTACAGGCAATGGATCATATCTGTTCTAAATAATGAATGTTTATTATTTTCAGCAAATTCATGTTTAATTAACAGTAGTACTATGTTGTTTTTTTCAGTTGAATTCACTCACTTTTAATGTCCCCTACTGAAACTAGAACACAAAAAACCTAACATTTTAAAACCCTACAGTTATCTAATATATTGGTGAATTATGACTATCAACTATGATTTATTTAGTCGATATTGGTCCCTTTGATAGTTGACTAATAGATTGATTGAGGGATATTTTCATAAGATTAGAGCATATATTAATAATTCATTACTGTTATTCTTCACATTTTGATGGTAACCAATATTGAATTGTAGAACATTAACTATCTTAAAAGATAGAGAAGATAAATAATAGATGTTTAACTTATAATTTACACATATTAGGATACTATAACTGTGTGAGTTGAGCTTTTAGTTAACAGAGTTTTCGTTATCATGTTAAATAGCATTATCATTATCCAGCCTCTATGTGTTACCTTAGCACACGACTGGAACGCCGGATACCTAAACTGAATATTATAAGAATCTTACCCCTTTCTTTTTTTGATTATCTCTATCTTAATCTTCACATCCATCATTCCCAATTCGTTTATCGTAATTACCTTGATAACACCCCCCCCCTTATTACACATTATATTTACACAACAATCTTATAATGCTATAATACTAATCTCCACTTATTGTGACTGAACACTTTACTTCCAAAACATCTTGACCTTTATTGAATGACCTTTCTAATTTGCAAATAATGCAATTTTGAAGGATATAGATATCGTAACAGATGGAAACGTGCACCATTTTTAACACATAACATTGTCAAATTCATTAATACATGCCTTATTTTTGGCTTTTGTAAAAAATATCATAATTGTGGACTTATAACTGTAGAGCCTGATGATAAACTTATTGAAAACAAATTGTTCGTTCAAATATTCTTCATTTTTCAAACTTGAATTATTGAACAATGAATTTGAATGAATTCAATTTTATGAATACATACCATTGCAGTAGATGATGTAACACCAGTACATTGATCAGTAAGACCAGAACAATAACATGATTGACAACCTTCTGGATTATTAACATCTAAATTGAAAAATCCTTTTTGACATGTATTACAATAAGAATCTGGATCAACATTAATCTATTAACAGAATTTAAAAAAAAGATGAAATAGGTATCATGATTAAAAAAGGAATAGAAATTAAATATAATTACATGATTAATCAATTAATTATTAAGAAATAAATTCGATTTATAATGTAATTCATTTCATTAACTAATGTTAATGATGAGTTCCACTGCTGAGGAGTCCTACAATAGGACGAAACGGTCGTCCAGTGCTTTTAGGTTTCTCATGGTGATCTAGCTCCATTAATTGACTTATGATCTCAACTATTGAAATTACTATAATATCCGCAAAACCCCTTCTGATATTAATTAATGTTGTATTTCGATAACTACCCTGTCTATGTGTTATAACTGAAAGTTGCAGGACAAAAGTCCTGCAAGATTTAACCAATCAGTTTTATTTATTTATTTAATACTACATGCTTGTTGTAATTCATTACCTTTATTATTGAATCTGTTCTGAAAAGCATTACTTAGTAGAGATTATTGAGTGGCATACTATGAACTTTATTCTTTCTGATACTCAACATTTAGATGTGTCTATACCCTAGTGAATTGCACATGCAACAACATGTGCAGCACAAGACGACCAGTGTAGCAGCAGTAGGTCTCAACATACATAATAGCATGCACCAATCGAACCACACTCAACGGAGAAGATTTGGAAGATGTAAAAACATTTAAATATCTTGGTAGCATCATTGATGAACACGGTGGATCTGACGCAGACATGAAGGCGCGGATCGGCAAAACAAGAATAGCATATCTACAACTAAAGAACATCTGGAACTCAAAACAACTGTCAACTAACACTAAGGTCAGAATTTTCAATACAGATGTCAAGACATTTCTACTGTATGGCGTGAAAACCTGGAGAACTACGAAAGCCATCATCCCGAAGATACAAGTGTTTATTAACAGCCAGACATGAGAAGAATGGACAAAAATTGGATAGAACTAGAAATGAAGGCTCAAGACAGAGTGGATTAGAGAATTCTGGTCGTAGGTCTATGCTCCATTGGGAGTAACAGGCTTAAGTAAGTAAATACCCTAGTCAAAGTTGGGCATCATAACCATTGAATTTTTCAAAGCAATTATTATCTTATTCGTAATTCCATTTTCAGTTTTCTAAAATAATATTAGGCTAGAAATCCAATAACAATTATTCTCCATAACCTGTTTGTTCTATCTCTGAATATCATCTTAAGATAAATACCTACGTAATCTGACGAAAAGTTCTAGTTTTGAACAAATTTTGTCTTGATCTAAGTAAGGTTTCTCATCATTCGAAGGAACGTCACACCCCAAACTGACGTTAACTAGAAAAGCCAATAAAAATCAGAGATCTCACACGGCTATTTCAATCTTTTTTTAAAGTGTTCTATATCTTACACGTACTACTGTATGAGTATTGACCCCAAAATGTACATGATATTATTAGATTATGAAATCGGTTAGTCAGTTTGGAATATATAGAGTTGACTCTTTAACTAGAGCAAAACAGCTAACAAGCTCCGTAATGTCATTGAAAGCTACTCACTGGTTCTATCAATCAAGCGTTTACCTCGAAGACTGAAGTTCCTATATTGGACTACTGGTAAGGTCGTGAGTGCATACTGTTGATGAATCATAGATATCCAGTTTTCTTTGGTTCTCAATAGTGAACTTAATGAGATAGATCTGTGATGAATACTACCTACAGATTAAATTTTTCTCCATAAAATCTCTTCAAGTAATCATTTATGACTGGGTTTCAACACAATACCAACTTATGATAAGCTTACATTTATATTATATGAGATTTTCACTTCATCAATTTCAGTTGTAGTAGTTATATATCCATTATTGATTAAGTTCAAAATAGACTTCTTCAAGCTTTAATAATAAAATTTGTGATCCACTAAGATAATTAAATCAGTATTGAAATAAAGTCTTGCTTTATTTCATAAATTCGCTGATTTGTATTAACGTTTATGTATTGTTAATTGAATCTAACTGTTTCTAGTCAGATTGGGGGGTTTATGGAGATTGTAGTAATTTATTAGTTGAATTCATGAGCCGATTAAAGCTAGATCACCCTGGAAAACGTGGAAGCACTGGACGGCCGTTTTGTCCTAATATGATACTCCTCGGCATTGCGCATCCACGGTCCCGGCTGTAGCTCTTCTAGAGTTACTGCCGGTCCCAAGCTCGAGTAAAGGAGGAGGGTTGTGCATGAACTTGGCGACCCCATCCCGTAGAAAAAATCTTGCTAAAAAAACACCGACTCTATCAAACAAATTAAACCATTTAGATCCATAGATGAAAGTTAAATTTCCAGTGATTGAAACCGTGGTTCCTGTCAATATGCGAGCACAATTTAATAATTCAACGTGACAATTTTCAAATTTATAGTACTGGATTATGAATATCTCGCGTATATGTCTGAAGTACACCTGTATACGAATTTGTTAGTTCAATATTTTAAACATTTATTATTACTTATAAGCTCACCTTACAATTACATGGTGGTTCACATTGATATCCTGGGCCACGATGACTTCCTCTAATATCACATGTACATGGTATACATAATTGAGGATCAATGTTAGAACGTTGATAGCCTTCAGCACATTCATCACAACGTCTACCTGCATAACCTTCTTTACAGATGCAATCTCCAGGATACTGAACACAAAGAAATAATACACACAATATAATAAATATTGTTCTTATTACAATTGTATAAATCTCTGTAAGATTAAAATTTTGATATAATCACAGTGGCATAAAAACATTTAATAAATAAACTATAATGCAAGCAGTCAAATCTGGCTTTTTTAAGCTATCATAATGTATTCTATTAATCAGATGTTTAGATAACCAAATACAGTTTAGATCTAATCTAATACAAACAATGATGGGATAAGAGATCATCACGATAGGTGTTAACTTTCACCCAGTGTGACAGTTATATTCTTTAAATTATTCACTGTGCACTACTTATGTGTTTTACAGCATCCCTGTATATCTTTTCATTTATATGATGTTAATTAATCTAATCATCGATGGTATATAAAATCAGTACAAAAATGAGTGTATTAGACTTTATGATGAAGTAATGTTAGAAGAATTGTTTTGGGATCATGTTTCTAAAGAGTTAATAAACATTTATAGGACTGGTCTTTATGTTTTTACTCCGCGTTGTGGGAATAAAATGGGTTCACATTCGCAAGTATAAGCAGTGAAACTGCAGATACAACAGAGCCAACATAACAGAATTTGTCCAAACATAACACTATGACAATAAGAATAATACAGAAGATAATAAATGAGATGTTTTGCAACTGCTGTTGAAATATCTATTTTCAGCTATCTCAGAGATTTTATCCATCGAGCATATAATTATCAGCATAATCTAGAGAAATCGATAGTTTTCAGATGAATAATACCATGAAAAATCCTCTTTATTACAATTACTTGACCTGGTTTACTACATTGAGGACTAAATGATGGCTAAGTTTCGAGTTATTTTTGTAGAAATTATTGAAACATATTTTTCACCTGTTCAGTTACCGGACAATTGATTAGGAGTATTGACAGGTCCATGTTGAAGGTGAAAATTACGTACGGAAAATTTATTAGACTAGTATTATAGCGAAATCACAAACCCAACTAACTTAATTCACCATTATAAACCTGGAAACAGTGGAAGTCTGTTTCATCCTAGTACAGGATTCCTCACAACTACTCAACAACGATCCCACGCCCGAGAACCGAATCAAAGAATTTCTGTTTCGCTCACAATTGCTTAACTTCTTAACCACTGTGCAATAAACGTATAAAATGATACTACAACAATGACGACTCACTCGTTCTGGTATTTCAGCATCATTAGATGTACAGTCACCAGTTGAACCAAAAGTACTACATTCACATGGTCTACAAGGATATTGTGAGTCAGGTCGGACATTTAATGGGCGATAATAACCTTGTTTACATTTTTCACAATTTACACCAGTTGTATCTTCCTAAAAAGCAGAAAATACAAAAAAGATTTAATACTGTTTAGAAAGGTAATTATTTTAATTAAATAATATAGAATTAAAAGGTGTTTAATTTGATGAATAGCATAAAGGTTTTCAACTGAGATTATCCGTAACTATTTGAGTTATCATGAAATGTGTTGTTCTCAACATTTTAAATCATCTATAAAGTTAGTTTAGTGACGTAGTGTTGTATATTGAGATGCTATTTTCATCAAATATCTTATTTCACTGGTTTGGTAAGTGTACAAGAAGTGTATTTGACTGAATTGGATGGCTTTCATTAAAACAGATATAGTGTAAGTTGAATTGGTTATCTAAAATATGTATCTAGAGGTTTCAGTCTAGGTAAAGATAATGGTTTATCGTTTTCTTCTTAAATTACCGATCTTTATTGAATATTTATTGCTTTAGGTGAACTTGACAAGAATCGATCATTGATTAGATAGAAAAAAGGAGATAATTCTTAATTTTCTCTGAATGAATAATGAATGGTACTTTTGATTACGTAATTAGTGAAATCATTTGTAACAATCTGTTATTATATGAAAGAAGTATATGAATTTCTCACTTCATCAGTATTTAGTTAAACAACAAAGTTCAATTTGAATATGGATAACTATTACAACCTAGTTAAATAATTATAATTATTTTCAGTGAATCTATATTGAAAAATGTTATGTAAATTTATAAACTACTTTAAAACTTAATCTAAACATAAATTTTTGATTTATAATGTACTCAAATGGACTAGTCAAGTGTTGTACAACATTTCGAGGATCATTCGATTTATTTTGTTAAAAATCTCAGTATTGAGAAGCTCGCAATACCTATGCCTCGAACCTCAGTAAGCCTAGAAGATTGTATGAAGAGAAAATTGTCAAAGAATCCATAGAATGTCCTAAACGCTTGTATTCGTATATAAACTGAACTTGAGTACTGCATACAAGTAGCTAGACCCTGCTTAAAAAAGACAGTGAGCTTTTGAAAAAGGTTCAGAGAACAGCAAGCTGATTCTCGGAATAGTGAAGCTCCCGTATGATGCTCGACTAGTTAAGCTAAACCTATTCCCGTTGTCATATCGAAGAACCAGAGGTGATTTGATTATAGTTTTCAAATTACTTAGTCATAAATTTGCACCTGATATGCCCTCATGTTTCTTGTCTTCCAAAATAGAGAATTTAAGAGGACACTCCAAAAAGGTTCATAAGCCCAGAACAAATTACTTGTCAGCTGACTACCGACTTTCCCATTGAATCATCAACGAGTGGAATTCATTATCTTAGCAAGTGATTGAGGTTCTATCCATCGACTCTTTCAGAAAATTTTGGATCAACTGAGAGATTGACATTGCCAGAACTAATACAGGCCATTAAACCTCGTTTCCTTTCCAAACTGAATTATTAATGTTTATAGTCAGCAATTAGTTATAACAGTTTGTCACAATATTGATCCAGTTTGAATAAAGCATGAGTCATGTGGTGACCTTTATCAAAGACTGCTTAAACTTGAAAATCTTTTGTAAGCGCTTTGTTTTTCTATAAATTCTGTTTAATTAATCAGTATATTTAGTTTCCGTCAACATTATATTGGATAATTTTAATGGTTTGTATTTTTCTATTATTAATATTAAGGATTATCATTATTCGTTTGGTATAGTGATATCTCAAAGTGAACATCGAAAATGAAGCGTGATTATTATCCAACTGATGAGTCCCCAATAGGATAAAACACGCGTCTTGGATTCTCAGAAACAATTCACATTTATGTTTGCATTGATGATAACTTTCTGCATGTTGTAGTCGATCTCTTTTTTTGAAAAGCATTTTGAGCTACTTGTAAGTAGTATAAACTAGAAGCATTAAAAGAAGGTATAGAACCGAATTTAAAGTGGCGATGGATATATGCTAAGAAGGCAAATATTGTTGAAAAAGTGTTAATTTTTACCATCAGAAAACTTACACGACAGTTTAAGCAGACTCCTCCACCTTCTAGAACACCATCTTTACGCATGCTTAAACGAAGATTAGCGACTGTTTGATTATAAATACATTCATCTGCCTTTTGATTACAGTTACACTCTAAAACGAGAGAAATATATAGATATCTAATCATAAAGTGTGTTAATTTAGACGCTTAAACAAGCTGAACCAATATTTGATTCGGTTATAAAGAAAAAGAACTGATTTTTTCAGATTTTCAATTGAATAATTTTTCAGTATAGGATTGTGAAAATCGTTAAGTTTTTGATTGAGATCATGAATCCATCGATTTTAGGCCAGGAGTGAAAATCCGGGAACACTAGACGGTCGTTTCAAACTATCATGGAACTCATAAGCAGTGCACATACACGATACCATAAGTCCTGGGTTCGAATCCTGCTTGTGGTATAGTGTATATGCAGCGCTGAGGAGTCACATACTAGGTTGAAACAACCGTCTAGTGTTTTCGGGCTTTCACTGCTAGTCTAATATCGATTGACTCATAATCCAAGTCCATAAATAGTCTTTTAACATTGAGTACTAACCTGAGGCTTTACTCAATTATCATTTCCAGTTTTATGGGTAACAAACTATTTCATACTTATATATGATATTAATAAAAGCAGTAGAAGGTGAAGAAGATACCTATCATATTACATGTGCCTCAATGATTTGTTTAACTTTAAAAAAATCAATTTGCTTCATTGTTTCCACTTGAAAAATCATTCTGAAAAGGATTCTATACTATCTGATTTTAACAAGCTAAATAATGAATAACACGAATAACATTTACATTATCATTTACAAAAATTTCATGCACCATCAACAGGAAGAATTAGAATAAACTCAAAAGTCTTGTCCAGTCAGCACAAATCGATACTTGGAGAACGCTTTAGAATCTTCTCGTGTAAAGACTATAAATATACTAACGTTTTTCCTATTGTCCTGCTTACTTGCTTCTCACTTCCATCTAACCTTGTTATTTGAAATATAATCTCTCTTCCTGTTCAACCGTGTTCTGATTTTGGGATTTGTTGAGTGAATACTAAGTAATGGAAATAGCTGGGTCATAACCGTAAGAAAGAGATTATAACACAAATATTGATGCTTGACCTATGTAAGGATCCATTTCATGTTGATGGATCCTTGACTAGTATTCAGTGTTGTTTCTGTCTTTTCATTCAGGACAATATTCCCAACTCAATAGTCCTGCTACTAACTGTGATATTTTATGATATAGGTCTAAATCCAATGGAACTAGGCATCTGTGGCCAAAGTTCTACTAGATATGAGCTATCATATAATGGCTAAGTTGCTAATCTAGCTTAGTGAATTTGCATTATTCGATGAACACTTTATATGAACATAGATGACCCTTAGATTTTGATTTGATTTGATCGTTGATAAAAACACTAGTAAGGTTGTTTTATAAACCAGTCAGAATTTCCGGTATAAAAACTAAGATAGATCATGGAAAACTTATCAAAGACATCTCAGAATGAAGATTTATTCATTAATATCTTGAATGTTTTTAAGTATTGAACGATTTTATATCATTATTAGTATGAATTTGAATTATCCTTTTGTTAGTACCCAGGACTGGATTTTGATCAGTCTTTGTTGACACATGTAGATCTTGTGAGGATCCCTTAGACACTGATTTCGGATTCCAAATGTGAACATGAACACGTGGACATAGATAAATCTATACGACAAACACCTTATAGGATGAAACGAGCTTCCTGAATTTCATAGATAGCCATGATCCATTCATTTTAAATGTCTAAACGTTTCATTTTAATTTAAATGGCTTTTTTGTGATATTGAATGCATTGTGTTCTAGTTAAGACTGTTTCTCACCATAATCCTAATCAGCTTTCAGGATGACTGATTAAGATAACGTAAATATATTCAAATATTTAATTGAACAACATAACTGTTGTTTTTTACCTTCACATATTCTTCCTGGACGCCATGGTTGTTGATTGAACAATGGACAACACTTTTCACAATTGTTTCCGCATGTGTTATGTTGACAGTCACACACGGCTCGAGGTACACCCTGAGTGAAGAAGTAAATAAATACATAATTTAATAAAACAATTTCAATAAAGGAATTCTATTGACTGAACAACTCATATCATTATTAGTAAAGAATTAAATGATCAGGTTTTTAATATTCAAGATTGAATTTCAACCAAACTTAATTGATACAAATACTTTCTGTGAAAATTGATTCGTTGTAGCCGTTTTATCACTCGACTTATAGAATAGATAAATTGTGTTAAAGAAATGGACTCAGTAGGTTAGAATATGATTAACCTGAATTTGAAGTGAAAGATATTGGGTTTAAACTCCAATGTGAGCGTCAACAATGGGATAAATGTATATCAAGATGATGCCGTACACATCATTCCATTGGCAATTCAGAATATCCATCTCGTTTTAAATTTATGAGTAAGGATTCGGCGAAAGAGCATTCATTAAACTGATTCCTAATACAAGTGATTGAATGTGAGCATTTTCATAGATTTAAGCTCAGTCATTTTTATTACATGAACTAAAATTATCAGTATAATTTTGGTGAAATAAATAGTAATTTAATATTCTATTTATTCGAATATTGCAGCTCATTATTTCGATCAATAACGCTGTTATTATATGTATATATATATATATATATATATGGGATACAGTGAACAGCTAGGATTCAGCTGGACGATCTAGACTTCGCAGATGATCTCACAAACAACAACAAATGCGGGAGAAGACAACCAGTGTAGCAGCAGTAGGTTTCAACATACAAAAGGAGAAAATCTGGATTCTCTGATACAACACAACATGCACTAATCAAATCACACTCAACGGAGAAGATTTGGAAGATGTAAAAACATTTACATATCTGGGCAGCATCATTGATGAACACGGTGGATCTGGTACAGGTATGAAGGCGCGGATCGGCAAAGCAAGAGTAGCATATCTACAACTGAAGAACATCTGGAACTCAAAACAACTATCGACTAACACCAAGGTCAGAATCTTCAATACAAGTGTTAAGGCAGCTCTGTTGTATGGGACGGAAAGCTGGAGAACTACGAAAGCCGTCATTTACAAGATACAAGCGTTTATTAACGACTGTCTATTCAAAATATTTCTGATCCATTGGCCAGACACTATCAGCAACAACCTATTGTGGGAGAGAATAAACCAGATTCCAGTGGAGGAAGAAATCAGCAAGAAGTGTTGGAAGTGGATAAGATACACATTGAGGTATATATACTAGTTCATTTGTTGAAAGCACAAAGCTGATCGTGCCAAATTCTCAAATTCTCAATAGACTTACAAACTAGAGTTAAAACTTTACTTATAATCTAGCACTTATTAAATCGTAAACCTTGATATAGTGAAAAATAACTTAAAATGAAAATAAATATCTTAGCTTTGACATCGTCAGCAAAAATGGTAAGTGAATTGGAATTAAGGACCATATACCTGAATGCTTGTTGTGAGTCTTAAAAATGACTAACGATAACACAGTTTCAGTAGACTAACTTCTTTTTCTTGCCTCCAAGTTTATAAGGAAAACATGAAATCAATAAAATACATTCTCATGAGATTATCTTGTTCTTGTCAAACTTACATCAATTACTTTCTGTTCGCATCGACTGGCATGACTATTACACACACATTTTCCCCCAACTTTAATCGTTCGAATTGAGTAATAATACTGAAATGAAAAGATAATAATAAATAAAGAAAATTTGAAGTGTATAATCTGACGAATAAGAGTAAAATTATGTTTGAAATCATCATCCCATATACTTGGGTATTCAGATTTATTGTAATATATTTGCTAACTTACTTTAGCCTACTTATGAGTAGTATAATCATCAATGAAAAGTTAGACAACCGTTGAAAACCAAGAATTTTTAGTTAGCTGTTTCGTGCTAATATGAAACTACAGCTTCATCAATAAATGAGTGTTAGGTTTGAAGCTATCACAAGTTCACTTAATCTGCGAACGAGAACAAGACTCGGTGACCAAAGATCAGTAAGCTAACTATTGATGCGTCCCAGCTCCGTTAACTAGAGGGAGAAGTCCGAGCTTGGAATGGGAAGTATATTCTGCAAACAGTCAGAAACGAGTGATAAGAACAAACACAAATCAAAACGTATATATACAGTGCAAAACCGTCCTTGAGGAGAGTTACCAAAAAGCATACTAAAAGACGCAATGGACCAATAGCATTTAAGATATTTCCCAGTGGGAAATACGACATGAAGGTGACAAGAGCACCTATGGCGTGAAAACAAAGAAAATTTAAATTTTCTAAATAAAATTATAAAATTATGTCCTTTCCCAAGTGAGTTCTGGGGATGTAACGTCCCTAGTAATGAGCTATTCGCCTTCAATTTTTGTTCTCAATAATGACAATCTATGTTTTTTTTATATATTTCCTAGTATTATGTTAATTAACTGATTGCGATGTATACCTGTCTTATTGCCAATAACGTTTAGAAATTGTCTGAATATCAAGAGTTCAGTATATTCTAGAAATTTTGTCAAACATCAACATATAATTCAAGCAATTAATCAACCAATGATTATTAATAAAGTAAAGACATTCTTCAAAACAAAACAAAAAACAAAACTTAAAAAGCTTTAGTTTTCTATCAAATAATTTCAACACTTTGAATAAATGAAATTGAGATAGAATTACTACTTTCAATTGACTTTTAATAACAGAATTAGTAATCATAAATCAGTTTATATTTGAAACCAAATTGTTTATTTATTTAGTTACCGAAAATCACTATTATTATTATTATTACCATTATTATTATTATTATTATTATTATTATTATTATTATTATTAGTAGTAGTAGTAGTAGTAGTAGTAGTATTACCAGTAGTATTGGTACTGTAAAATGTTTACAACCACATTTATTTGACCTGATTATATATATATATATATTTTTCTCTCAATTCTTAAACATCCGGTCAATTTCATTATATTAATGATGATCCTAATAACACAATGATGGTATATCTTTATAACCAGCCAATTTATGTATGACATTAAATGTTATTTGAACACATAATCATCTATTCTCTGAATAAGAATTACATTTGTCTATAAACACTAACTATATAACTATACTAATACTTAGACTAATAGTATATATTTATGCAATATCTGATGTGGTAATTTGTCTCAGTTCATAATATTATAAATAATTGTTATTATTGCCAAATCTTAAAATATATAAAATTTAGGGACAAATATAAACAATCATTATGGTTAATTGAATATTATCTATCCAATAGTTTATTGTATAATTATGATAAAATAAAAGGTTAAATATCATTTTATAATTTCTTATAGTGTATATAATTGTTTTTGAAAAATAAATTATTTCAATAGTTAAAATCATGAGTCAATTGAAGCTAGATTACCATGGAAAACATGGATTCATTGGATGGCTTTTTCGTCCTATTGTGAAACTCCTTAATAGAGTGCGCATCCACAATCCTGCCTCGCAAGATTCGAACCAAGGACCTATCGGTCTCACACGCGAGAATGTTTAAACTAATACTAATACTATTGATAATAATAATCCATCATTTTAATCAATACTATCATGAATAGGATAATGTGAATTATAAGAGAGAGAGAGAGAGAGAAAATAAATATCTACATTGACTTCTCAGCAGCGCTCATCCACGATCCACGACTCGAACCCAGGATCTATCGGTCTCGCACACGTGAATAATTAAATTTTAGACCACTGAGCTGACAGACATCCAATGATGTTAATGTCTAACTTCAACTAATCCATGAAATTGAGTGATACAACTATTGAAATTACTATAATATTATCCACAAAAACCCTTTCTGATACAAATAAATTATTATTAATTTTATATAATAAATAAAATGTCATTAAATAATTAATTTTATTAAAATTAACTAATAATAAGAATATGAATACTACTACCACTACTACTTATAATAATAATAATAATCCATCGTTTCAATCAATGTGAATTATAAGAGAGAAAATAAATAAATAAATTCAATCTACATTGATAATTGAATCTTATTTGAATTTCACAATGTAATTCATAACATAATATTAAACATTGAATATGTACTTTTATATGTTTATATATATATGGATAATTGTAAGATGTGGAGAGATTAAGTATAATAATAAGATGAACACCCTATAATTATTGATTTATAAATCAGTGATATACCGGTACACATAGAGAGAGAGAGAGTATTTTATTTGTAGACAATGTGAAAACAAATCATGAATATGCTTTGTTGTTGTTGTGGTGGTGGTGGTGGTTGTGGTTGTTGTTGTTGTTGTTTAAACTATTGTCATGTTGAGAAAAAAAGGAAGAAAATAGTGAAATTATTTTCACAATAATTAAGTTTTTACATATATATATGTGTGTAGTTACATGTAGATAGGAATGATATATAAGACTTTCAATTCGATCGTGTTTTAATATTTATGAACAATGATGATAATAATAATAATGCTATTTCAGTGGTTTGGATCATGAGTCAATTGAAGTTAGACCACCATGAAAAACCTGGAAGCACTGGACAGCCGTTTCGTCCCATTATGGGACTCCTCCGTGGCAGTGCTCATCCACGATCCCGCCTCACGAGATCCGAACCCAGGACCTATCAGTCTAGCGAGTAATCGGTTAAACACTAGAACACTGGGCCGGCCGGCATCCAACGGTGTTAATGTCTAACTATTCTTGACTTTATGATTCTATGTATTCAATATATGATATCAAGTCATTATCATAACGGTATTATTAAAGAAAAGTTGGAAACCATTAGATTCTATTCAATTTTATAGGTCGATACATTAATCTTAATAAACAAAAGAAAAACTGAATACAGTTATCTTTTTGTTAATAATGTACTTCAAACTTTTCAGATTACTATTTAATGAGGAAGTATTAAAGGTCCTTCATTTAACTCTATTCATCAGCTTGTTAGATAAAGACACAGTTAACATATATATAGTAATTTATTAGTACGATATATAAGTTAATTATGAATTAAAACGCATGGTTTATATCATATCAACATAATAAATACTACTTAGATCAACTTAAGTATAAATCTTGATTGTTTTTTTTTAAATTTCATATCACAACAGAAGAATAACCGGAAAAGGGACAAAATGGCTAATAGTAAATATATGCGTAAGACTCAATACACAATAGTAAGCTTATTTCCAATATAAATCGAAAGCGATGTTGAACTGTCATGAGTTGAGTTAATTTGAAGTTAGTAGAATTTGAAACTTATTGGTTTACATTATCAAACGTAGATCATGTTTACAAACTTCTCTGGAAATGAAGAACAAGAATAATAATAATAAGGAAATATTGTTTACAATTATGTACTTCATAAATTATGCTCACATTTTATTACAATCTCTAGATATCTTCTAGTTTATTATCTCTTTGGCTCATAGTCTTTCTACCATTGAAGTCATCCCATTTATTTAAGTCAACTCATTTATAGCCAATTAATATTATAACATTTTTAATAATCTAGTCTATTTTTTGTAATACTAGTAGAGATAGGTGATGGATAGTAATGGAATCAAAGATACACGTGTCGTTCTATTTGAGACATATTCACTAGTTATTTGTGACTGAATGTTAATATTGAAACAATTCATATAGAATATACAAATGAAAAAAAGAGACTGATGATTATTCGTTGTCCTAAACATCAGTTGGAAGATTCAAACAATCAATAAATATACAAAGTCATAAAAATTTAAAGTCAAGATCTAAACTTTGAGTCTTCGAAAGAAAAGAAGGAGAAGAAAAGTCAAAATTCGATTGATCTATTCATAATGAGTTTTGTTCAAGATGACTTCCGTTTTGATTCAATATGATGATTACCCAATGTAGGTAGTATTTGTTACTGTGATCTCATATGATATTTTATTCTGTATAATATACGTTATTGTTGTATTAAATTGACATTATCTATGCTCAGCATATGATTTGTAATAACTGAGTATTTTTTATATATGTGATTTCATCCTAATTATGAATCAAAGTGTGTGTGTACAACCATTATATAAATGAGTGTATTAATGACTAGGGTCGTCGTCGCCGTTGTGTTTTGGTGATTAATAAATCTTCACTTATACCAGTCTTTGTGTTCTTACTTTCGCGTCGTGGGAATTGCGGAGGTCCCTCGTTCCGATTATAAGTGATAAGCAATTCCGACATAACAATCAGCGACGACCAGATATAAAAACTAGCATTAAAAGATCCAAGACAATCAGCATTCAGTTCACTGGTTATAACAAATAGTTTGTTTATATCAAAAGTTTTACCTAATCTATCATCACAACAAAATTAATAACATATAACATTCATTCTTAATTAATTTAAGTGATAAACATTTAGACTTAACAATCATGAAATACATCTCGGTTTATAATCATATAATACAAATCTAAAATAGTATAGATAAATGAAAAGCGATCAATTATTTGGTTAATTCAATTAAACTACCCACTAATTATGACTAAGACTTTTTAATAACTATGTCATCTAAACAAGGTATATGTATAAATGGGTAGTTAGGACAATGCCAAGTATAAATTTTTTTATTTATTGAGATTATGAATCGATTGATGTTAGACCACCATTGGACGGCCGTTTCGTCCTATTGTGGAACTCCTCAGTAGTGCGTATATACGATCTCGCTCGTGGGATTTTTTTAAACTTTCCCTGTTATTCATCAGAAGTCAATTTAAACAAAGTATGGACATGAGAACCATTAACTTATACTACAAACAAGAACTTCTTGCAAAGAAAACCTTACTAATGACGATTTGTTTGTTACTCAGTGATAGCGATACCAATCATTCACGAATATGGAAAACAGAGAACAACAAAAACTGAGGAATGAAGTGGGAAGAAATAATTTTACACACATACCCTATTGTAAACTGAACTGTCTAATTGATTTGGCATAGCCATCCAATCACCAGAAAGTGTTTGTAATTGTTGGAAACGTAATCGTACAAATCGTGCAGACAAGAAATCCTGGATAAATAAGAATCAAAATTGAAAAGAAACAAAGTGAGAATGATTTTGGGGGGATACGATTTCAAAAAGAAAAAAAAACAAACTACAGGAACATAATAGATTTGATATCAGGTTAAATAATTTACTCATCTTTTAACGGGATGGAGGGTAAACTGTAGTTCTGTTGCTATGTGAAGTTAAACTATTTTTTTAAATATTTTTGTTGGAGTCATCCTGTTTTTTTTGCTAACTATTTCTTAATCATTATGAAATGAAACCTCTAGACAATGGATGAGACATATTATTGAAAGCTTTTCATTTCAATCATTGATTTATACTAAATTATATTCACCAAATTGTGGAGTGTAGTGAATATTTCATTGGACTGTGATATCAAATCTTCAGATTTAGATCTTATACTACTGAGTCAATGATACTAAACAATTCGAGACTAAATTTGTTTATGAATATATATATTTGTCAATAATTTATGTAGGAGAATTGTAAGAGAAACATTGATCAGAAGTAACTTCCCTGAATAACAAAAGTTAGAATCTCATTGTTATAGTCATTCATAATTAGTTGTTACAAGAACCACCGTTTGAATTATCTAATGTTAAGATGAAACGACAAAATGAAAAATAGTAAACTTGGAAAGTTGTACAATTGGATAATCATTCAATAGTGAACAATATCATGTTTATCTAGTTCTTTACTGCTTAAGGAACTTTATCAATCGCGTTGCAATGTGGCTACTGGTTTGAATGACGCGATATCATGTGCACTATGTTGAGCTGTTGTGATGCTAAACGACTAGAGACAGTTGAAATGAAACCCTACTTGACCTAAGCTTCATCTGAATGGCCATTTGTAAGTAATATATACCTATAATTTTAAGGGTACCATATCCTCTTTTTGGAATTCAAACACGTAGTTACTTACATCAGTTACCTTTCGTTGGGATAAAAGGATAAAAGAGGAAATATCAAATCTAGGTAGCTATTTCCTAGTGAAATAGTTGACATGTTTTTTTAATAGTTATCTAAAAACTTGTTATTTATTATAGTTTTATCATAATCATAAGTGCAAAATGTCTTAAGATCAATCAAGTGTTCCACTATTAGTTACAAACTGTTGTCATTTAACTATGAATTTTTTTATTCAATTTTGCATCACAAATGTCTTATTTATGTGCATCTAGTGAGACTGGTAAAGTATAGTTCATTCTGGTCTTATATATAGTTCACTTATCTAATGATAAAAAGTGTTTATTACTACTCATCTGACTTCTTGATATTGTTCTTAAAGGATAACAGAGATGGAAACTTGTATTGTGAATTGATTATGTGACAAATATAGTTTGAGAATTAATTACTAATGATGTGATCAAAACAAAAATACTTTCAAACTATGTATGTCTGATAATTATTATATATTATATAACATTATAAACTAAGCTATAATTATTGATATGACGTATGAAAGTTCCTAATTCATTGAAATAATTGTTAATTGTGTATAAAATATACAGTCGTAACTATGAATAAGTAATAATCAATTTGTAAGTCAAATAACAAAATCATTCATCTATACTTACAATTAACTTTGATGATATCGGACTTTCAAGACCCGATTCAGTAGATATGGTACTTTCACGATCTAATGTTAAAGTTACAATAATTTCACCTGATTGTAATGCTTGAGGTTGACTGTAAAATGTTGTACAATAAACCTTAAAAAATAATAATAAAACGTATTATTTATTTAGTCATAGTTTTTCAACGATATTTTAGTTAGTCAGCTAATTAAAATCAATCTACAACCTGGTAATTATCTGAATCAATTCAATTTATCATACTAAATGAACGTAAATAGATGACATGATCAGTACAAATACTAAAGGAGTAAAAAAAGGTAACGCCCCCAAATACCCAAGGACTGCATCCCCTAAATTTGCTCCACTGCCTTGTGAATTAGACCTTTAGGTCGAAAGCTCCGAGTGTGGCACCCTAAGAAAACCACCTGATTCGGTCTGGGCACCTAGGGAGTATCACAGCCCACACACAAGCCAAGTGACTTGTGTGAAGTATATGTATTTCGTGCCCCTTTGTACCAATATTTATGTGTTCAAATAAATAATGAAGAAAGAAAAGATAACAGCATCCAAGGTAGTAGAGTACATTACGCATAAACAATCGAATTTAAAATCAAAGTATCATGCAAAACTGTGTGTGAGTATATTATGAAAGTACTGAATAGCCGTTTCGTCATAGTATGAGACGCCTCAGTAATGAGCATTCATGAGGTTGAATCCGCCAAACGAACTTAGGACCTTCAGTCGTGCATCTAAAAGCTTAATCTCTAGACTACTGGGCCAGTATTCAATGAAAAATACACATTTCTAATAATAACGAATGGCAAACTATTTCATTTAAATACGCTCTAATGAATGGAAACCATCGGTCTTTTGAGGTCATTTTTATAACTCTTGCAAGAGATTTATTTTGAAAAGGTGACAATTAAATAATGGATACGAGATCAATAAACTTAACAGAAATCGAGATCAAACTTCCAAAGCAATATATTTTTCACTGATAGAAATTTAAGACTACATGATGTACACAAGAGTTGGTAGATATCATCCCTTAAAGCTAATTTGAAACATGGTTTGAGGATGTTAGCAAAACCACAGAACAGTCTATAAATATATTACTAACTTCATCATCACCCAAATGCCATGGTCTTGGTCCACTTGTAATAGTTAGCGGTCGATCAATTAACGGTTCGTATAACTTCTTACAGTCATATTCAGTTTTAGCAAAAAATACCCATGGATGATACACTTCACCATCTACTGAACGTTCTAGGATCCAATTAGCTGGTCGAGGACTATCACCCATACGTAGAAGAACATAGACTATTTGATATACCTTTAAAAATTCATAGAAAAAATGAGATTAAACTTTATACATCTGATAATATGCAATAAACGAATACTTCCCAACCCTAACTTTGAATTTATCTAAAGTTTTCTTTGGATTAAGTATTCCGTATATACTATCTGGTTCTAGTCGATTATTGGATTAGTTATGGCATGATCACCAAGTTGAATGACTTGACATTATATAGCATTATTCTTTAATTCTAGCCAAATAATGGTGTACTGGTAAAAACCTGAAAAGATGTATTGTTTCAACAATGATGCTAATTCATACCATTAAGTAATCCAGTTAAGCTCAGATCATTGTGCTCACTAGACTTAATGATCACCTTCACAGATAAAAGCCATTAATGAAAAGCAGCGATTTCTAGCTTCAGTCGTTTAATACAACGGAACATATAATAGTATTCTCCTACACAGACTGATTGTTTTAATCAGGAGATTTTCATTCATGCAAACAAAACAAAAATGTTGAAAGTGTATTGATGAGTAAACTTTTTAACTCCAATGATTCGAAATGAATTAGTGAACCTCTTATTTATTTAAAACAAATTCTAAAAATATGTGAATATTATTTGAGCTCTAACCCGACTTTACTTATTACTTGGAGATTTTTATTACTAAATACCCAAAATTTACAAAAACTTTAAACATTGAGGTTTAGCAAATAATATTTTCTGTTCTTTCGTTAACCGTATTTCACAGTGAGTCTTTAATAGTCTTGAATAAGCTAATATTTTATACTTAAGTATATGTCAGGGATATCAACCGAATATTTGGCCCAGGATTCTAAATTGTGGTTTAACGTTGATAACTTGTGTTTTAAATTAATTAATGACTGTTCTGTTTAATGTATCACTCCTTTTTTATGAAGCTATAAATATATTTGACTAATATCAGATGGGTTTTGTGGATGTTACAGTAATTTAAATGTATAAGATCATGGGTCATCTTCTATCTTTACTTTTTTATGCGACAAATAAACTGTTCGTTAAATTTCTCTTCAAATTCGTTCATTTGTCGCTGACTGATGTAAACACGCTAATAGGCATGAGCACATGGAAGTAAACGTTATTTTAATAATTCTGTTGACCGATTCAGAAATTGATAAACGTATAAATGTTTAGTTAATTATATTTACTGACAATAACCTGTAATATAATTCTCACATCCATTATAATCGAGATTTTATGTTGAAACAGAAATGAGAGAGAATGTGTGTGCTTACGAGAAAAACAAAGTGGGTTTAATTTAATGATGATACTGAATGCTGGGAGATGACTTACAAAAAAGTATTAGTTTTTGTTTTATCTAAACTTTATTTCGCTAACTTAAACTAATACTATATTATGCTTCACAAACAAATCTTAACTGATTAATCCACGCTGAAAAAATAGTTCGGAGTATGGAACTTTAAATAGAATTAGAAACGTGTAGCTGGTGAAAAACATTTTTAACACCGATGGCTGATTTTGATTAACGTTCGTTTTTGTTGAGCTGGGTGAAGTTTAATTGCGTGCCTTACGATTGAGATCATGAAGCAATCAATGTTATGCCACCAGTGAGAAAATGGAAGTACTGAATGACCGTTTTGTTCTAGTACAGGAATCATCGCCAGTGTAGCGGGATTCGAACTCAGGACCTTAGGTCTTGTGTGCCAACGCCGGACCTGTTACCCACTGAGCCGGCACCCAACGGTGTGTCTTTAATTGCACCTTTAGAAAACTATAAAAAGCACATAGGATCGAGTCATTAAAATGTCACCTCATATGACTGACAAGTTCTTCGGTCGATGCAATCAGGATAAAAGTCAATCAGGCAAGCTATTACTCATATGTGATGAAATCTAAGCTACTCACTTCCATCTGTAACTTTTCTTGATGATGTAGTTTCTACGAGAAAGTGAATATTTTTTCTTTATTAACCACTGACCGCAATATTTAGGTCTATTAATTTTCCGCTGAATACTGAAATAGTATATGTTATGATAGATAATAGCTTCTAAATGTCAGCAATTTTATTTCGGAATTGTTCTTAAACCACATACTTACCTGACGAAAGTCCATAGTGATTGTAACCGCATGGTATTGTAAACCTTGGGCCAAAGATGGGCTTTGCCACCACAAATTGGCTTCACCACTGAGAACATATTCAATTGGATGCCGTAAATTAGGATCTCTATCATCACAATAACCACATTGCACCCATTGCCCACTTGGGTCACGATAAGACTTGGCTTCCTGGCTGTAAGTCAAAACTTCCCTTGGTGTTCGATGTAATCTTAAGCATTAAAATTATAAAACTTATTTATTAACAAGCATGAAATCACTAGAAGCTATAAAATTTTTAACAAAACATGTAATATCTCATGTGTTTTGCGAGAATAAACGTTGATCACTTGGTGCACACTTATCCAATACTGTATGAATCCCAGTTTCATACTTGTGATTAAACTGCTGAAGAAACATCCACCAGAATGACTTTCCTACAATTTAATAGAATCTTTAGCTGACTTAACTGGAAAATGTAATGTTCTGCTAATTTCGAATAAGACACATGAATAAACTATCGACCTTTAGTTGTTTTAAGTGGTATTAGGCCTCTGACTGAAAATAAAAATCAAATAGTGTTAACACGTAAGTCCTTTTGAGGATCATGTTAATAAAATTTTCCCTTTTGATTCAGAGATTGGTAATAAAAACTACTAGAAGCTTATTTTTACTCAAAAAATGTTCTTCACATCTACGTTTTGCATCCGAAACTTGATGTAAAACTAATTACAAAAGTTTGCTAAAACCTAAATAAAGCGAAGTTGCATTTTTCAAAAAAGCTCTATTCGGTAGCTATGAGCTAACTGCATAAAGACAACCTATAAGACACAAAAACATTACTATTAAAATGTTTGACAATCGTTCAAGATGCACTGATATAACCTACTTAAGAAATAACACATGGATATCATGTTTAATGTTAAAAACTTCCAAATAACCAGCCGCCAAGAATTCCTATCTAACATCATTACACATCATATTGAATCAGTTGTACAAAACTTGTCATCCAGTTCAAGAGTGATCAAGTTGAACTCACCATATTTTCTGGAATTATACCCCATCCTGATCTATACATGATAAACTTTTACAGTTCAAATGTATGTTCAGTAACACAACATAGAGAGATAAATGATGTATTAAAACTTGCAGACTGAAATAAATAATTGTGGGAATGAACTTAAGGGTACTGAGAGATATCTGTCGAATAATTATCCCCAAGAATTAAAATTGCTTTGTCAAGAGACTTTTAAACTTTTTTAAAACAACCTTGTCAGATTACTTGATAGTTACTTACGAATACTAAAACGTGGCAATATGTTACTTAATTTTAAAAAAGTAGGGAAGAAAAATTTATCAAGCTTTTCAAGAAAGAAAACAAGTTCTATTTCACAAAATGATCTTACCGACCATCGTATGTGATAAAGCCATCAGCATGTTCAACAAGCCGACAGAAATATTCTTTACGGTTTATGCCACATGTGGCATTTGCTGTAATTATAGCGTTCTCTTCCAAAATCGAATCAGGATCCATATCCAGGAAATCTGCTTCATATGGATAACCTGTAAACAACAAGTTAGATGACATTGAGAAAGCTACCATCATATCTCTGCAAAATCGCTACTTTTGCACTAAAAATAATAAGCAATAAGACTGATAAGGTCATTCTCATGACTTCTAGTTTGGCTCCAGATACATCGTTAACAAAAAATATTTTCAAAAAAACGCTTATTATACTAAGTTATGTGTGATATAGTAAAACGTAGATGTAGAGCGCTCTAGTTTTGGTTTTTAAAGTTTAAAAAATTGATTGATTTTAAGTCAAATAATCACTGATTTTGTATCTCTATAAAATTCACTCCTCTTTTTTTGAGACTCAGTTTCTGTCCAATCGAGTAGAAACCTAATTACGTGACGAAAATGACGAGATATGTTTGACAAATTAGTGCAGAATATCATTCTTATCCTCTGTGAAAAAACCATTTATTGACTTAAACTGACCACAGAACTTTTTGATGTGAAATGGTTTGAATAATTCGCTCGTGTTCACATGGTCAGTAGATTCAGATGAGTCTTCCTCGTTAGCCTATGCCCAAAATACAACAACACTAGGCTCTAGATAATTGATGATGAAATGAAATCTTATGTGTGGTTATTCGTTCTGGTCGTTTGACTCTTAAGGAAGATAAAATTTTCTCATAACTGACTAATAAGGAAATGAAAATACTCCCCATAGTATCATCTGTAGAAGTAAATAAATCCTAAAATTCAGTAGCTTTGTATGTTTTCGATATTCGATTTTGATCAAATTAGTTTTACTGAACTGAAAGCTGAAAGCGTCCGGTCATACGTACGCACCAGATCATGAGTGGGTACGCCTTTCTCCACATCTCCTACAACCGCTAACCAGCTTGGATTAATCACTTCTCCATATATCGATATTTCATCACATATGAATTCGAACCACTTCGCTTATGACTTTTGATATGATTTGGTTGTCATACTTCAGTTACAGAAGCTGTTACTGGTTAGGGTGTTTTCAAAGTCCAAATGTGCCGTTTTTACATGTAAGCACATGTACTTAGCACAGCCTTCAGAATCCATGAAAAGTCCGTTTTAGTGTCTTTCTTTGAAAAGAAGCAATTTTACTTAAACTAACTACCTTGATATCGTTATATTAGAAATACGATGTGACGCTTTCTCATTCTAGCCATACGTGGAATGTACTCCGTAAACAATAAAATATAATCTGAATATTGTGATTTGCCATTATGATCCTTGTACCATGATGAGACCAGCGAAATCCCCAGAAATGTATGTCATCAAACCACAATTTCACTAGGGCCCCTGATGCAATGGAAAACCAGAATCTCATGACTAAGTGTACTTTGATGAAACTACTACATCCCGTCATATGGCCTTCACCAATGATATGAAAAACTTTGACAGCTTTTATTGCCTATCAGCTGATTAAGGATCCATGTCATGAGACAAGTATGGAAGATTCTAGGATTATTTCCACACCAGTATTATAAATGATGAATTTTGTCTCAAAAACTGCCCAAAGCTACTTTTCGCTTGGCGCGCATCACTATCTACTATCAAGCGTCAAGATTACAGATTCTCTATCCATAAATGTGTGTAGCGAGCACTCAAAAAAGTAGAACGTTTCAAAAACAAAGAAAAGCGTCTAATTTTCTCAACGAAACACTGCTCTTAACAAATCTAAATTATAAGTTTCACGGGGTTAGAATATATCGAAGTCAGGTAACTCACTGAACCTGTCGATACTGTTCAACTAAACTCGGTCGCTAAAGGACACTCACTTCTACCTTAATAAGTCAAGAGGACCGCACAATCGACTCCCTACCACCAGTGGTCTGCATCTATGGAACCTGTTACCCAACAACTGGTTGGGAATGTATTGACCTACTTTTATCAAGAGAACGCGATTCGTTTAATAGAAACAATTATTACTATGACCAATTCTACCAGTGATTGTCTTACTGTACTTTTTTGTATAACTGTATTAAAGGCAAACGAGCTTTTCGAATTCGTGCTGAGATTTCGTCAGAAACTAATCCATTAGGGCTGATCACACTTCCAAGATAAGTGAAGTTGTCAATGCGTTCGACTACTTCACTCCCTATCCCTAGTTCAGGTGTTGACGCAGACCAGTCCTGAAGCAACAACTTGCATTTAGAGGGAGAGAAGCGCATTCCAAACATTCTGGCATTGTTGCCTAATACTACCAAAAGACTCTGCATTTTATCAGCGTCTTCACCAAACAGGACTATGTCATCTGTGTATTCTAAGTCGATAAGTGGATCTCCTGGAAGGAGATCAATACCCGACAATTCAGTCGACGAGAATGTTATTTCCATCGGTAGGTCTATGATGAGGTTAAACAAAAATGGAGAAAGTGGACAGCCTTGATGGACACCACTTGAGGTTGCAAAAGCAGATGACAGTTCGCCATGAGCTCTCACTCGACGTGTAGCGTTCGAGTAAAGAGCCCTCACAAGTTTTATGTATTTCTGAGGTACGCCTTTCGATGACAGACACTGCCACAGAATCTCGCGGTCTACCGAGTCAAATGCTGCTTTTAAGTCAAGAAAGACCACCATTGTCGGACACCGATAAGTATGCCTGTGTTTTAGAACCTGACGAATGGTGAATATGTGGTCGATGCAGCCACGATCAGGTCTGAAGCCAGCTTGATTCCCTCGTGTTTGCAGTTCACAAGTCTTAGTTAGGCGTCTGATAATTATCGAGGCTAGTATTTTAGATACTATATTAATTAAACTAATCCCTCTATATTGGCACGATAAGTGATTGTGACCAGTCAGATGGAATAACGTCTAATTCCCAGATCTTAGCTAAAATATTGGTCAACCTAATCGCCAAAATTGGACCACCATCCTTACAGACCTCTGGGGTCAATCCATCTGGACCAGCTGCCCTTCCTCGTTTCAGATTAACTATAGCCTTTTGAACTTCTGCTAGAGTTGAGGGACCTACTTCAATGTTCCATTTACACTGTTTGTGAATGGAGGGTAGTTGTAGAGTAGCTGAAGGCCAGCTGAACTGCCCCATAAAGTGTTCCGATCATCGTTCTAAACGTTTGGAATGGGAGCGTTTTTTTCGAGATCCTATAGACATGTTTCCGACCTCAAGCACTTCAACTATGAGATGACTGTCTTGAGACAAACCTCTTGATGTCACTGAAACCAAAAAGCAGAAATTATCGTTTCATGTCAGCCTTTATCATTTGTCAGTGGCCCAAACCGTAGTGAGCTACACTCTTTTTCTTGTGCCTATCCTTGCTAAAATATTTCTGTATTAACGCTGTTTGTGTTGCACGGTTATCAAGGTAACCAAAGCATCTGTATTCAGCGAGGGGTAATTCATGTTTGGTATTACCCATGTGGTATGAATTCAACGTCAGTCCCGTATTACTAGAGCAGACCCTCAATCGTCTACATTATTAATCCATACACTCTTGGGCACACGTAAAAATACTGAAGCTCGGTCTCGATTCAAATTTTAGGGATAGAACTCATAAGTTAAATACAGAAAAGTAAAGAATAGACCAAAAAAACACATTTTATTCTTTATTAGCAGTTATGTTTTGTAATTTGCTATAGGATTACGTGATTCATACGGCTTTTAGAAGTACTTCAATAGGAAACTTGATACACTCATAAGGAATGAAGAAAGTATTTATTTATAATTAGTATTTATTTCTATATTGACTATTAAATACACCTGGAATCATACCTGAATGTACCAGTGGTCAACTTCTACTAGGTTAGAAACTCTGTTGAGCGAAAACTTCTTTTCAGCCCTCAACCACTTGAACCAAATGCCTTGCTTGAAAATAACATCAGCTGTTATTACTGAGTGCCTAATTATCCCTTTAAGTGACCAAGACTTGCTTCTTATAACAGAGAAACAGATCTGAAGAAACAATTATCAGTGACTAGAGAATCTAGAAACCTGAAGATTGTTTATTGAACATTGGAGGGCGTAGTATTTCTAGTAAGTTCGGTACGTGTGGATTAAGTGGGCAACTTTTAGTCCTAGTTAAAAATAATTTGTTGTCAGTTTCTTACTTATTGGACCTTTCGGACGAATTTTTAATGTTAATTATGTCGTTGTTGAGCAAAGAGTTATTTAGCTTGCTGTTGGTCAGTTCAGTCTTCAGTAATATAGGTCTGTCGACCTATATTAATCCTTGCAGTTTGTAATACTGTGGAGGTCCAATCTCGTTTTAAATATATTAACAGACGGTGCTGATATTACGTGTTCCGGCAGAGAATTCTAATAATTCACTACTCGGTGCGAGAAACGGAACTCCAGACGTAAACGGTTTGATCTCGGTTTTTGAACTTTCTTCGAATGTCCTCTCAAATGATCTTTTCTAGACGGAAGCAAAAGATAAATGTTAATACCAAGGTCATCGTTCAGTATACGATAGGCCAATATTAGATCACCCCGTATTCTACGGTAAGATAACGGAAATAAGTTAAGGTGTCTCAGTCTGTCTTCATAAGACAGGCCAGATAGACCTTGTACCATCTTAGTAGCTCGTCGTTGGACTCTTTCTAGCAAATCTGCTTCATATCTGAAACAAGGACACGCTGCTTGAATCCCGTATTCTAAATGTGGTCGCACATAAATCGGGTATAATAATCTAAAATATATTTCTTTTAAAAGACCATTGGAATGCCAATGGCCTAAGGAAACACTTCTAGGGAATAGGTTCAGGTATAGTGCAAACTTAGGTTTAAAGTCTATTTTATTCACTTTGGATCGTCTTGGGGGAATTTTTAGTCTTCTTTCGTGATGTGGATTATTGAGACGAGTTATATAACTCGGCTATTATAATTGGCTTGGTGAATAAAAAATTCGACGTTAAGTTAGGTGGCAATTAAGGTCCACATTTCCGGAAATGTTTCATCGAGAGACTTGACTTACACGAAATATTTATTGTTTCTAAAGGAGTTCCTCAAAACGAGACTTTTTCAAATTGATCCAACTTTTGACTAAATAAACACCGGATTTCCTTATAAAAGTTTGCGTCCATGTCCCCAAAGTTTTCTCTTGTTTACACTGAGTTGGTTTTCTCAGGCCACCTGAATTTAACCAATCTCGGGTTTAATTGTGGCACTTTTAGTAAAAGTAAAAGATTTACATCTATGAGATAACTAATAAAATGAATGTAGCGTTTGTTACCCACTGTCAGGAAACTGTAAGCCTTTGCTTCGATTGAGTAAAACCTTATGAGTAGTTTCGACACAATAAGTGAGTCTTCCGGTAAAAGTTCAACCCCTGGAAATTTAGATGAAGAAAGTGTTATCTCTAAAAGCACGTCTACGATAAAGTTAAACAAGAATAGAGAGAGTTGACAGCCCTGACGAACACCACTTGAGGTAATCAATTCTGATGACAGTTCGCCATAAGCTCTCATTTGACTTGTGTTGGAGTAGGGAGCCTTTATAAGGTTAATGTACTTCTTTGGTACTTCTTTCAGTGACAAACACTGTCATAGAAACTGACGATCAACAGAGTCAAATGCTGTCTTAAGGTCGATAAATACTACCATTGTGTGGTGTCTGAATATGTGCCTATGTTTTAGGACCTGACGTAGTTTGAATATCTGGTGTATATGACCACGTCCACGTCGAAAACCAGCCTGATTTTCTCTAGTCTGCTCTTCACGAGCTTTAGTTAGGCGTCGAAGTATTATTGAAGCTAATATTTTAGACACTATATTAGTCAAACTGATTCCTCTGTGATTGTCACAAGTGGAATTCTGTACTTTCTTGTGGACTGGCACGATCAGTGATTGAGACCAGTCAGATGGGATTACGTCCAGTTCCCAAATTCTACCTAAGACCTCAGTCGAGAGTGGAGAGAGTCAGGTCTCCCTCTCGAAATCCTCTCACACGATCACGTGCATACAACCACTATCAGGGAAGTCCTACTCACTGCCTTCTCCCAACATTACTGTTGCCTACGAAGTTGAGAAGACGAAAAGCGAATATCTGATGCTATAACTGGATTAGTGAACACAAAGAGTCCACCTAGGGGAGTTGGAAAACCTTGATTACAAATTAATTGTGCACATGGGCTCCAGAATCCTGAAGGAACAAATGGCGTATAAACCCGTTGTTGGTCACCAGCTACGATGGGGTCGCATCGCATAACGTTGTTCTACTATCTTGTTGATCAGACTTTTAGGTCGAAGTTTCTGGGTGTGGCTCCCTAAGAAAACCACCTGCTTCGGTTAGGGCACCTGGGCAGTATCCCAGCCCTTACATAAATCAAATGATTTATGTGGCACATATCTATTTGGTGCCCCCTTGTACGAATGTTTATGTGTTTAAATAAATAACTTATTTTATTAATTATCTTTGCATAAAGTAATTTCAATGGTTAAGATCATGAGTTAATTGAAACTAGACCATTATGAATAACCTGGAAGCACTGGACCATCGTTTCATCCTATTGTAGAACTCGTCAAGAATACCCATCTACTCATTCTGCCTTGTGAGATTAAACTATTAAAACTTGAATATATTTCTTTCTTTTTGTTTTCATACTTTAGGTATATCTATCTATCTATCTATATATGGATTCAGAAAATAATCCATCTAATATGGAAGATATTATACAATTAATAAAACAATCTAATCATGATATTAAATCATTTAAAATTATTTATGATAAATTAACAAATTCTATATCTATAAATGAATTAAATAATTTTCTAGAAATATTAATTAATCATTTATCTGAATTACAAATCAATACTATTCAAAAATTATTAATCGATAATATCAATTTATCACATTGGATTAATTATAATGATTCAATAATTTATAAAAATATCATACATTTATATATAACATGTTTAACATATTATCCAAATTTAATTTATTCTATATGTGATTTATATATTAATCAAATATTTTATTTAAAAAATTTAATTGAACCATTCAATTATCAATATTTTAATCAATTTATTGATTTTTCATTGGAATTTTTTATATCAATCTGTCAATTATTACCATTACAATCAATGAATATTGATTTATTGATTGATTTATTAATAAAATATTTTCCAAATTGGCGTAAATCAATTAAAGAATTATTATGGTCAACATATCATTTAATTAATTTATTATGTCATCAACAATTATCTAAATTATTAACAAATATACATAAATGTAATTTATTATCTATTTTATTTCATATAATTATTGATATAGAATTAAATCCTAATGGAATTCATTATGAAAATATATTAAAATTATTTGAAAATACAACAATTTATTCATTATTTGAAAAATTTGATCAAACAATATTAAAAACAAATTTAAACATTTTATTTTATACTATTGAACAAATAGATAAAATGATTAATGATAAAAATTGGTTTAAACTTGAATTGATTAGTTGGTTATTAATGACACATTTAAGTAGTATATGTATGGAAATAAATAATAATTCATGTATAGAATTAAATTGGAATTTATTATGTACAATATTTCGACATGTACGTGATTTATTCTCTGAATATATATTACCAGTTAATATATATATGGTAGGTTATCCAATAATTTGTTTTTATATATGTAGTTTACGTGGTGGTTTAATTATCAATTTTATTGATTTTTTATGGAATATTATAAAAGATTATCAACGGGATCAAGATAGTCGTCTTATGGCATTATCTTATTTATGTTTTATATTAATAAATGGAAAATATTGTTTTATTGAATTAATTATTGAAATAATGCATGATATAAGTACATGGTGTATTGATTATACATATCGAAATCGTACAATTTTAACACAATCTAATTCAATACATTTATTATCAGAACATAAAATTTATTATGCTATATGTAATGTATTAATTTATATATTTGTACAATTACATACAGAATTATTAAATAATGAATATTTTCAATGTTGTAATCGTTTACCTATAGCACAAATTTGTATATCACCATTTAAACCATTAATATATATACCAATAGAATTACGTCAAATATTTTTTTATATTATATCAACTTATCAATTAAGTTGGTCTATGATTAGTTTAACTCAATCTATACATGAACAAAATTATTTTCATAATAATATTTCATTATTAACAATAGATATGATACAATCTATTAGACCAAATCAAATAATTCAAATACCAAAGAATAAATGTTTATTATCACTTTCATTACCAATGATTAATTGTTTATTTCGTAGTATTAATATAGGAAAATGTTTAATAAATCAACAAATAAATCATTCTGAAGATCATTCTAAATCTAATCCAAGTTTATCAACATCATCATCTTCTCATAAAAAACGTAAAATAGAATCAACTATTGAAAAAAGTATCATTACTAATGAATCTATTTCAAAAGTTACTAAAGAATCAGAATAGATCATTTGCAATATTTTGGAATAGATCTTGTATATATTTAAATCTTTGTTATTTTTTCTATTGTTTATTCTATTTGTACATATTCAATAGTTAATTTTGGAATTCTAATAAACTTTTAATCAAGTTTCTGTGGATATGTTTTTGTTTTTTTTCAGTATCTCAGCTCGTAAGTAATAGTGAGGTTAGAAGTAGGGTATTAGGGAATAATGGTAAATCAGTTGATGAGGTTGTGAATCTTCATCGACTGAAATGGTTGGGCCACGTGTTACGTATGCCCGAACACCGATTACCACGACGTGCAATGCTAACCGGTGTTCGAGATTGTTGAAACAAAGTTAGGGGCAGCCAAACCAAAACGTGGCATCAATGTTTGAAGTCACTAACTTCTGGTCTAAGCCATGTTGGTAGATGCAGACTACTTGGTTGGGGTCCGCGTGACTATCGTAACCAATGGTTGAAGACAGTGGGTGACATGGCTGAGAATCGATCACAATGGTGTAGGTGTGTACACTCTGTCTTCCCTTAAACTAAAGGATTAAAATCGCTTCATATCTTTATACGTACTAATTCTTTCTTTCTGTACTATATCCTTATATGTAATCTTTCTTTTATATATTACCACTATTGAAGTAACTACTATGAATTCTGTGTTCATCTTGCTGTGCTAATGAGGTATGGCAACTTGGACTGATGCATATATGTGCCTGGTCCTACGTTGTAGCTGACTGACTGATCTCAGTCTGTTCGGTGAATATTCTTTAGTTTCAGTGACTTAATTATATATATATTGCCCCCAAAATGCCCTAGTATGGTCGAGAGCGGGGTGGATTCGCCCTCCCTCTCGAAATGCTCTCACACAGCCACGCGTATACAGCCTCTGCCAGGGAAGTCCTACTCATTGCCTTCTCGTGGCGGGGGTGTTGTTTACGAAAATGGGAGGACGAAAAGCGAATGTCCGGCGCTTTAACCGGATTCCAAACCAATGGTGCACATGGGCTCCAGTATCCCGCGGGAACAAATGGCGTACGAACCAATTCCTCGGTCACCGGCTACCATGGGATTGCATCTCCTCACGATGCTCCACTGCCTTGTGGGTTAGACCTTTAGGTCGAAAGCTCGGGGACTGGCCCCCTAAGGAAACCACCTGCTTGTGTTTGGGCACGCGAGCAGTATCACAGCCCTCACACATATTGAATGAGATTTGTGTGGAGCATATGTATTTGGTGCCTCCTTGTACCAATATATATGTGTTAAAATAAATAAATATATTGCGACGATGGTATATTAATGTATTGGCCAAAATGAGTGCTACTCAGTTTAATTTGTTTTTATGTTTTGTGCAATCAACGGTATCACAAAGTCACTATCACATATAGGAACTTGCATTTGGTTACTAAGTTGTATTTTCCTATTAAAGCATTGTTCATCACTTTCAAATACGGGATATTTGTGTAAAAGTATATTTAAACATTAGGTATAATCGTAAATATTTTTCTAAAATGAGAATTGAAGTTTAATCGGATTTTAAATACATAACTGTTATTTCTGAGGCTTTATAGTAAGTTTCTGATAACCAAGCACAGTACTTGTAGAATTCTCAAAATGTACATAAAATTAAAACAGTAAATAATAGAAATTTGTTTTCAGTCAATACAGAACTGCTAAATAATACTGTACACATCGACAATTATCTGTTGGAGGCATATTTTATTTTCATATCATTGAGTGTTAATACTTCGAACTTCAAGTTAATGGAAACCTGTTCAAATATCTGAGTATGTCAAAACTTAAGATCAGGTTTTTGCATAAAACATCGCCTTGTACATTAAATAAAAAACACCATTGTCAGTCATCGACATATCAGTTCAGTAGCCTGGGTGTTTACTGTTCGCGTGTCAGTCAGTCAGCTACAACGTAGGACCAGCCACATATATGCATCGGTCCAAGTTGCCACACCTCATCAGCACAACAAGATGAACACGGGATTTATAGAAGAAGTTAATTCAGTGGTGGTAATATATAAAAGAAAGATTGCATATTAGCATAATAATACAGGGAGAGAGAATTAATTACTAGAAAGAAAGATTTAAAGCGTTTTTAATTCCATTAGTTTAAGGGAAGACAGAGAGTATACAGACCTCCATTGTGACCGATTCTGAGCCATGTCACTCACAGTCTCCAACCATTGGCTGTGATTATTATTTATTTATTTGAATGCATAGATATTGGTACAAGGGGGCACCAGATACATATGCGCCACACAAACCCCATTTGATTTATGCGAGGGCTGGGATACTGTCCGGGTGCACAAACTGAAGTAGGTGGTTTTCTTAGGGGGCCACATCCGGAGTACTTGACCTAAAAGTCTGATCCACAAGGCAGTAGAGCATCGTAAGGAGATGCGGTCCCGTGGTAGCTGGTGACCAACAACGGGTTCATACGCCATTTGTTCCTTCAGGATTCTGGAGCCCATGTGCACAATTAATTTGTAATCAGGGTTTTCCAACTCACCTAGGTGGACTTTTCGTGTCTACCAACCGAGTTATGGCATCAGACATTCGCTTTTCGTCCTCTCAATTTCGCAGGCAATAGTAATTTTAGGAGAAGGCAGTGAGTAGGACTTCCCTGATAGTGGTTGTATGCACGTGGCTATATGAGAGCATTTGGAGAGGGAGAGTTGTTTCTCCACACTCTCAGCTTTACCAGAGCATTGGCTACGATAATCACGCGGACCCCAACCAAGTAATCTGCATCTACCAACATGGCTCAGACTACAGGTTAGTGGCTTCACGAACTGATGCCACGTTTTGGTTTGATCGCCTCGAACTTTCTTCCAACCATCTTCAACACTAGTCAGCATTGCGCGCCGTGTTATCGGTGTTCAGGCATATGTCACACGTGGATTAACCATCTCAGTCGATGAAGATTTACCACCTCATCAACTCATTTATTATCATCCCCTAATACTATGTGTCCATCCTTACTATTGCTTACCCGGCGATCCCAGCAGATACATCTGTGGTCGAATACTAGCAACTTACGAGTATCTCCTACTCTTAATGGCCACGTTTCTCAGCCGTAAAGTAGAACAGAACTGCTCACGGTCGTTCTTTAGACTTTTGGTTAACCTAGATCTAATTTGTTTTCGTTCTTCATCATGTCCAGAGCTTCATGGGATGTTTATCATGTTTTATATATATTGGTACAAGAAGGCACCAAATACATATGCTCCACACAAATCTCATTCAATATGTGTGAGGGCTGTGATACTGCTCGCGTGCCCAAACACAAGCAGGTGGTTTCCTTAGGGGGCCAGTCCCCGAGCTTTCGACCTAAAGGTCTAACCCACAAGGCAGTGGAGCATCGTGAGGAGATGCAATCCCATGGTAGCCGGTGACCGAGGGATTGGTTCGTACGCCATTTGTTCCCGCGGGATACTGGAGCCCATGTGCACCATTGGTTTGGAATCCGGTTAAAGCGCCGGACATTCGCTTTTCGTCCTCCCATTTTCGTAAACAACACCCCCGCCACGAGAAGGCAATGAGTAGGACTTCCCTGGCAGAGGCTGTATACGCGTGGCCGTGTGAGAGTATTTCGAGAGGGAGGGCGAATCCACCCCGCTCTCGATCATACCAGGGCATTTTGGGGATAACTTCACAAGAATCCATCAGTGTAATAGACTCAGTAGAAATCCATTGGTTCTTGGTAACCCTTTGGCTTAAATTAATGATAGATTTCGCTGCTGTTTCCACAACTTTTCGTACATCTTTCCAAGCAACATCAGGGTCAGCCTCGTTTTCAGAACTATCTAAGAGTGACCTCAGTTGTTCCTGGAACCTACTTTCGGCTTTCTCGTCACTTAATTCAATTCTAATGGGTCTTAGTGTGGCTTTTCTGCGTCCAATGAGGCGCGAGCAAACGCATGCTTGTATTAGAGTATGGTCGAAGTCTAAGCAGGTATTCCAGAGCAAGTAACAGTCTCCTGTTGACTGATGTCAAATATGGTCTATTTGAGTCCATCGTTGGTTTGGTGCAGGAGGTCGCCATGTTAGACGATCTTACTCTTTATACTTAAAATAAACGAGTACTGTATCTGAGCGTTTAGCTTTCTGAAGTTCATCATTGTACCGAATGTGTTATCACACACCTACTTGATTTGTTCTAAACTTTAGACATGAATTATCTCATTCTTTCTATTTCCCCTCACCAATTACTCACGTGTAACCTCGAACATGCTTTATACATGTGTCTGCTAGCACGTACGTGTCTGTTTCTTTCACACTTATAAAATCTAAGTCTCATATTACTCCATTTGTCCGAGAAAACAAGTGTCTGAAATAAACTCGCCCAACCTAATTCGTATCTAGTTTATTACTACTGCCGTCACTCAAAAGAGGTTGGCTTATGTAGAATATACAAACTCAACCGGAGATCTATGTTCATGGCTCATTCATTCGAGAGTCAGATCGCGGCTCTAGACCATGATATCTAGTTAAATATCTCGATTCTTCATAACATAGAACTCGATTGATTGGCTATACGTGCTAAGCTAAACAACATATTTGTTTTCATGTACTAACCAACTAATTCTGACTACACAATAAACTGCTTGGTAAGAGTAAAATAAGTACAATTAGAAACTAGACACTGAGTAATAAGGTATTCTAACTTGTTTTGTATCTAAAACTTATGGTCTCTTCATAGATTTACTGATACACTAATCACTTACCGGGTGGTAGTAAATGGAATCTATAATGGTGATCGGATATTGTACATAAATTAATCTTCTATTCCCATTTCATACAAGCATTATGTTCTGAAAACATTGCGTACTAACATATCATTTACAACTAAATGTAAAAGTGAATTCTAATGCTTAGAGTTTGTTGGCATTGTAGTATACTCTGTATGACCATACTTAGACAACATCCTTACGAGTTATAAATTATTTACGCCATTTTTGTGATCATCGTAGATATTGACATGATCTATACTGCTGA